CCTGGAGACTAGGACGCGAACAATGGCTTCAAACTACAAGAGAGGAGATTCCATCTGAACATGAGGAAGAACTTCCTGACTGTGAGAGCCGTTCAGCAGTGGAACTCTCTGCCCCGGAGTGTGGTGGAGGCTCCTTCTTTGGAAGCTTTTAAGAAGAGGCTGGATGGCCATTTGTCAGGGGTGATTTGAATGCAATATTCCTGCTTCTTGGCAGGGGGTTGGACTGGATGGCCCATGAGGTCTCTTCCAACTCTTTGATTCTATGATTCTATGAAATATTTTACGAAGTTATATAAATGTAAATCACCAAGAGGAATTCAGCCCTAAATATACCAGCCAGAATCCTATATCATCCTCTACATAACATAATGTCATGCATTTTTAGCTGTGCAGCAGAGAGGGCTAGAACACTGTTAGTGAATTCCAAAGTTATGTAACAGGAAATTAGCAAGTGTTTTCTAATGCTTATCAGATTGTTAATGTACATTGATCACTCCGTATTCAGAGTATAACAGAACTATTGTGCATGGGAACTAATGTGCAGCTGTGCATGAGTCAGTTGCTGTTTTTCCTACAAATATACACTTTGGTTCCCGCTCCAGGAGAAGAGAAGTCAAAGTGTCTTTCAAAGATAGTAAATTACAAAAATTTGCAGTAAAATTTGAGAATTAAAGTCATTTCATAAAACATTTTTCAGTCAATTCAGAACATTCAAAAGTTTTTAAAATCACCTATAAAGTACCACCACCCATGCTTTTGCATTAAAAGCTTCCTGAAATAAAAATGTCTTGGCCTGTGTTCCAGAGGGTGGGAGCAGCTACTGGGAACACTCCCTTCTGAGTCCTCACCAAGTGAGCTTGAGATGGTTGCAGAACTGAGGGAATGTTTTCCCCAGATATCTTAAAATTCAGACAGGTGCATAATATTTCAATAGAAGCCTTCTACCGATGTTATGAAATTGTCCAGTTCTAATTCCGGCAAATAAACTAATATATACATCTATACATGTTAATAAAAAAGATCACCCCAAAAATGTAAGTACTGTATGCTTTGTCTTATCAAAAAAGGGACCATCCCATTTTCTGAGTAGAGTAGTAAAAGATGAGAGATTAACAACCTCATCACAAAGGGCTTAATTTGGCTGGACACACCAGTTTAGCCCAAGTAGTCCACAGAGCCAACTGGTTCCCATCAAACGACACCAGCAAGGCTCTGTGGGTGAACTAGGATGGAGCTGGTGCATGCCACCACCACAGCAACACAAGAGCCTGTCATTGAGTCTTCCCATGTTGCCATTAGAAGCAATGGAGAGAATCCACATGATCCACGCTTACTCCCATGGGATCAACTTACGTAGAAGCTGAGCAATGTGGGGCATGAGGCACTAGGTCCCCCATGCTTCCCCTCCCTGACAACACAGAGCAATTATAGTGGCTATGTAACAAGGTCGTTATTTGCCCCAGAAGAACCCAAAAGAAGCTCCAACCCCTTTTACTCTCTCCTCTATAGTGGCAACTCTGTGTTGCCACTTCTGGACTTTTTAATGCCTAGGTGGGAAAATAGCAGTGGCAGCTATCTGCTTGAGGCAGAGCCAGTGATCCGTGTTTTAACCTTCATCCCTAACTTCTGCGGTATGAAGTTTTACCTTGGCACTTTAATGATGATATTTTTAAAATTATCTTTAACTTTTAACTTAATCAAATTTTAATTGTGTTTTAATATATGTTGGTTCACTATTACAGAAGTTTTAGGACAGTGATTAGTGTCTATTTGTGTATTTTTTTTGTTTTGTCTTTTACTGTTGATATGGTCAGTGGACTAATCAATAAACTTTACTTAGTGGTTCCTGTGAAATCACCAACTTTTCCATAGGTAATATGAAAACTCATAATTTTGGCCTCTCAACCTGCCTTTGTCTTATACACAAGTATATGTAGAAAGTTGACTTACAAAGGCACAAATCTCCAAGAGCATCCCAGCTGAGATTTTCACATTCTGGTTTCTGCCAAATATTATGTATAAAGAATTACAGTCCAGACATTTGAGTTCATAAAAATGTAGCTTCACACTCTCTCTTGCCTTCAACACAAATTGGAAAATCTGATGTCTATGATTTATTATCTTCCTTTGCAAGGAACTGTTCCAACACAGGGTCTGGAAAGAAAAACAATTCATTATGTAACCAATTTTACAAAATCTCAGTGACATTATGGTCACTTTCTTTAAATAGTAACTCATTATCTTACTTGCTTCTGCATTTCTGTGTTTTAAAGGAAATTTCTTAAAAAGTGACAAAGGAACAGCCTATAAATAAAGTATTATTATTATAATGGCATGACTTGAAAATTCTGTTCAAAGTAACTAAGGATGGTTTCCAAAAATAAATGAAAAATGTTATTCAATGTAACCCATCCTAAAGGATTGCCATTCTATAGTTTTTCTTTTTAAATGTTATGTTATGTTCACATTATCCCAAAATCCAGTACAGAAATATCACTGGTTTCACTTACCTACACTCTAAAAATATTCCCTTCCCAAAAGCATTTGTGGGTCTCTCTAGGTTCAGTGTGATGTTTCTAACTCAAGTATAGTCAAAATATGGAGTTCACTATTATCCACATTACCAGGTATTCACATGGGGTCTTGGAGTGTATCCCATGGATATAGGAATGGTAGTACAATTCATTTAACAACACAGTGTTAGTTGTAATGGATCTGTGCATGGTAACACCTTGGTGATAATTCCTTTTTAAAGTTTGAATTTAAACTTGGAGAGGGTTCAGTGCCTCATTGCCACCAGCTTCTGCAGGTTGCAACATTATTAGGACAGTGTAAAAAGCAATAGCCATTGTTTCTATTTGTTGTTGTTACTATTTACCATCATATTGAGTTCGACTATTGATCACCCTATGAATGGGAGACCTTCAAGAGACAAGACCCTGCTTAGAACTGGCAAAATCAGGGCTTTGGGTTCCTTGATTGAGTCAATCTATCTGTAGTGTCTGTAGTGATACCTTGACTTAAGAGTTTGTTTCAGTCCATGACCAAGCTCTTAACTCAAAACACTCTTATCTCAAAGTTTTATTTATTTATTTATTTATTTATTTATTTACAGTATTTATATTCCGCCCTTCTCACCCCGAAGGGGACTCAAGGCAGATCACAATGTACACATACATGGCAAACATTCAATGCTATTTTTGACATACAAGGTTTACAGACAGATAGAGACCATTCAACAGTTCTTCCACTTTGGATCCTAGAGGTTGCTCGATTCGGCCACAGGGAGAGCTGTCGCTTCATCCACTATGACACCGAGCCTTTTTGATCATAGTATTTCCTCCTTGCTTTCTGGCATAAATTAACCTCCCCACTTTAAGCAGTTTGTAATTTCTCTACTCACAGCTCACAGCTGTTTTCGAACTGTTTAGGTAGACAGTAGGCTGAGCAATTTTTAACAGCTATTTTTTAAGAGCTATTAATAGTCGGGCACTCAACCCCAACTTGGTCTTTAAACTTGCCACCTTTCAATCAGCAGTTATTTATTGCAGCTGATTAACCAGTTGTGCTACCAGCCCGGCCCCATTGAAATGCTATTAATCTGTTCTAACCCCCTGAGACACCCTCCAATTTTTTTGTTACATGTTTATAAATACGAAAATGTACTTTACTAATAGCAAATAATGCATGGATGTACATTCACATGGAAAAATATAAAGGTTAAACTTTAAAATGGTAGAAGCACAAAGTTGTGGCAAAGAAGTACAAAGCACAAAGTGAAGAAGCAGAAGTATTATTTTCTTCATTCTGTACTCATTCCAACCTCCCTCCCTCTCTTGCTCTCTCTCCCTTTCCCTCTTAATGAAGCCAAATATACCAGGAATAAAAACCACATAAAATCAACTAACTCAAACTTCCTCAAAGCGGACAAGAGCACCAGGCACTGAGGCCACTCTCTTGAAGCCCTGAAGCCCTGAACTCTCATGCTAGCGTGCCCTTTGATTTTAGCTCTTATCTCAAAATTCTGCTCTTATGCCAAAGCAAAACCCAGGGTGAGCTCTAAATTCTCTTAAGTTGGGGTGCTCATAAGTAGACGTCCTACTGTATCATTAAAAGAAGTTGCAACTGTGGCCCCAAAATTCAGTAACAGTTCTAAGACTTCAAAATGAGTAAGTCTCCCTTACCTCCATGAAACTCGTATATCGGAATTTCATATGAATAGATTTGTACTAAGTCCTGTTAAAAATGATGGGGCTTACATTTGCCTTAAATTGTACAGTCTATTTTATTGAGGTGTTTGTTGGTATTTGCAGTCAAGTTGACTTTGAATTATGGCCACTCTATGAATAAGAGGTCTCCCAGATACCCTGCTGAAGACTTGCAGATTCAGGACCATGGCTTCTGTGATTTAGTCTATCCATTTGTGTTGTGACCATCCCCTTTTCCTACAATCTTCCACTTTATCAAGCAAGTCTAATGAGTTATGTCATTTCATAATATGTCCAATGTACATTAGCCTTGTTGTTCCCATGTATCTTCTAGACCTCTGTACCTTTCCATATAATTTGGATCTGGAAAACAGGTACATTAGGATACAATACATTGAAGAAAGTTTCCAACAAACAGTATGACTGCTCTCAAATGTTGTGGCCAACTTTATCACAAAAGAGCAGACATTTTTTCTGACATAAAAAGATGTATTATTTTGATTTGCCAAGCAATCACTCTTCCATAGCAGACACCAACAAGCCTAAAGGAGTCCTTAATGGAGTCCTTTCACAGCATAGTCCTGTAAGTTTCTTCTTAGAAGCAACATGAAAGGATGGGCTCACAGAATTCCTTGGTGTTGTTCTACCATCATCTCTGAAGGACCTCTGGGGGTTTCTCCCTTTGTATGAAAGCGTGTGTTTCTTCTTTGTAAATAAACCGTTAGATGTGCCCACAAGTGTCTTTTAATATGTCAAACACACGGGCTTCTTTGGGATTATGTTTTCCCCTAGGATGCCCACAGACAATGAAGAAAGGGAGCTCTGTGACTACACCATCCGTCCCGGTTCAGAGGATAAACCCTTGTGTGATGGAGCTGTGCAAATTTTATCAGCAGTGCCTTTGTTCAAGGGACAGAAGCTACTCAAGAGAAGATGCTATAAGGTAAATAAAAGAACCAGTCTAGCAGATAGATAGATAGATAGATAGATAGATAGATAGATAGATAGATAGATATAGATGAGGAAGAAGAAAAATAGAATTAAGGACTGAATTTTCTCATTGTGTGTGTGGATTCATGTCATTATAATTAAGTTTTAAAAAGAATCCCCAAAATTACAAATTGGATTGAATTGACAAGTTTGAGGGGAGGAATAGAATACTGAATGTAATTTAGCAGGTATGCATTGGATGTAGATGCTTTAGCAAGCTGAACAATTTCACAAGGGACCCTCCAAATTGGGTGAAGGAAAAAGAAAGTGTAACCTTAGGATGCTGTGTTGACCCATTCAGAGGGACCTGAGAAATCTACTCCAAAACAATATGTGATGTGTCCATTTAGAACAAGGTGACAATCTCTCTCACACACAAACCTGTCAACATTTTATGGATGAAATTCAGGACATAAGTGGCAAAAGTACCTTCAGAATGCAGTGAAATGGGCAAATATTATTGATGGGGGAGAATGCACGAGCTAACAAAGGCAGCTGCAGTGAGTTTTTACCTGAGTCTCTAAGGAAGGCAAGTTTCTTCTTCTTCTTCCCCTCTGAGTGAACACTCAGTTAAACAACTTCTGAGTTTTGAACTCAGTTTGCAATAACTGAGTACAGAGGAGGCAAGTAAGTGGAAGGAGAGAGGAACTGAGACATTTTAAGAGCAGTTTGAAAATGGGATGATTGGACGGTGTTAGAGTGGGAGGGTGTTAGAGTGGAAGGGTGCTAAGGCTGTGCAGGTCTATTCAGTCCTAGCAATATTTGGCATGCATGAGAAAGTTCATATCAAGCCACATGCATTTAGATGCTCCATGGTATAGCACAGGGGCTGGACTGTTTCCATTACACCAGTGGTTCCCAACATTGCTTTGACCAGGGACCACTTGACCAGGGACCACTTTGACCAGGGACCATTCTCCAACATTGGTACCAAAAGGGTTATGTATCAGTTTTTGGTCAACTTTAGATTTGGTTTGGTTATTTGGGGCGCTGAGTCAGAAAATTGCATTGGATAGACGACATCAGGTCTAGTTTCTGTTACAGAACATATGCCACCTAGTAATTGCCACCTGTTCACCCACAGAAAACCATATTTAATAATCTAGAGCTGATGTGGTAATAGTAATCTTTCATGCATAGTCAGCCTCTCCCCTCCAGCATTCCAGTTGCCTCGGCACTATTAGAGGGTTATGTGAGACCCTCTTATCACTCTCGATGCCAAATGGTTTTGAGGCAATGGTGTAGTAATGGTGAGGCTGCGGACCATATTTTCGTTCTTGCGGACCACTGGTGGTCCACGGACCACAAGTTGGAAACCACTGTATTATACAAAAGTGGGAATCCCCTTAAAGGAGGAGACATTTGTAGGGGCTATTTAACACTTACCTTTCATTGCTGCCTTCCTCTTCTAACATACCCCACTTCCTGCAGTAAACATGATCTGAGGACCTTGGTAGGGGAGGCATCTAAGAGGGATTGTAAGATCTGAGGAAGGAGACCACTAGCCATGCTGGCTGGGGGGAAAAGGAGTGGCAGTCCTAAATATTTTGAGGCCCTTTCACACCATCATCATGCTATGATGTCGTCTAATGACCATGGCTCCATATTATGGAATCCTGTAATTTCATGAGGTGTTTAAGATCCCCTGGCTTATAACTGCACTGCCTGACAAACTATGGATCTCAAGGTGCAGTCATGGTAAATAAAGTCAAAGCATAATTACTATGGTTAGAACGAAGTCCTGAAACAATGGTGAAGCACTCACACTGGCAATGGAATGGAAACACAAAATTCAGTCCCATTTCTATTCTTTTGAAATTGATAGGGTGGTTAAAAAAATAAAGATAAAAGCTAAATTACAATTGTGAGCAATGACATAGAAGCAAAACCGATTTTATTGGGATTGTGTTTTTGGTAATGTGAAATACTGCCTTGTTTTCCAAGAGTGAAGTGAAAGCTTCTGTCCATGTATGTATGCCATGAAGAGATGTGTGCTTATGGGACTTTTTAAAGAGTTAATACATGCATGAATACAGAAACACTCCATTTATCTGGTAAATATTGTTTTAGGTTCTGCATTGAAAACTATTCTTGGTTCTGGAAAAATGCAATGTATGTTTGTGAAAAAGTCAAAAGAACAGCTTATTCTAAGAGTAAGTAGAAGTGTCATTTGAAGTTTTTCAAAATGTTGGATCCTAGACTTTAGCTATGCTTAAAGCAGAATGATTGACATGAGTGAAAGAAACATATCTTGAGTCATGGTTACTTTATGTCTTATTTATTTTAGCTGGGTTATTGCAATCCTAAAAAGCCTAAATAACCTAAAGACATCAGAGTCTGTCTGATCCCAGAAACTAAGCAGGGTCAATCTTCAGGTGGAGGGTGCCAACAAATACCAGGTGCTGTAGGTCTTATTTCAGAGGAAGGAATGAGCAAAACAGCCTCTGAGTACAGTCTGACCCTCATATTCATTGGGAATATGCTCCAGTAGTTTGCAGGGATATGTAGAACTATGAGTTATAGTATAGGCCTGGGTAACAACGCAAAAATTTGTTTCTAAAATCGATTTGTATTTGGGGGGTTTTTACGTTTCGATATTTAAAATAATTACAAAACTTTCCTTTAAAAAAGTTCAGTATTTACGAAATTTCGTTAATATTAACGAATCGATTCGTTAAGATGGCGGACCCCCCGCGCATGCGCAAATCACCTCTGAAACTTCGTTATGAAGACGGGGGTCGATTCGTTAAGGTGGCAACGAATCGATTCGTTAAAAAAGAAATATTTATCAGAAATATTTAAAAATGGAAAATTAACAATGCTTGCCCTGTTGTGGAGCGAACACAGCCACAGGACAGGGACAAACTCACACACACAGGCACACAAGGGTCTTTTCTTTTTTTAGAATATTTTTTGAATTTTTTGAAGAATAAAAGAAAGATATTTTTCAGAAATATTTAAAAATGCTTGCCCTGTTGTGGAGCGAACGGCAAAGCCTCCCCGCTGCTCCCAGCCCAGGGAATGAATGAATGCAAGCAATGAATGAATGCAAGCAATGAATGAATGCAAGGCAAGCCTCCCTCCCGAACCTCCCGTCTCCTCGCCTTCCCCAGCAATGAGCAATGCGGCCACGCGGAGCTGCTTTTAAAGGGCAGCCCGCCCCAATCACAATCAGCCACGGTGCTTGGGAGCGCAGGATTGGCTCCCGTCGCACCCAGCATCCTCCATCCCTAAAACGTCATTTCCGAAACAGGCGGAAGCTCGTAAAAAAGATGGAGGATGCCGTTTCGATATTTAAAACACTTCCGGGTTTGAAAATATGTTTTGTAATCGTTTTGTAATTGCTAAAAATAACGAATATTTAACGAATTACAAAATTAACGAACGAAACCGCCCAGGCCTATTATAGTAACCCTTTTGCACAAGCAATTTCCAGTCTGTAGAGTCATGAAGGAGGACCTAGGACCTAGCTGGGGATTATGGTCCAAACAGTGACTAAAAGCATGATTATTTCTAAATGATTGACACTTATAACAATTTTCAGGAATGTTACATTTTCCATATATACAAAGCAAAGCAGGGAGGAAGTGGAGTCAAATAGTTTGTGGAAGCTCATGATGATTGGTGGCCTTTATGTTTGGGTGCATCTATACTGTAGAATTAATGCAATGTAACTGCCATGACTCGATGCAATGGAATGATGGGAGCTGTAGTTGTACAAAGTTTCCTTCCTTCTCTAGGCCCACATAATTCTACAGTGTAGAGTCATGTTAAGTCAAGCTATGAATCCAGTTTTACCTCTTTTGGAGATAGGATTCCAAATCTTGGATAGCTCCTTTAAAGTTCAAAGTAAAACCTGGAACAGATTGACTATATACTCCTGAATCTGGACAGTTTAAACCAGATCTGGGCATTTCTTAGTATGCAAACTCATCGATTAACACCTGCCCCCTTTGCTTTTCAGCTTTGAAGCAAAAATGCCTTGCAAGCATTTGTCGATCTATTTGAAACCTCAAGAGGAGCCATTGGTTACAAGAAGGCTTGCAGCAGTTCTTAGGTTTGAATGCCTGATGATACAACACACAGGAGAACAAAGATATGGAAGACGTTTTTCACTTGTAAAATAGTGTTTTCTCTTCCCTGCAATGTTTAAACTGAGTTTGATAACTAATAGAAAGTGAAATTGAATTTTGTAAAAAACCTGTGTTGTAATGAAATAATTTGGATTTATTTGTATATTACTTTTGATAACACATGTTCATTAGTTTTGTAAGCCATGGATTGTTTGCTGTGTTTGAAATAGTACTGAAGCCAATTCAAATTAAAAACAAAACCCCAGAAATGTAAGAATTGTACTGCATTGATGTCTTGAAGATTTTGTGGGATTTTTTGTTTTGTTTTGGTGCATTTAAAATCACGCATATATTTAATAGAATTCACGTCAAAGCTGTATGTGGTTATAGCAAGATATTATTGTTATGCAACAATGATTGTGAGGCCATTTGATATATAGACTGGCAGTCTTTTCCCCAAGTATGCCAGGGACTGGTAACATATATATTATCTGAAAACGATCTATAACTATCCATCATTGGCTTGTGGTCCAGCACCATCCCACAAACAACCATATTGAGTAGCATTGGTAAGGTGTTTATCATATTCAGTCCATGAATATGGACAGCTTCTTTGTACAAAATTGTCTTTAAAAGGCATGGACCATTGAGCCATCCTGTTTAGGCTTAAAATTGGGAATCATGTGGCCTACCAATTATTTTTTAACTACAACTTCCATCTTATATCCATTCCAGTTCATCAATTCATTAGTAAAAGACCCTTCAGTGCTGGCCATGTTACCTCTGATTAAAACTCTCCAACAAAGGAGAGCCCATCACATTCTGAATTAGTTTATTCCATTGCCAAACATCTTCAGAAGGTCTTCTGATGTTAAGTTGGACATTCCTTTCTTCCATCCCTTGAGTTGTGTCCTACTTTCTGCAGAAGCAAAAAATCTCCTTAAATAAGATTCAATCTGGTCTTCTCTTCAAATGTGTGTGTCTTCATGTAACTTTGAGGACCTCATCACATTAGGAAATGTTAGTGTCCTAGGACACTTGGAGGATGCAAGGAGGACAGAGCCTGCCAGATGCCATCAGAAGACACACAGATGCTTCCAGCAAGGCTCTGTCCTTCCGACATCCTCCAAACTTCCTAGGACGCTTCCCAGAGAACACAGGAAGCTTTCCGTGTTCTCATTGAGAATAACAGGGCTAGCGTGGGCGAAAACCATGTGATCATGCTTCCCCTTGAGGGATGGGTAAGTGGATGATGCAGTCGATGCGGGGTGTGGGCCAATGGGTTTCCCTTGCTGCCCACTGAATTTGTCATAATGCATGGCAAATCCACCCGCTATCACCCACCAAGTGGACCTCAGTGTGATGAAGTCCCAAGTCTTCTTTTGACTTGTGGTGTCCCCCATGAATGTCATTTATATTTCATATAAATGGTATATTCATAACCTGAATGTAATTGTATACAAGATATTTAATAATGTTCTACATGAAGCAAAGTTTGTGTTGAATGGTCAGAAAGCAAAGATGTCACTCTCTCAGCCACTGATGTGGACAGTTTTAAATTTTGGAGTATTTCTGATTTTGGAATTCTGGATAAGGGATGCTCAGCCTCTATGAGTTCTTAGGTCATGTGTATATGTCTGTGTGTATTTCAGTGCTTCTTACACATTGTAATGCCTCACTGCACACACCAATACATCAGCTAGGCTTTTCAACACTTGGAGAAGCCGAGCTCTGTAAGGCAGTCTAGTTTTTCACCTGTCTCTCAACATGGAACGCTGCCTCTTATTAAGTTCTTACCATGTTGGTCACATGACTAACCAGGAGATGGCTAACAGAGGAACAATTGTTGTGTAATTACAACAGGGCCTGTATTATTTTGGGAACTTGCAGTACCCTGGAGAATAGGCCTATTTAATATAGCCCTGAGTATATAAATGATCTATAATGTTAAACCTCGCCGCCGCAAGCGTTGTGACCTGCAGAAATCTAATGAAAGGGCTGATTCAGAAGGGTTGAAGTGGGGAAAGGGGGGCTGAGGAAGAAAGTGGTCACATGGGAAGAGGGGTCATATCCAGGTGGGTATAAATCACCAAGTTCTAACCTCCTTAAAGCCAATTTCCTCCTCCCTTTGGGCAATATTCTTCAAGGTAAGTCCCATTCCCTGTGATTTTTCTTGGATGGGGATCTTGGGTAATGAGGAACACATTTAGATCATAAAATATATAGACTAGGGAAGAAACTTTAGCAAAAACAAAAAACCAGGAAAAAGGGGACAATCCTAACTGTGCTTTCTGGGGAACTAAGTCCACTTCAATCCAGCCAGGCTTTCTTGAAAAAATATAATGCGTAGGATTGAGTCTGTAGTGTTGGGTTGAATTCTGGGCACACGTGAATTTGAGATTCCATGCATGTTTTTATGCAGTTTCTATTAAGGACTACAGCCTTAAAATAAAACAATTAAAACAAGTAGGTGTATAAATAATACATAAATGTGTTTCAACTTTTGATGACTCCCAATAAGGTGGCATGTTTTCAATCTTTCTCTGTAGTCTCTATAGTAAGAATGTAAATAAAAGTCACATTTTTTTCATGTCCTGTAGAAGAAAGTGGGTCTTGAGACCCCTGGTTTACAAAAGGATATATTTTTTAAAAAAAATTGCAAACATGCAAATTATTTGTAAAGCGTTTTTATGCAGAAAACAGCATTTTAAGCACCCCCCCCCCAAAAAAAACAGTGATTTTTGCACAAGGTATGAGGGACAATCCTAACTGTGCCTTCAAATTGTCTGTTGATTTATGGCAACCCCAAGGATTTGTTAGGGTTTCATTAGACAACGATTACTTAGTGTGGCTTTTGCAAGTTACTTCCTTTGAAATACAACCTACAGTAATGGAGATCTCCCATACCAAGTATTAACCAGGGCTGTCTCTATTTAATTTCCAAAATCAGACAGGATTGGTGCCATTAGGATATTTAGCCTATTAGTGGCACTTACTACAAAGCAACTATGAATGTAACCACTAAAGTATTATGCAGTGTATGTCTTTTCCTTTGGTAAGCCACAATTAAGGCCAATGTAGTTAATATACCAATTGAGGGACTTATTGTCCAAGACTGGGCTTGAAAAGCAACACTACCAATATATCGTAAATTCTATTTTAGTCCTTACTAGAGTAAACCTGTTTAAATTAATTGGATTTATCCTGTTGGATTGGGACTGACCATCAGGGTTTCAGTTACCCACATATGTTCTGGATATGTATAATATTTATACTGGATTAAGGGGAACTTCTTTGGGTTGGCTGTAGAACATCTTTAACAGCTCACAGATTCCTTTACTTGAAATGCATTCCTAGAATAATGCTTTCCTTCATCACTATTATATTATTACATTGGATAATAAAACAAATGTAGAAGATTACAATAATTGGATAATCCCTCTCCTTCCTTGGGGTAGTTGTATTTTGAGATTTGAAGGACATGTATGCAGTCTTACCATGTTACTTAAATCATCAGGAAAGTTTTCTGCAAAAGGATGATGGTAATCCTACTGGTGAAAGTATTGATGATATTGCATAGTAGTGGTAAGTGGAAAATTGTGTTACTATTTCTCCAGCTCTTTAAGTAGTGTTTGTGGACATTTTGCCTCTGTAGAATCGTCTTAGGCCCCTTCCACACAAGTGTATAAAATCCACAATGAACTGGATTATAGTGTGGACTCAGATAATCCAGTTCAAAGTATCGTGGATTAACTGCCTTGATATTCTGGGTTATATGCCTGTGAGGAAGGACTCATAAATATCCAATAACAACAGGTCAACAACATATGGTGCTTGGTTCACACACACACAACACCCATTTTTGAAGCTCTGGAAAAAATCTAAAAAAATCTTTGCAAAAAAAATTGTTCACTTTGTTGCAAAACATAAAAAAATGTAAGAATTAAAGAAAGCAAAACAGGGACACTTATCCACCCATTGGCTAAGAATATGAAATTCCTTGAAGTATGTGATTGTTCAAGACAGCTGGAGAAAGTGTGCCTGCCAATTCATTTTATGGCCAGCCAAGGTAAAGATTTTTCTCCATGTGCAAAATCACAATGATCCAAAACATCATTGGGCAACACCTAGCATCACCCAAATCACCTGAAATCGTCAGAAAAAACATGACAGTTAAAAACCAGACATGGTCTGGATGCCTGTTGGTGTGATAACCTCAGTATGGGGTCTTACACACACAGTTGGACTTCTTTGGTTATTGTACAATGGACATTATTTAGCTCATGGTTGGGTTAAATGGACTTCTAAAAAATTAACTTTTTACATGGTTTTAACAATACTATCAGTACAAAATAGAATAGGTCTCTTGAATCAATTGGGTCTACATATGTGCTGATTCAACATTCAACAATTGATTGAATGGATCTAATCTAATTGAGAATCACCAACAAAAAAGGTGAAAGAGAGAGCAAAGATTAGGCCAATTTATCATGAGGTAGGTAATTCCATACTCTAGGAGTGGTGTGTATTTGTCTGTGTTTTCAGATGTACCCCTTGCCAAAACAGCCACTGAGTTTTCCCATTGTTTCATATCTATGCTATCTATGCTTCTTATTTGTGTAACACACCACATTTGAAGTTCCTTTTAAAGATGTGGTTGTACAGATATGGTAACTGTGTGCTAAAGACATGTTTAGTTCATGACTATATAAGCAATCACACAAATGTAACTATTTGACATTGGCATGATAGTTGCTGTGTGTCTTCAAGTCATTTCTGACATATGACAACCCTACAGCAAGTCTACCATTGGATTTCCTTGGCAAAATTTCTTTAAATTGAGCTTGCTTTTGCCCTCCTCTGAGGCTGAGAGAATGTGACCTGCTCAATGCCACCCAGTGGGTTTCCAAGTCCCAGTGAGGATTCAAACATTGCTCTCCACAGTTAAAACACTAAAACAGGTATGGGCAAACTTAGGCTCTTTGGGTGTTTTGGATTTCAACTACCACAATTCCTAACATCCTACCAGCTGTTAGGAATTGTGGGAGTTGAAGTCCAAAAGACCTGGATGGCTGAAGTTTGCCCATACCTGCTTTAGACTTTGCAGATTGATTTTTGGCTAAATCTCTGATGCCATGATCTTTAACGCAATATCCTCTTGGTAATAATGATACTGGACTCCTAGTTCCTAAGCCCACTTCTTAGTTCTTCTAAGCAGTGGGCTGTTAGAATTTCCCCCACTCATCCGCTGGCATTTTAGGAACCGAGATTCTTTTGCCGTCTCAATGAAATTCTGTGGCAAAACTCTGATTCACTATATAGTTCAGACATACTTTAATGCCCTGCCTTCTCAGCCCTATGCAGGACATTGGACTACTAATTGTTCTTTGTGGAACCTTTATACATATTTTCATATTTTGTGTTTCACAATGGGGCCCTAATTAATTCAAATAGTATTCATATTGCATTTTCTGTTGTAATTGTTTTTTTTCTCTTCTGGGTGCGCCAGGAGGTCAAGGGCCGGAGACGCCAGCACTTCCAATGGATCTTCCTCTTGTGACAGAAAGAAACTTAAGTAAGAAGCTTTTATTCAAGATCTGTCTAGCAATGAGAACTCTGGGAGAAGGGGTATAGATGTCTGAAGTTGCACACTGTGGCCTGATTGAGTTGTTTGCTTGTGGTATGCTTTCCACCCTGTTGTTCCAGTGGTTAAGATTTTCTTAACTACTGTAATAATATTGGGGTCATTCTTCTGCATAAAAAGCATGGATTGTATTGTTTCTTTGTACTCCAATCAAAAGATAAGGTTTAGAAAAGTGGAGGGCAAGAAGCTTTCTGATAACTATGGGTTCCCAACATGCATTAAACTGAATGCCAAACTTGTGGGGGGGGGGGGGGGGAGAGATCCAAACTGAAGTGTTTCCATTATTCATCGCAGTTTTCAAAAGCAACCAAATCAAGCAAAATATTTGAACAGTTACTCACTGCAGAAAATTCTTTCTCAATTCCTTTGCATGAAAAAATCCATCCAGAAACAGAAACATTGCACCTTCCCCCCCCCCCACCCCAAACTATCACTCCAAAGCAACAAGTAAAAAGAAGAAATACTTGGGAAAGTAGCAGTAAAATGTCACATAATTGCCAGAATTTTGTAAATCACATTAGTTGCCCCACAAGTGAGTGTATGTGTAATGAAATGGACAATAGAAATAATATTGCAAACTTATTTCTATTCAGATAACATTACATTCTTCAATGGAGTCTTTGCAAATGTGGAAAGTGTTGCAGTGTTTTTTGGTAAGTCTAGCTTTTTTGTTATCTTATAATATTCATAGAATCATAGAATCACAGAGTTGGAAGAGACCCTGTGGGCCATCCAGTCCAACCCCCTGCCAAGAAGCAGGAAAATTGCATTCCAAGTACTCCTGACAGATGGCCATCCAGCCTCTGCTTAAAAGCCTCCAAAGAAGGAACCACCACCACACTCCTGGGCAGAGAGTTCCACTGCTGAACAGTTCTCACAGTTAGGAAGTTCTTCCTCATGTTCAGGTGGAATCTCCTTTCCTGTAGTTTGAAGCCATTGTTCTGCATCCTAGTCTCCAGGGCAGCAGAAAACAAGCTTACTCCCTATGACTTCCCTTCATATTTTTATACATGACCATCATGTCTCCTCTCAGCCTTCTCTTCTGCAGATTAAACATGCCCAGCTCTTTAAGCCTCTCCTCATAGGGCTTGTTCTCCAGACTCATAGACTTTAGGGGGGGAATATCCTAATATATATCAAGATTTTGCATATATTACTATGAAACATAGATGTATCTGGATCCAGTGATACACAAGTGCAAAATTATATCAGCTCTCCTGTATATCAGGAATGAAGATGTGGGAGCACTGTGAAAACTCTAAGGTYTTATTTTGCTCTCTTCCTGACAGACAGTAGCCTTTTAATTTCATTTCTTCTCCCTTTCTTTCCTTTCCTTTACAAAATAAATCCATGGTCACCGACCAGTTTCAGTTGTCAGTGGTCTGATTCTTAGGCTCCATCTTTATAGTCCCCCCCCCCCCCAAATTTTTTTACAAACTTTCAGCATTTATCAAACCGTGGATATTTTCCTCTTGTGCATGAGTAAGTAAGTTTGGCTTAAGTCAAGATTTATTTAATTTTATTTAAGATTTAAATAAAATTACTATGAACATATGGGTTACTCCACGTCCTTACCCTCCTGTCATTTCCTGTCCATGTTTTGATAAGTTTGCGTGGAGAATGAGAAGATTGACAATCAAATTAGAATTCTGTTTACCAGGTGATAGCTCTCACTGTTTTTTGTCCAGCATGAGTTTTTCCTTAACCTATCAATCTTGCATTTGAAATTGGCCGTTGGAAGGTTAATTGGAAGATTGCTGAAGCAATCTCTAAGTAAATTTTTATTAGAGGAATAGAAATAAATTAATGATAGCCAGTCTGCATTCTCTTTAAGTTTGATCCTGGGAAGCCAAGGCCATCTTCATGAGACATGTTTGGGGGTTTCTTTTTCATCTTATAAGGAAAAAACTTAGAAGTTTCTGAGTTTCTCCCCAAAATTCTCTGTATTGAAAAGAAACTTCTTTATGTATGTCAATGGGCCTTAATGTTGATTTCTTAACATGCATGTTCGTTTAGACTGTTTAGGTTCCCACTTCACCTGGCTCCAGTCTATATTCACCAACTTTCCTGCGTTGCTCAACTTTGTGAACAAAATGAAGTGCGTGACCGGCATTTGCCCCAGAGAGTTCGAAGACTATGGTTGTGCCTGCCGGTTTGAGATGGAAGGCCTCCCTGTAGATGAAGTAGATAAGTGAGTCTAACACTGGCTCTATACAACCATTGTGCTGAATGACAGTGTTGAGCAACTAAATCAACACACCAAAATTATGCAGAATAATAATAATAATAATAATAATAATAATAATAATAATAATAATAATTCGAACTGCAAAGACTCTGGCACAAGCCAGTAAAGGTGGTCCCAGTGGTGATCAGCACACTGGGTGCAGTGCCTAACGACCTTGGCCTGCAGTTAAACACAATCGGCGCTGACAAAATTACCATCTGCCAGCTGCAGAAGGCCACCTTACTGGGATCTGCACACATTATTCACCAATACATCACACAGTCTAGATACCTGGGAATCTGCTGTGGACTCATCTTGTTGTGTTTCAAATAATAATAATAATAATAATAATAATAATAATAATAATAATACACTTTATTTCTATTCTGCCCTTCTCCCTTAGGGGACTCAGATAGGATTACAGTATTTACAAACATAGGAAAACATTCAATGCCCTTACAATCACAGATATAGTGAGACACACAAACATAATCAAAGGCAAGGCTTCTCCTTTCATTTCTGGCTGCTGGAGGCTATGCTCATTTCTGGCTTTTCTCCATTTTCAAGCTGAGGAGCCTGCATTGTTACCTCCTGATTGTGTGGCCAACAAAATTGGTTGAAGTGTCTCTTGCCTTTTCCTGCTGAAGCTGTACCTATCTATCTACTCACATTTGCATGTTTTCCAACTGCTAGGTTAGCAGGGAGCTAGGGCTGACAGATGAGAGCTCACCCCATCTCACGGATTCAAACTGCCAACTTTCAGGTCAGCAACTTTCAGCCAGCACAAGGGTTTAACCCATTGCAACACCACAGCCACAAGCAAGCCCACATGAGCATCCATGTGCAATGTGATCCATTGGATTGAAATGTGGACAATCCCCATTGGATAACTTGTGCATGTATAAGTACACCAAAAGGTCTTAAACTCTCTATGATTCCAGATATGTAAGGGCTTTCCATGGTTACTTGGAGATATATGAAAGAGAATTATTTCACAGTAGGCCACTGAATCATGGTTTGGGGACTAAGACAATACTCAGATGAAGTATGCAATGCTAATTAATTTTTTCCCCTCTCTCTTGCCCTAATAAGTTGCTGTTTCCAACACCGAAAGTGCTACGAAGAGGCAACTGATGAAGAATGTATGTGGGATCCTGCCAAGATGACTATGGATGTCAGCTGTCTCACCAAAAATATCACCTGTGGTAAGACTGAAGAGAAGAAGTGTCAAAGATTAAGGATGTGGAAAACAACAACCTTGTACATTTTCCTACCCTTGATGAGAAAGAAGGTGAAGGCAATTCATCCCCCTCCCCTAAAGAAAAGCCCAACATAAGAGTCTAACCACCCCATTCTGGGACATTGGAATGAAAAAAATCAGCTAGTAACAAACATTTATTTTAAAAAATCATCCTGTTTAAAAATATGTGTTTTCTGTTGACAAAACGATATTTTGCGCAAAATGTCCAGGTTTTGTGAAACAAGTTTTTGTGTGAATTTTTCATGAAAAATATTGCAAAAAACACACACGCAGTGCCACCTTTAACAACAGCAACAACAACTTTATTCTTATACCCTGCAACCATCTCCCTGAAGGGACTCGGGACAACTTACATATGGGACAAAATGCCCACAAGACATAAATACAAAATATCCATTATGGCAAAAACACAATTAAAATAAGAGCATGGTAAAATATAACAATCCAGATAAAAAACACAATTAAACAAAACATCAGAATATAAAACAACAGTGTTGAAACCCAATCAAATCAATGCTCAACAAAAAGCAATAACCAGTAATACAATGGGCGTGACCAGGCTGTAAAAAGGGCTGGGCATAGGGTAGTGCAAATTGCGTACCATAGGGCCAGGGTACTGGATGAAGTGCAGAGAACAAAAGATTATCAGGCAACCTAGGGACTGGGCATTTATAACAAGGAACTAGGTGTTATCGAATGCTAGCTGAAACATCCAGGTTTTTAAATCCTTGCAAAAGAAGAACAGTGTGGGGACTTGCCTAATCTCCTTTGGGAAGGTGTTCCAAAGTTGGGGGTCACCACTGAGAAGGCCCTCTCCCTCTTCCCCACCCACTGTGCTTGTGACAATTGTGGGAGCAAGAGAAGGGTCTCTCCAGCAGATCTTAGCGCCTGTGCCAGTTTATACGGGAAGATGTGGTCTCAAAGATATTAAGGACCTGAACCGTTTAGTCTTGAACATAGTCAGGACCCAAATCGTTTAGTCATATGTTCATAAACCAGAACCTGTTCTTTCAACCCTAGAACACTTTGGGGAAGGGGGGTGGTTACAAGATTCCAGCCAACATTTTCAGAAGCTGAATTTATTCTAACAATTTAATTCCTTGAAGACAATCTTTCTGGCAATGAAGACCCCATTTTATATAGACTGGAACCATACGTTGTGCCAAAACTGCATTAAAACTGGCTCTTTTTGTGAAATTATCTCAGTCCTGAGCTCATTCTGTGCTGGCTGAGTCATGTCAGTGACACAGGATAGGATTTCCTCGCTACAAAATGAAATGCGCTTGTCCAGGTCGAAACCTTCTAGAGAGAAGGCAGAGTGTGAAAACAGATCTCTCAATACTACTTTGTATGTGGGCCTCTTTCTCTTTCGAAAACATGATTTCCTTTCATCTCCAGAGTCTGAAGATTCCTGTGAGCTCTTTCTCTGCAACTGTGACAAAGCAGCCATTGAATGTTTTTTGCACTCCCGGTTTAATTCTTCCATGAACAGCTTGGATGTTTCATTCTGTCCGACTCCAGTTACAGGTGAGAATATAAAGAGAGAGCTCTCACAGTGAGACCTCAGTTCCTGGAGGTGCCTGGTTTTCCCCCAAGTTGCATTCTGATGGTTTTTTTTTAACTTGCTTAGTAACAGGTTATTGCTTTCTGTTGTATAATGCCATTTCCTGAGACAAATTTATTTATTGTATTGTAGAAGGCTTTTATGACTGGAATCACTGGGTTGTTGAAGGTTTTTCGGGCTATATGGCCATGTTCTAGAAGCATTCTCTCCTGACGTTTTGCCTGCATCTATGGCAAGCACCAGAGAAAGACTGTACCACACTCGGAGGTGGAATATTCCACTGCCAAACAATTCTTGCAATCAGGATTTTTTTCCTTATGTTTAGATGGAATCTCTTCTCCAGTATTTTGAAGCAATTGCTCCATATCCTACAGGTATCTACATGGGCCACAAATGGCAATGCTGATCCAGAATGAGATCTATGTCACCATGGTCAACAAGGCTAGCTGCTCAGCCAGCTACACTGCATACCTTGGAATTCTCCAGCAGCTGGATGGCAATTGGTTAGAAACAAGGTTTCTTCCAATTCTATGATTCTATATGAAAAATGAATAATGTGCATAATTAGAATGGAAATTGAAGAACCTTTGGAGTTCTTCAATTTCCATTCTAATTATGCACATTATTCATTTTTCATATAGAATCATAGAATTGGAAGAAACCTTGTGGGCCATCCAGTCCAACCACCTGCCAAGGTGCAGGAAAATCACATTCAAACCACCCCAACAGATGGCCATCCAACCTCTGTTTAAAACCCTTCAAAGAAGGAGCCTCCACCATCACTGGAGCAAAGAGTTCCACTGCTGAACAGCTCTCGCAGTTAGGAAGTTCTTCCTAATGTTCAGGTGGAATCTCTTTTCCTGTAGTTTGAAGCCATTGTCACATTGTGTCCCAGTCTCCAGGACAGCAGAAAGGACAGCCTGCTCCCTATTCCCTATGATTTCCTTTCAAATATTTATACCTGGTCTCCTCTCAGCCTTTTCTTCTGCAGGCTAAACGTGCCCAGCTCTTTAAGCCACTCCTCATAGGGGTTGTTCTCCAGACCCTTGATCCTTTTAGTCACCTTTCTTTAGATGCATTTCAGCTTGTCAACATGTTGCTTCAATTGTGGTGCCCAGAATTGGACACAGTATTCCAGATGTGGTCTGACCAAGGCAGAATAGAGAAGTAGCATGACTTTCCTGGATCTAGACACTATGTTCCTTCTTTTTTTCAGAGATACCTACTGAGAAGAGTCTGACAACAGCTAAAATTTCAGGTATGCATTTTACCCAACACAGCTTTGGTCTCTGGACTTCTGGGACAAAATATGGACAATATTTTATCAAGAATGGTATCAGAAAACAGGATTAAATAGTCCCATTTTCTATTCATGCAATTGTATCCATCCCTTCAGGGATCTAGCTTAATTCCTCACTTTGCCCTCAAGTCTTTCTTCACCCCTTTCAACAATGCCTGCTTCAACCCCTTCTCCAAAATTGCTGACATTAGGAAATACAACAAGTCTTGAACAGAGGGTCAAACTAATGGCGGGAAATTGGATTTCTGTGCCCACAGAACAAAACAAGTGTGAAGAGGTGAACTTCTTGACAAGATTTGTTCTGAAGTGATTTGCTATTGCTCTCCTCTGAGACTGAGAAAGTATGACTTGCCCAATGCCAGTCAATGGGTTTCATGGCCAAGTGGGGATTTGAACCTTGGTCTTCAGAGTCATAGTCCTGCACTAAAATCACCACACTCACTCTGAAGATACAAATACTAAAATTCATGTGTACACAGAGACATCACAGCTAAAAAGTGCATCAATGTGCCATAATTGTGGGGTGTGGGTACAGAGGTGGCCCTAGGTAATTTTCAATGGTAAGCAAACAGTGTTTTGGCACCCCCCCCCTAAACCAATCATTGATATATATTTTCTATTGGCCCTGGGAGTTCTGTGTGCCATATTTGGTTCAATTCCATCATTGGTGGAGTTCAGAATGCTCTTTGATTGTAGGTGAACTATATATCCCAGTAACTACAACTCGCATATGTCAAGGTCTATTTTTCCCCAAGAGCGCCGCAAGAGTGCCCCTGGGCAAAATCAACTATACTGCAAATGCTTGCGTAATGGGTTGAGCCGCCCCTGGGTGGGTATATCCCTAGAGTGGAGAGAAGCACTGCAATAAAAGATGAAATGTCAACACTAAATCTCAGACCAAAACAAGAAGCATGTTAATGCTTGCAAACAGTAACAAACACATCTCTTTGTATTTTTTTTGCAGACCTTCAAGATCAGAGGATCGAAGACACACAGTTGACAGACACATCTGTGGCAGAGGGTATTCACTTGTCCCCACTGTTCTTATTTAGTGTAGTTCTGGTCAGAATTTAAAATGAGCACAAATCAATTTAGGCTTATTTTTCTTCCACAAGGAAGCAACAATTCTAGCTCTTAGAGCTTATTTTCATGGTTATCAAAATATGGACTTGGTCTCTGAGTTGGCTCCTGCTTGTCCTCATGATATTTCTCATCTTCCAATAAGTATTCTGGGTTAAACCAGTTTAGCATTGTGTGGGGTTTGCTTGAAACTGCAGCATATCCCCATGGATTTGGGATAATGTGGACATCAGATCAAATTGATTCATTAAATACATCTGCACCAAAATTGAGGTCTTCTAGAGGTCCTTTTCTGTGTCCCATCAGTGAGCTCAGGAAGTTGTGACAAAATCAAGGTTGCCTTTTGGATTTTTGGGGGGAGAGTGGATATTTTCTTTCATGGGTGGTTGAATCTGTGGATACAGAATCAGTAGATATGAAGGGACATCTGTAATTTTGACTTGTTCAGTTGTTTTGAATTGGTTGTGCTGATTTCATTACATGTCATCATGAGGTTCCATGATATTGTTGATATGTGCTGCAAAGTTGGCTTTAATGCATGTTGAGTGATAGTCCTCTAAAACATCCTGTTATAGGCCAGGATAAATAAAAATATTTTTAAAAAATAGATTAATAGTTTAAATCACATTGATTGATGAAATCTAAACATGAATAAATATCAGTATGTGCATTCATAAGTAATTTTGCATATTTTCTTTTCAGTATTCCAGGAAGTTTTCCCACTGTCTTCTAAGCTGTAGAAAACTGAAAGATGAGATGACTTATGGGGAAATGGGGTTAAATCAGTTGCAAAGTAGGGAAGGTATCTGCAAATTAATTTGCCAAACACAGACAAAGAGCAAATAGCTTCTGTGTGCCTTCATTTTATGGTGTTTGAGATTTGTAAAGCAAATCTTGATACTTTTCGTATTAAAAGTATTCAATAAATTAGTATAAAACTGATAAAAAATAGATGGAGCATAAGTGGCTAAATAACGGGCAACAGCAACCGCATTGTCTGTAGCCTCCAACAACTATTCCTCTGTACATGAGGCAGGACATTGCGGACAAGCATACAGATGCAGAGTTGTTTGTTCTATTCCACAGTCTGAAGATTTTTCCAGATAGTGCCATTTTACCAGGTTGTCTTTTGATCTGCCCAATCCACTTCTATGTCTGTTCCACTTCTGTGTCTGTTCAGGGACTTCCAAGTTACCCATTTTTGGTTTGCCCCTGGTAGCAGAGACTTGGGGAAGGGGACATCCTATTGTGATTTCCTGGTTTAGCTGCCCAGAGAGATATTCTTGTGCTGGGGGAACATTAAGAGGAGTGATGGTTCTCATTAAGCTTTTCCTTGATTTGAGTCTACCGGGAGGAGGCTGATAGCAATGCAGTGGATGGCTTTCACAGTGTTCAACCTTATTTCTCTCACAGTTAGCAAGAACTTCCCATCACACATCAGGGAGGGCAATGCCAGTTAGCTTGTAGAGTTTTTAAACAGGTGTAGGTTTGAGACATCCTGTGATTATTCTGCATGTTTTGTTCAATGCTATGTTCACCTGCTTCACGTGGACAGACTTGTGCCAAACGGCAGGCATAGATTCTTTTGATTTCAGAAAATACAGAGCATCATCTACCATCAGCATTATGAACAAAATTAAAGCAGAATTGTTTTTTTTTTCTAATTGTTACAACTGCACTACATTAGGATTTAGGCAGAGGATGATGAGACCTAGATTTTCCCATTTGGCTATGTGTACCACACTTCACTTACAGAGATGCTCCTCTTTGTTGATTATTTTGCCATTAGGGAAAGAGTCACAGCAAGCTATTTTTCAATGTATTTGGTAAATTAATCTGATAATAAGTTCTGCCCAAGGTTTTCATGCTACCATGGATGTAACTTCGTGTATTATATATCTTACAGCTACTCCACCACCCACCAGTGGAATAGTAGTAGAGATGTCAGGGACAGAATGTAAGTGCTTCATGGCCATGTTTTTTATTGATGTCATCAGTTGATTTTATTAGTTTGCACAATTGTTCTTCATTCTCTTGATGAAATCATTTCTTTCTTCATATTGTTTCTACTTTCTTTTCAACAGTTACTTCCCAAGATAGAATTATTGGGATCCAAGGAGGAGGAGGAGGTGTGTATCCGCTTTGTGCTCTTTTGAAGTATTTTTAAAATGTGTACATAGACATAAGATTATTGCTCAAACTGCCCTTTATGAATTAATGAATTAATCAATGGCCCAATTGATGAATCAAATAGTTAATAGGTAGGGGGGAAATCAATGGTCTTCCTATGAATTATTTGTTGAGTGATAATAATCAGAATGGAGGCTGAAGTCAAGAAATCTGAAGACTAGGGCTTGGCAGGGCAGCTGTGAAGGAACAACACAATATGATGAAGTGTCAAGATATATATTTCAGTGCTAAAATCAGGATCTTCCATGCTATTGCATTTCTTGTCTCTAATATTTCTTGTCCGGAAGCTCCAGTTAGTCCAACGGGCGGCAGCCATGATTCTAACAGGAGCGGGGTGCAGGGAGCATACAACTCCCTTGCTGAACCAGCTCCACTGGCTGCCGATATGCTACCGGGCTCAATTCAAAGTGCTGGTTGGCCTTTAAAGCCCTAAACGGTTCTGGCCCAACTTATCTATCCGAACGTATCTCAGCCTATCAGCCCACCAGGACCCTAAGATCTTCCGGAGAGTCCCTTCTCTCTATCCCTCCAGCTTCAGAAGTGCGGCTGGCGGGAACGAGAGATAGGGCCTTCTCTGTGGTGGCCCCGGCTTTGGAACACCCTCCCTATAGAGGTACGATCAGCCTCTTCGCTGATGGTGTTTAGGAAGAGACTCAAAACATGGCTGTTCAAACAAGCATTCGGCTAATCTGTGGCAATTCGAATATTGATGACTAAGGACAGGAAACATGGACAACGAATTCTGGATTGCGATTTCAACTCGAGATATATGGGATTATTATTGGTGGCCCAATAATTTGTTATTGAATTTGTTATTATATGTGTATATGTTTTTAAATTGTAGATTGTTTTAACTGCTGTAAACCGCAATGAGTCGCCGTTCTAGGCTGAGATATTAGCGGTATACAAGTGTATCAAATAAATAAATAAATAAATAAATATGATCATAAAAACTAGATAATGAAGAATACTGAATAGGAAATCAACTAATTTAAATGTAGTGAGGGAGAAGAGGTCTATGAGTATCATGGACTGCTAAAAAAGACAAATCAGAGGGTCCTAAAGCAAATAAACATGAAATCTCCCTAGAAACCAAAATGACTAAACTGAGCTTGTTGAATATTGGACATATCATGGGGAAACATGACTAAAAATAATAGAAAAGATAATAAGGATTAATAAGGTAGAAGGCAGTAGGAAAAAAGAGGAAGGTTGCATGAAATGACTCAATTAGAAAAGCCATTTACAAGTTCTTGATCAAGGCTGTTGATGATAGAGGGTTTTGGAAGTCATTCATTCATTTTGGTGCAATTCAAAATCTACTTTGCAGAACTTAACAACAAAAGAGTGATCATTGAAAGGAAAGACAGAAATCATGTATTTTCTAAATTAGTTCTACTCAAATTTATGGTCCCTCGATTGATGCCAGTCTCACAGTCATTGGCTGCCAGTCCCTGGTGAGTTTACACAAGAGACAAATGATTATAGCCAATAAATACAAATATAATGCAATTCTCTAATATTCCTCAGACCTCACTACCTCTGAGGATGCTTGCCATAGATGCAGGCGAAACGTCAGGAGAGAATGCCTCTAGACCATGGCCATACAGCCCGAAAAAACCTACAACAACCCAATTCTCTAATACATTATAAGAAAACAAATGCTGGTTCCCAACATCAGATAGCTTTAGATTCACTCAAACAGTGCTTGGAATTGATCTTAAGCATTACATTGCTATTAACCGAATGTTCTAATTATTGTTTATAAAGAAAGTTGGATTGTCTATTCTGTTACATAAGCTCCAGAGCAGGGTCCCAGTCAAATGTGATCTAAATTGTTATTTTTGCTTTGACAGATATTCCTTCCGATATTAGTGACCTGCTGGTGAAGGACTTGGAAGAGGGAGGCAAGTATATATACACAGTTGGTACCACCAACTTCTTGTGACAATATAAAAGACAAAGATATCATTATCTCTATAATCCATGTATATATACACAAACACACACATATATACACATATACACAAATATATATACACACAAAACACATATGCACAGACTGGGCCACAGCAATGCATGGCAGGGGCTGCTAGTTAAGTAATGTTATGTGAGCAGTTGGGGGATGCAGGCTACAAAAAACAGGGAGAATTTGCATAATTCTTTGTTCATGATAGAGATCTATGATAGACCTTAATCCAGGGCATACTATCCATCATTGTGAATTACTTGCAGATAATCAGGTTTTTCTTTTGGAATGGATGTGGACAAGTTTCTCTTTCTTCTCAAAATCTTATACTCTTGTCACTTTATTTGCCATTGTAGCTGTTACACCGGACATGGAGAGTGGTGGAGGATTGGAAAGCTTCAGAGAAGGAGGTGAGTGGGTGAGAACTGCTAAAAATTTCAGTTTTTTTTGGCTGGGGCACATTCACTCCCATATTAACATGGGAGCCACCAGCCACCTTTGCCTCCATGGGTTGTTGTAGGTTTTTTGGGCTATATGTCCAGGTTCTAGAAGCATTCTCTCCTGACATTTCGCCTGCATCTATGCCAAGCATCCTCTATGGCAAGGACCTCACAAGCTCTGAGGATGCTTGCTATAGATGCAGGCGAAATGTCAGGAGATAATGCTTCTAGAACAGGGGTCTACAAACTTTTTAAACAGAGGGCCAGGTCACAGTCCCTCAAACTGTTGGAGGGCCAGATTATAATGTGAAAAAAACATAAATGAATTTCTATGCACACTGCACATATCTTATTTGTAATTAAAAAAACACTTTAAAACAATACAATAATTAAAATGAAGAACAATTTTAATAAATATAAACTTATTAGTATTTCAATGGGAAGTGTGGGCCTGTTTTTGGCTGATGAGATAGAATTGTTGTTGTTGTGTGCTTTCAAGTAGTTTCAGACTTAGGTTGATCCTGAGCGAGGGCCGGATAAATGACTTTGGAGGGCCGCATCTGGCCCCCAGGCCTTAGTTTGAGGACCCCTGGTATAGACTGTCAAAGATGCTTGGAATGCTTGGAAACTGAAGAAGTAGACTAAACCTATGAAATTGTCAAAGGCTTTCATGGCTGGAATCACTGGGTTGTTGTAGGTTTTTCGGGCTATATGTCCATGTTCTAGAAGCATTATCTCCTGATGTTTTGCCTGCATCTATGGCAAGCATCCTCTATGGCAAGGACCTCACAATCTCTTGTGGATGCTTGCCCTAGATGCAGGTGAAACGTCAGGAGAGAATGCTTCTAGTATAGGGGTCCACAAACTTTTTAAACAGTGGGCGAAGTCACAGTCCCTCAAACTGTTGGAGGGCCGGATTATAATGTGAAAAAAACATAAATGAATTCCTATGACACTGCACATATCTTAGTGCAAAAAACACTTTAAAACAATATAATTAAAATGAAGAACAATTTTAACAAATATAAACTTATTAGTATTTCAATGGGAAGTGTGGGCCTGCTTTTGGCTGATGAGATAGGATTGTTGTTGTTGTGTGCTTTTCAAGTGATTTCAGACTTAGATTGATCCTGAGTGAGGGACGGGTAAATGACCTTGGAGGGCCGTATCTGGCCCCCGGGCCTTAGTTTGAGGACCCCTGTTCTAGAACATGGCCATGTAGCCCAAAAAACCTACAACAACCCAGTAAACCTATGAAAGCTTATGCCACAAATTGCACGCTGATATTCCAGACTAACACAGCTATGACTTTGTTTCATGACTATTTGCAGTAATATCACAGGAAGGTGTAACTGCTACTTTGGACAGTTTCAGGTCAGGAGGTAAGTCCATATCAAGCATTGGCTTGTTTCCAGTTCTCAATAGAACTCCTGGTTGTACTGTGTATTCCAGATGCTGAAGGGATGGGTCATGGCTACTCAGGGCAGAAAAAGGTTGCAATCCTAGACACATCTTTCTGGAAGTAAGACCCATTAGCAACAGTGGGACCTGCTTCCAAGGAAACATGGATTGGGCTGGTATAAATATTGTGCTGTAGTAAACAAATAAACAACTCCTTCCTTTCCTTCCATTCATACCTTATATTTTGCCCCCTCCCCCCCCCCAAAAAAAACCTAGGAGTTATATTGTCTTACATATCAAAACAGATACAGTACAGTTAAATATATACAAGATCAACATGAAAGTAGAATGAAAGCTTGACAAAACTGAAAACTAATTGGAACATGTCATTAAAATGTTAATAAGCAGTGTAGACACAATACAATAACAGTGAAACCCATATCTGTGGTTTCACGTAGCCATCTCTGAGGAACAGTATCCCTCTAGGAATTGGCTAGATCCTCAAGGAAATTATATGGTACCCTTCCCTCAGATGCTTGGAGATTGAGGAGGTCGTCTTACACTATAATTTGCACAGTGACATGCCAGAATAACACAGCTATGTCTTTGTTTTATGTATATTTACAGTAGTATCACAAGAAGGCATAACTGCTCTTTTGGAAAACTCCATGCCAGGAGGTAAGTCCACATCACCCAATTGATTGCTGACAATTATGAACAGATCATAAAATGTGGCTGGCTGTTCACCTTTTTCCAGATGCTGAAATGAAGGTTCATGAAAGGAGACATGATGAACATGTTTAAATATTTGAAAGGATGTCATAAGGAAGATAAGGAAGAGCAGGCTTGATTTTTGCTGCCCTGGAGACTAGGGACGATGTTACATTAGCATTATAAAGCGGAGGTATTTGATGTATTGTCGAAGGCTTTCATGGCTGGAATCACTGGGTTGTTGTAGGTTTTTTGGGCTATATGGCCATGTTCTAGAAGCATTTTCTCCTGACATTTCACCTGCATCTATGGCAAGCATCCTCACAACCTCTGAGGATGCTTGCCGTAGATGCAGGTGAAACATCAGGAGAAAATGCTGCTAGAACATGGCAATATAGCCTGAAAAACCTACAACAACCTGGAGGTATTTGTTTCCCCATCACTCTGTTTGTTCCATCAGAATTATGGGAAATGTAGTATAGGAAAGCCAAGGACCTCTCTAACTGAGAATTCCAAAAAACCCCAGCAAACTACATTTTACAGAATTCTGCAGGAGCAAACAATGTAAGGAAGTGAGTGCTTCTGCTTTATAAACGCAAATGTGGTATTGTCTTAGGACATGAAGTGATGTGTTGAAATTACAGGAAAGGAGATTCCACCTGAACATTAGGAAGAACTTCCTGAGTGTTAAGCAGTGGAACTCACTGCCTCAGAGTTCTTTGAGGCTTTTAAGTAGAGTTGGAAGGCCATCTGCCGGGGTGCTTTGAATGCACTTTTCTTGCATGGGAAGGGGTTGGACTAGATGTCCCATGTGGTCTTTCTCAACTCTATGATTCTCTGATTCTATGGTTCTGTGAATATTTTCCCAGACCTAAGATCTTCTGGCAACAGTGGGATCTTTTATTTTGGACTGGTATATTAAACCTGTAATGCATAAGGAAACTCACCACTATCTTTATCCTTATCACATTTTTATATCCTACTTCTATCCATTCCTTAAAAAGAACTGAATTTATGGCAGCTTTCAACTAAAAATGAGTAAAGTGAAACATACAAAGATCAATATTAAAATCTGGAATAAGCAGGATGCTCAAGATGATGGGAGTCATTTTCCAACACAGTTAGAACATGGTTGGAAGATTCTCCATTGGTGAAGACCATTTGCAAAACAGGTTTTATTTTCTGACAAGGCAATCTCTTCCTGATATTGTTAAAAAGGAACCATGGATATGTCTTCAGATCCAACCGAGGAAGCTTTCTTCACAAGGGAAACCCCTTCTGCTTCATCTGATATGAACTCAAATGATCTTCGAATGGTGCCAACCTCAGATACTCCAGGGCAAGCCACAGAGCATGGCAAGTTGAACTTCTCTAGCTGCGATTTCTAAAGAAAGTAATGCAAACTCTTTGTTTTTAAAAGTACCATATTACTGTGTAGGTTGGGACAGATATAGCCTCCCAGGTGGAACACAAAGCTAGGATGAACCCTGAAACTTAGTAGGAAGACTAACAGATAACTTGGGCCAAAGAAACTAAAGCACAGTTCTGCCCTCAGCCCAGTACGCTAACAACACTGGTTGGGACAGAGGTTATTTCAAGCATGAGTATTTTACAGCACTTCATAGCGGAATGCTTGAACAAGCATTTAGGTAGAAACTGGGAAAAAGTACTCTTTTTTTTGGACTGCAGTGCCCAGAATCCCAAGGGAAGGATATTAGAGGCAAAGTTGAAATACTTTGGCCACATAATGAGAAAACAGGAAAGCATGATGCTGGGGGAAATGGAAGGAAAAAGGAAGAGGGGGGTCGACCATGGGCAAGATGGATGAATGGTATCCTTGAGGTGACTGGCTTGACCTTGAAGGAGTTGGGGGTGGTGAAGGCTGACAGGGAGCTCTGGCGTGGGCAGGTCTATGAGGTCACAAAGAGTCGGAAGCAACTGAAAGAATAAACAACAACAACAACCCACAATCCCCCAGCCTGCTTGTCTAAGGACATCCTGGATGCCGGGAATCTGGGAGTTATGATGCAAAAAAAGTAATTTCACCAAACTCTGGTTTTATGAATCCTGCAGAACAGGTTCTGGTCCATAAAAGCTTATTTTGCCAAAACTATCATTCCTCTCTAGGATTTGACTCTAATTTTTAGGTTGATGTGATTTAAATCCTGCCATTCTAAAATGAACCTGCTTTATCTAATCTGCAGAGAATAATTTCAAGATCGTTGGAGAGGAAGGTGCAAGATTGTCCACCGTGGCTCCAGAAGAGACATCAGATCCTGGGGAATCCTTTGGAGAAGGTATAAAACAGTATAAAACAGGGGCATGTGAGAAAAAAGTATTGCAGGTCCTGAGGAGTTAATGGGGGTTAAAAGGGCCATCTCTTGGGCAAGCCACATGCTCTCAGCCTCAGAGAGAAGCAAATCTGAACAAATCTTGCCAAGACAAACCCACATTTCTGAATTATGGTGACCTGCTGGAATCCATGTAGTTAATTTTGACCCATCTCTATAATCTATTGAAGTCATTTTAGATTTTAATCCTTACATCTGGAGTATTAACTATCCCTCCAAATCAGCAAATTTAATACATGTGACTTCTGTTCCATCATCCATGTCATTGATAAAGATGTGGAATAGCACTGGGCTTGGGGCAGACCCATGTGGCACTCCACTGGCCACTTCTTTCTTTCCAGGATGAAGAGGAGCCATTGGTAAGCATTCTTTGGGTTCGGCCAGTCAACCAATTCCCAATCCACCCAACAATAGCATTGTCTTTGAGATATAACATTACATTTGATGTAGTAAAAAAAATGACTTGGATTCCTTCTTCTCTGTATAGTTTGTGACCGCTACACCTTTCTGCAACTGAGAGAAAATGGAAGAATCAAGAGGGTATTGCCACAATTAGGCGAGATGCTTTATTGCTTAACCGATCGATGCCCAGAAGAGTTTGAATTATATGGCTGCTACTGTGGCCAGGAAGGGAGAGGCCAGCCATCAGATGACCTGGACAGGTAGAGTGCAAATACTTCTCACACAGCCTTGAGTTATGGCTGTTAATATTGTCTCAAACTATATTAATTTTATAGTGCTGATGTACACTATGACAATGACAAAACACTGCATAATAAATCTTATCACAAAAATGCTATGACAGGGTCTCCAGAAGCCAGAATCATTGTGAAGGCACACAACAACAACAACAACAACAACAACAACAACAACATAATGAAAAGATATTCAGATTGATCTTAGCTGCCATTTTCACCAACTCAAAGACTTCAGATAAAGATGTGAATTTGCTGACAGGAGTAACTAATGGTTCCCATATCAGTGGGCCAGCAATTCCTTTCTGGGGTTTAGTCTGAACCTTTAGGTTGCTATACAATGGATGGAACAGGGTTGGGATAAAGGGCCTTCAACAGTTTCTTATCATTTGAGCTTGAATCTGAAATGGAGTTATCACCCCACGGATATGCAAGTCACTCTGGCTGGTTACTGTTTGCCATTGAGGGGAATTCATGAATGTACTGGATCAGCTCTAGATTAAGGCACTGGGTGCAGTTGAGTTAAGTGTTCAGTGGAAAAAGGCATTCAGCAGCTGGAATTCCAAAATGAACCTTATTTCCTGAGTTTGATGTAGTATTTTTCAGTTCTGAAGAGACTTATTTATTACTTTTTAAGCTGTAATGTCTGCTGGATGCAAACAAATTGAAAAATATGAACTAATCTTTTGCAACTACATGGCAAATACTTTCTAGGCATTTTCTAGATCCTCTAGGCCAGCGTTTCTCAACTTGGGGGTCGGGACCCCTGGAGGAGTCGCGAGGGGGTGTCAGAGGGGTCGCCAAAGACTATCAGAAAACAGTATTTTCTGTTGGTCATGGGGTTCTGTGTGGGAAGTTTGGCCCAATTCTACCATTGGTAGGGTTCGGAATGCTCTTTGATGGTAGGTGAACTATAAATCCCAGCAACTACAACTCCCAAATGTCAAGGTCTGTTTCCCCTGAACTCCACCAGTGTTCTCATTTGGGCATACTGGGAATTCATGCCAAGTTTGGTCCAGATCTATCATTGCTTGAGTCCACAGTGCTCTCTGGATGTAGGTGAACTACAACTCCAAAACTCAAGGTCAATGCCCACCAAACCCTTCCAGTGTTTCTATTGGCCATGGGAGTTCTGTGTGCCAAATTTGGTTCAATTTCCTCGTTGGTTGGGTTCAGAATGCTCTTTGATTGTAGGTGAACTATAAATCCCAGCAATTACAACTCCCACAGGATAAAATCAATCCCCCCCACCAACCCCACCAGTATTCAAATTTGGACGTATTGGGTATTTGTGCCAAACTTGGTCCAGTGAATGAACGTACATCCTGCATACCAGATATTTACATTACGATTCACAACAGCAGCAACATGACAGTTATGAAGTAGCAACAAAAATAATTTTATGGTTGGGGGGTCACCATAACACGAGGAAGTGTATTAAGGGGTCATGGCATTAGGAAGGTCGAGAACCACTGCTCTAGGCAATTCTATGATGTTTCCGCCAGAGGCTAATTTCAGAGTCATGCTTGAGGACCTACTGATAGAGAGATGTCATCTCTAGGCATTTCCTATGTGCACTAGCATGACTCTGGTATGCTTCTGCCAAAAGTCATTTGTTCAGTGGGGTTTGCTATTCCCGACTGTTTTACATATCCACATAAAGTCCTGGAGTATTTCTCTCGTGGATATGATGGCTGTATTGTACTATAGAGTGGTTGCATGTTGTTTGCTTAATTAAGCAACTCTCTGCTTAATTGAAGGTGCTGTTTCTCTCATCATTGCTGCTTGGAACAAGTTAGGAAGTTGGGATGCCATCCAGAAAGAAATTCCAGATCTGAGGTTGTCTGTTTTGATCACACACCAAAGTGTAAGTTTATGATGAATGACGAACAAATTTACTTTCGTACAGTAAAACAATAAATCCTCTTGTTGTCATATACTGTACAGGCATTCACTGCTATAGAGAAACATTCAGACATTTTTGTCTAATGCAGAGCAGTCACTTTAACCTTAAGAAGGTTTAACCTTAAGAAGTGCACTTCTCCATGCAGCAACCTTTACACACAGATGAATATAGAATTTGCATATATTTGAGCTATGATGTACACATTTGCACAGGCATTTTGTTGCACATCTGGTTTTGTAACAACAACATTTAACCAAAGGATAGTAGAAATTTCCTTGATATAATCTCAACCAACATATTTCACCTTAATTGGACATTTTAGTCTTCCAGTCTATCGCCTAAGTTCCATTACTCAGGGGTGAGTAAAACTGACCCATTAAAGTCATTGTATTTACCTATATGTTGACTCACTATTCAACAACTGATTCAATGGGAGTTACTTGATTGGGATTTCCAACAGGATCTCAGATAGTATTCCTTATCAAATTAATGTAGATCTAAAATATAGGCATTCTGTAGCATCATTGCTTCAATACTGGTGTTACTCCCAAAAAGGAGCCCCTGGTGGCACAGTGGGTTAAACCCTTGTGCCGGCAGGACTGGAGACCGACAGGTCACAGGTTCGAATCCGGGGAGAGGTGGATGAGCTCCCTCTATCAGCTCCAGCTCCTCATGCGGGGACATGAGAGAAGCCTCCCACAAGGATGATAAAAACATCAAAAAAAATCCAGGCGTCCCCTGGGCAACGTCCTTGCAGACAGCCAATTCTCTCACACCAGAAGCGACTTGCAGTTTCTCAAGTCACTCCTGACACGACAAAAAAAAACCTCCCAAAAATCATTACTCACATCGACTCAGTTGAATTTAGCTAGATGTTGGTTCAACATTTAAGAACTGATTGCTATGAAATCCTGAGATTTGTAGTTTGGTGAGATACCGGCCCTCTTTTGCAGAGAAAGCTAACTATTTTGTAAAACTGCAAATTTCAGGATACCATAGCATTGAACAGAGCAGTTAAAGTGGTATCAAGCTGTGTTAATTCTATAGAATGGATACATCAGAAATCTCAGCCAATGTTTCTGTACAGAAAATGGGGTTTTGATACCAAAAAAAAAAATTGTGTGTGTAGAAAAAAAAAAACCCTCATGTATTATTGTGCAGAATGCTCTGAACGTTTCAAGAAGTATGAACACTGGAAGAAAAGTGTAATTATTCTTCCTGATGCAATTTTCCAAGGGACAGGAGACTTTTCTCAATGTGAGGAAATGAACACAAATGAAAATTGTATTGTCGAAGGCTTTCATGGCTGGAATCACTGGGTTGTTGTAGGTTTTTCGGGCTATATGACCATGTTCTAGAAGCATTCTCTACTGACATTTTGTCTGCAACTATGGCTTGCATTGCCTGCATGTATCGCCTGCATCTATGGAGGATGCTTGCCATAGATGCAGGTGAAACGTCAGGAGAGAATGCTTCTAGAACATGGCCATATAGCCCGAAAAACCTACAACAACCCCAAAATGAAAATTCTTTCTGCATGATTCTTTTCTTAGTAACTAAGCAATGGTCATTTTCCCCTTAGGTATTGGATGGACCATGTGTGAAAAGCTCCTGTGTTCTTGTGATAAGGCAGCCGCTGAGTGCATGGCTGCAGCTTCTTTCAATGAAACCTTCAGCTCCCCAAACAGACAAGCTTGTCACGAGGACAAACTGCTTTGCCGCAGGGGAGGGCACGGAAGGCCCCTGAGTAGCCCTGGGATTGGGACTGGGTCCTCAACTTCCAGCGAGGAAGACAGCAGCAGTGAGGAGGCAGCGTCACCCAAGACCCTCTTGAGAAGGGGAAAGAGAGCAGCACTCCTGGAGGCAAGGAGAAATGCCAGACCATCACCACCACGAACCAGATAATCTCTATTTCATCGTTCCACTGGGAATCAACCAGGAATAGTCAGCAACAGACAACTAATATGATATCTAAAGTTAGAGATGGGATATCTGTAATATCACTCTTTGGGTTTTCTGTAGTGACTTTCCATTCTTCAGTATAGCAGCTGTGGGAGAAGACAGGTGGGAGGTAATTTGGATTAGTATAGCATTTGGGAAGAGGCTAAGCCATTCATCACTTGCATTGCTAGTATTTGCTCTATAGAGTCACTTATTTCATTTGTAGATATGTTAAGGGGCAATATAGTAATCTGTTGAATCCAAACCAACCCAGAGTTTGTGTGTCATCTGAAAGAGTAAACCTATTTTAATTTGCATAAGCCTTTAGGGATTTAAATTGATGTCATCAGGTCTATCTGATAATAACTTGTGAGTCTTTGCATTTCTGCACAGGCCATAGAAAGGATAATGATTTTAATCTAGAAATAAAGGGTGCATCTACACTGTAGAATTAATGCCGTTTGACCTCACTTTTAATTGTCATGGCTCAACGCTATAGACCTGAATCTGGCTACTCAAAATTCTATGTTTCAGTGTTTAATGAAATACAAAGGATCTGCTGTGACCAAAGCCCCAGGTTTTGCTTAGCCTTACCTCCTCCCTGACTGCTGTTGTTAGAAATGAATTTATTAAATGCATAAGCTGCAGAGTCTAGATCTGAGCTTTTCTTCAGTACTTTCTCTACTATTTAAGTATTATCATAGTGGTATTTTTCCATTTTTAAAGGCACATTTATTATATTTAGTGTTACTTAAAGAGGATTTCAAATGTTCTTAGAATTCCTAGGGCTGTTCCAGATTAACCCAGGAGCAATTGGGCTTTAGATATGCAATTGTGTCTAGGTTAAAGGCCGCACATGCTTCAGAAAGCTTGTGCTTTCTTGAAGGGGGGAGGGGGTCTGAATCGGGATACAAAACAAACCCCCCCAGAAGAGCCCTAAAAAGAAAATAATATCCCCCCTTTTCTGGCACTCTTCTGGTGCATAAAAATGATGTGCCAGGAGAAAAAGGGGACCAGGAGTGATTTTCCTTCTTCCCCTTTCACCTGGTGTGCCATTTCTATTCGCCAGGAGAGTGCTGGTGAAGGGGGAATGGCAGCCAGGTAAGTTATTTTCCCTTTTAAAGGCTTTTGGGGGGGGGGGTTGGGGAAGGTGTTAGAGCCCTCTTGGATATTCTGGGCTCATGGAGCCTGGAAACCATAAAAGGGCTGTGTAGACAGCCTCCTCAAAAGTCCCAGGACTTCTGAAGGGGCAGTCCAGACTCTGCCCACAGCTAGAAAGACCCGGGTCTTTCAAAATGAGCCAGGTTTTTCCAGTTGACAAATTACTACAGAAAAAGCAGGGTTTTCTTGTTTTGTCTTGAAAGTAATCACTTTTATGTCTGGCATCATTTGGACACCCCACGTGAAAACACAAGACCTCACGCTTCTAAAAGGTTGTCTGAATGTGCCCCTAGATTTGATTTAACTGAGGTATTTTGTCCTAATACAAGCCAATCCACTAACATAGAGTTTTTGCGTACAGTAACAATTAATGTTCTAGATCTAGTGTGTATCTTCCCATCAGATGTTTATTTTAGAAGGAAGAAGGGAGCTAGCCAGCTGGCCTTCTTTGGGTAGCTTTTCAAATTTCTTAAATTATATTAATACTAGGAAGAACTAGAGGTAGGGGTTGGTTTGTGCAATGTTTTTCCTGTGACTGCTTTTTAAAAACATGCATTATTTTGGGTTTGACCGTAATATGTCATCATTTGAGAGAAATAGAACCCACCCTCAAGTATTTGCATTGACAAGAGGTAAGCTCCAACAACAGCGAAATTCACCCTTAATTAGGAATGATCAAAGACAAAACACACACTGAAGACAACTCTCACATGAAATGTACAATTGCAGAATCTTAATTTCCCTTTTATTTTCCTGAATACAGAACATTACAGAAGCACATTGCGACATTGAATAAAAACCAGCCATTAGGTAAAGCCAAGAAAACATAAACAGGAAAGTAATCAACTAACATTAGTTTTACTCTATATAATTGATTGATTTCAACGCAAGGGGATAACTGCACTTGTCCATTTACACGACAATAATTTTCCCTAAGGATAAGGAAGCTACAGGAATGATTGTTGGTGAAAAGCAAGACTACAGATACACTATGCAGGAGTCCTGTTTTCATATTTGAGGTACAACGAATATGCAAGGATCTATATGGTGCATCTATTTCTAGGATTTTGTTCTTGAGTGATATCAAGAAACAACGCTGTTGGCAAATGCCAAGAACACATGTGAGTGAAGATAATTTAGAGCAATTTATGTATGGCCAAAGAATTCTGAATCCCAAAGTATGTAAGAAAAGGAAAGTGCCACATATAAACCAAACAGAGATGTTCAAGAGTGCAGATTTATGGACAAACTAGTATTAGTTGGCCTCATTTGGATGTGATTCTTCATGAAAAATATCTCAACTATTTTCTTTTAAAAAATAGATAGTGGAGTCATCCAATGAAATTTTCCAGTCATACCATAAGGGTACAAATGGAAGATGTACAAGTGTTTGTGCAAATCTAATTTGTGGCAAGAGAGCTTGGCACAAAGACAACAACAGTGATAGCAACCATGCTTGAGAAGTAATCCAATGAGGTCCACAATGTAGTGGCTTTTTAAATAAAGTAAAAACCATCCATGTACGCAATATTTTTATCAGCCTTGCTGAAATGACACTTTGGAAAAAATTGTCCATGAAGGCATAATGCAGTAGTTCTCAACCTGGGGTCCCCAGATGTTTTTGGCCTACAACTCCCAGAAATCCCAGCCAGTTTACCAGCTGTTAGGATTTCTGGGAGTTGAAGGCTAAAAACATTTGGGGACCTCAGGTTGAGAACCACTGGCATAATGCACCTTGGTCTACATTCCAACTTTCCTATGTGTGTATACATGGGTTTTATGTAGATGGTGTATAGACAGGCCAAGAAAAGTTGGAATAGGGTCATTAACTGGAGAGATGCGGCATGGCTGTGTGTATGTCTTAACATATATGTGGAGTCCTTCAGGCAGTTTGTGGACCAAACACAGGGAATGCTCTGAGTGCAGATTCAAGTGATTCTTGCTTGGTCCTGTTGATTCTCAGGAATTACTTTAAAAGTGTATACAAGGAATTTATATTATATATGGGGTAGTTAGGATTACAGCTGGAAAAGGTTACTCTTTAGACTACAACACAGATAATCCCCCATTCAGCAGGGCTACTAGCCATGCTTACTGAAAGATCTAGAAGTGCAGTCGGAAAAATATACTGTTCCAAGCTCTGTGGTGTAACAAATGGCAACATTTGCCATATCTTTAAAGGTCATTCGGCTTCTTAGAAGCAATTACCCAAGGGATGTGTTCATTCTAGAAGGAAAGTCTAAAATAGTGGTTCTCAAATTACCCATGGGTCCCCAGATGTTTTGGCCTTCAACTCCCAGAAATCCTAACAGCTGATAAACCGGCTGGGATTTCTGGGAGTTGTAGGCCAAAACACTTGGAGACCTACAGGTTGAGAACCACTGGTCTAAAAGATACCATATTAGTAATTAAACTGAGTGGTTACATGCTATCTTAATAATAATGCATATTTCCTTCATCCCAACACTCAATCTACTGCTACTTCTAAGGGGACAGGGGTGGGTTAGCGTTACAATTAGTCCATTAGGATGAATGAGCTAAAGAATAATCTTGCAGGATGGAGCTCAGGTTCCAAAGACTTTGTACGAATCTCTCTGGGGTCCTTCAGGGCTCTCCATGAAACTCTTGCATGCCTAATATTAGTAGACATTTGGGCCAACCATCCAGTGAAATACAAGGCCTTGCTGCTGGAAGGAGGACCAATATCACATCCTTTGTGTCATTTGGATTCCATCTGAACATGAGGAAGAACTTCCTGACTGTGAGAGCCGTTCAGCAGTGGAACTCTCTGCCCCAGAGTGTGGTGGAGGCTCCTTCTTTGGAAGCTTTTAAACAGAGGCTGGATGGCCATCTGTCAGGGATGATTTAAATGCAATATTCCTGCTTCTTTGCAGGGGGTTGGACTGGGTGGCCCATGAGGTCTCTTCCAACTCTTTGATTCTATGACACTATGATTTGGCTCCAACCTTGGACCTTCCAAATGTGTGGACAGTTACTTTCCAACACACTGGAAGGGGCCAGTGTTGGAGGAGGACAGCTTGAGTACATCCACTGGGCTCTTTGGATCCAAGCTTAAAGTCTTGTAAGTCAGGTCTTTGTGCTACAATGGCTCCTTCATTTTACCTACAGGACAGCAAGGATAACAACATTCCTAATCATTTACACATTTTTATACATCACTTTGCAACACAACATTGAGAAAGGATTATATCCTAACATTTATACCAAATATATGAACTTCAGTTTAGCCATTAAATATAGTAAAATACATACAAACCACAAGGTCTTTAACATATGTAGGCCACAGCATCTTAACACACACATAGATATATCGTCAAAAGGTCTTATACACCACATAGGTTTGAAGAACACTCATTAATACAAAGAGAGAGACTTCACACAACGTAACCTTTGCTTCTTCAGTTTCACAGTTTAGCATTTATCAGTAATTGATCCTTTATTCTTGTGATATCAAATATATATATTTCCTACTAATTTCCCCGGCAATGACAAAATAATCTGCTTTCCTGAAATCCAGTCTGTATGAAACTATACTTCTTTAGACATTAAAAATATTGCACATTTGAGAACTTCCAACAGAAGTTATCTGCCTCTCGAGAGGTGCAGCTCTGGAAATGAAGGGAGCACTTTAGAAGTGCCAGCGTGGCAGGAAAAGGTGCTCCATTCAAGCACGGAGCCAAACATGGCACGGTCAGCAGCAGGATCCCACTCATGTATGGGGCTCTGCTTCACAGCTTTTGACCTTTGGCAGGAAATACAGCACATTTTGTTACCCTCTTCCCATTAGGTAAGACACTTTTTAATGGGTTTCCAAATCATTATGTGGAATGTCGAAGGCTTTCATGGCCGGAATCACGGGTTGTTGTAGGTTTTGTTGAGAGGTAATCACCTCTCAACAAAAGTTTACTCCAGGCACTGTCAGGCCATTATATGCTAATCAAGGTGGTCAGTTGAAACATTCACACCTAGCTCCAGCAGACAAGAGTCCTTTGTCCCACCCTGGTCATTCCACAGATATATAAACCCTTTTTCCTAGTTCCAACAGACCTCACTACCTCTGAGGATGCTTGCCATAGATGCAGGCGACATGTCAGTGGAGAATGCTTCTAGGCCATGGCCATATAGCCCGAAAAAACCTACAACAACCCATTATGTGGAATAGTGCAATCGAAATGTCTTGGATAGCTCAAGGTAATATACATACAAATAGTTACATAATTATGAGCTTCATCATAGTCCTGTTAGGCAGACATGGATCTTCTTAAGTGGAACCCCAATCCAGGAAGAAGACATCTGTTAGCTTACAAAACTGTGGCATTTTAAAAACAAAATTAAAAGGAGAAGAAAGTGTGATCTGAATTCAATCCTTATTCTTCTCCTTCCTCATAAGGATAATTGGCAACATTGAAAACTAGTAAATGTATTTCTAGCCAGTACTACAGTGGCTAGAACTGAATGCAAAACATCTGCTGTTAGAGTGGATTTTCAACCAAGGAAAAGGTTTATACATAGCACCTTATCTGTGCATGCATTTTTTTTCTATTTTACTTAGCAATAGAATTATTTCTTACCAAGTTAGGTTTCTCTTAACTGAGAAATCTTGGGTGCAGCATTTCTGTGAATATCAAAATCTCAAAGTTTATAGGAAAAAACCAAACTTCTCCAGATTCTTTGGGAAGGATTAGGAAACTCAATCCAGTTTCAAAACTATTTCTAATGGCTACTGCACATGTGGTCATAGGCCTTTTAACAGTATAGTCCCGTGCATGTATTCTTGGAAGTAATTCCCATTAAATGCAATGGGGCTTCCTCTAGTTATGTATACATAACTTTACAGTCTTGGTCACAAAGAGAGTCACACTTTATATTTACTAAGAGAAGGCCTATTCCACGGAAGTATAAATCTATGTGAATTTCGTGAACTTATTGAAATGGAAAAAAAAAGTGTTTTGAAAAATACATGTTAGACCTGTAAGAAAAAAACTCATGTGTACACAGATATTAAAAAATGCCATTTGCAATTTAAATTAAAAGACACAATTTTAAAATACAGTAAAGAAATAGAGAAAAAAACCTTTTTCTCCTTTAAAAAAAGTCTTTGAAATTAACACAGGAGTGCAATTCAAAACCAAAGGTAATTTGCTCTATGGAGATATCACATTAGCTTAGTTTTCTCCAGATGTTCTGGACTTCATTTCCAAAACTTCCAGCTGGTATAGTCAATGTACAAGAATTATAGGAGTTGAATGTCCAGAACATCTGGAGGAAAAACGGTTAAGAACCACTGTTTTAGGTGGAATAAGTATCAGAGATGTTAAAATCCTTCTTCTTTTGTTAAAAATGAAGGAAGCTCAGTACACACAAAGATCTGGAAATTTTATCTCATAGACTGGGATGGACTGGTAATGGGCATGTCCAGCGGTGATTGATACTGTTCCAGAAGGGCTAGGAGGTGGTCTAAAAAACAAACAAAAAAAGAGAATTATTTTTAAGCTTCACATATTCATACATATTCATGATTTTCAGTGATAATCCTGTATCAGCTACTTCGTTATCTGCACAAAAATACATAATTGAATTTCACATGGAAAAGTGAAACTATGGATCATAGTGAACGGTGTTGAAACAATGATTTTCCAGCCCAAGAATACAGTAGACTCACACTGAAGTTCATAGGAAATGTCTAGAGCAGGCATGGGCCAACTCTGGCCCTCTAGGTGTTTTGGACTTCAACTCCCACCATTCCTAACAGCCTCAGGGAAAGGAAAGGGAATAGTGGAAGTTAATAATAATAATGATAATAATAGTAGTAGTCGTACTTTATTTATATTCTGCCCTATCGCCCCAAGAGGACTCAGGATGGATCACAGTAGACATACATGGCAAACATTCAATGCCATTTTGGACAGACAGGACAGAGACAGACAGAACAGAAAGGAGGTATGTTATGTGGACATTCAGCTTTTTGGCACATTGGAGGTTGTGCTCGAATCCAGCCACAGGGTGGTGCTGTTGCTCCATCCTCTAAGACAAAGAGCCATCAGGACTTCCACCTTCCTTTTGGACACTGGGCATTTTCTGATCTTTCTCTTTATGGTGTTGTTTTTGGGGTACCTAATTTCTCTACTTACAACTCAAGCTGTTTTCAAACTGCTCAGGTAAACAGTGAGCTAGGCTGACAGTTGGGTGCTCATGTCAACAACGGGGCTTCAAACTGGCAACCTTTCATTTGGTAGACCTTATCATTGTTGGTGATTTACCACCTGTGCTATACCCCAGCCCTTTTGAAGTCCAAAACACTGGGAGCTGAAGTTTGCCTGTGACTGCTCTAGAGAGACCATATTTTGCTGGGTACAGCCAAATGAAACTGTGGGAACTGGTCCTACCAGGGCCAAAGTGTATACTTAACTAAGCAACCTCTTCTGGCCTGCTTCCCTCTAAACTTGACAGAAATGTCATTAACCCATATTTCAATTACAAATAAAAATGAATCTCATTCTCTCCATGCAGCCTGGTAAAGTTGTTGGGTGAAGCTCATGGGCTCATTCCAACATTATGATTGTCTGATTATATGAGAAAGAATGGTTACCAAACCAATTGAATTGCAACAAATGTTTTTAACATGGAGAAATCACTGGAAGACTCATTGGCATCTGTTATTAACAGCCTGCAACACCCAAACCATATTTACTTGGAAGCAAGTCCTAGGAAAGAAGCCAAAATGGATGCAGCCTTTTAAAATTGCAAAAGAAAAACAAGTTAATTAACCCAAAATCATCTGTTTCACATATTCATTGCCACCTCAAACAAATGTATTACCGTAGCCTTACCGAACAGTGCGCTCCAATATCTGTGTCAGCCTGTCATGGAGGAAGTTTGCCTAGAAAGAGGAATGATTTATTATTTTAGAGAAATGCTGGATTCTCACCCTCCTCTTCCAACAAATTAGGCTAGAAAACTGACATCTCATAAAGCTGACATTGCTTGTTATTGGGATTTAACTGCATCAACAGCTCACCTGTATGGATGGGGTACCATGAGCCAATAGACCATGTTCCAGGTGGGATTATGGCCAAGTGCACCTTCGCAGAATGAGAACAATTATTTAATTTTATTATTTTCTGGAATGTAAATGCCTGTTCTCCTTTGGTATGAGGGGCATTCATTAAAGATTTCACCTGACCCACTTCTATTTATCACAGGATGCTGAAACTGCACATGTGTAATGAAATAAGTCTCTATATATTACATGCCAATTTACAGTCTTGATTTCACAAGTGCTGAAGTGGTGTGAGGTTTGATAATGGATCAAGTGGAATACAGAGCAGTCCTCAAGTTCCTTTACTTGAAAGGCCACACACCAAAGGAGATGTTCGATGAGGTGAAAGAGGTTTATGGTGATGATTCCCCATCATATGATGTAGTCAAGAACTGGCATTGTCAATTCAAATGTGGTTGGACTTTGATGCAAACAGCTCCAATTTCAAGGTGACCCCATTCTGCTAATGATGAGCACACCATCAAGCAAGTGGAGGTCGCCATTTTGGAAAATCACCATCTAGTCCAAAATGTCTAGATTACTGTGGAGTCTGTGGAAAAAATCATCCAAGACCATGTTCACACATGCATAAGGTATCCGCTCGCTGGGTTCCCCGGCTGTTCACATCTTTCCAGAAGCAGGAACAAGTCGAATGCTCTCAGGCTCAATCGACTATATGCCAAGGAAACCAGGAGGCCTTTTTCAACAGACTGATCACACAGGATGAAAGCTAGATCCATAACTATGATCCTGAGACAAAAGTCCAGTCAATGCAATGGAATCATCATGAGTCACCGCCTCCAAAAAAGGCACGTGCCCAACTCTCGGCAGGCAAGGTCATGCTTACGGTATTTTGGGACCAGCACAGAGTAGTATTGATGGATTTCCTAGCAAATGGTACTATGATCACTGGGGCATACTATGCTTCACTGCTTAGAAAATTGCAGGAGGCAATCAAAACCAAGATATGTGGCATGCTCACCAAAGATGTCTGCCTTCTGCAAGACAATGCACCAGTTCACAACTCACATGTTGCCCAAATGGAAGTATGTGGCTTTGAAATTCCACAGCATCCCCCTTATTCACCCAAACTCACACCATCGGACTTCCACCTCTTTCCAACAATGAAGTTATTTTTGAAGGACAAGCAATTTTCAGATGATGAGACTCCGATTTCTGAAGTCACAATGTGGCTTTTGGAGCAACCTGTAGATTTCTACAAGTGAGGTGTTTACAGTTGCTTAAAAAGATGGGAGAAGTGGGTGTCCTTCGGTGGCACCTATGGAGAGAAGGACTAATAACTGTGCCAAGTTTAATTGCTCTCAGTCTACTGGAAGTGGGTCAGGTGAAATCTTTAAGAGATGCCTCTCATATACAAGGAACTGACACCTTACTAGGCAGAGTGAGGAATTCCCTACACCCTAATAAGTAAAATAAAAAGTTTCCCAGCCATTCAAGATGGAAATATTCTTAAATGTCCTGATAGCGTGAGGTGACCTAACATAGCTTTCTACAGAAGCTGAAACGTCATTATGATTATGACTCCTACTATGGCCATACTTGATGAACAAGCAGCAATTTGTAACTATGGTATGCATCCCTTAAGTATACAAGAACCTAAAATAGTCAGTGTGAGAACTAAACATATTCTTCACCAGTTCTACTGGAAATTGCTATCCCTTATATTTGTGGTGTCACTTTACATGATTTATGTGTGGGCTACATCCTTGGGGAAATTACTTGGATATTCCTTTTCAATGTCCAACCTAAAGCAAAGATCTGCCAAGGCTAGCCAAGTTGTTCAATTCTGCAGTGAGCTAAAATGCTTTATATTGATCATAGCTCTATGTGGATTCTTGTTTTGAAGACCTCAGAAGCCCAGGACATGTCAATATGGCCCTCTATAAATAACATCCACTTGAAGTCTGTAAATTAAGTATTCAGAAAAAGCAGAAGCACATCCATTAAGGAATGTGCTTCTTATGTCTGGCCTTGCCAGATAGCTTTGGTCATCTTCTCTGCTTTTGGCTACTGTTTTCTCCCATCGCCCCGTCCTTAAGGCCTGTCACCTCTATCTTATCAATTTTCATACTTTAGGTCACTTTGCATCTTACTCAGCTGAAGACTACATACACCTCCAGACAGAAGGGGCCAACTGGATGGTTGAAGGGATTCAGGGAAGTTTACATGCACAAAACATAAAGCATTTACTACCTCAGGTGAGTACAAATGTATCAAAATAATACACAATAAAGCAACCGTAATAACAGTGAGCTTACAAAGAAGAATTAAGCATTGTGATGAAAAACAAAAACAATCCAATAAGACATAGTTAACTAAAACATAAGTAAACATTACAACAAATGCCCTAAAAATAATTTAAAATGAGATCTAGTAAAAGTGGATATTTCAATTGAGTGATTTGAAGAACAAGATGGCTTCAGATAAGCAAGCATGTTGCAGACACTGTCTAAATGCTCACCTTGGTTTCACATTGTGCGGCAATTTCTTCGAAAGGAGCCTTCTGGAATTTTTCAATCACAAGACGCCTCTTTTCCTTCTCTTGTTCCTCAAGTGCATTGTTGTCTTTCAGGAAATTAAATAAAAATACTGAAGTTACATTTCAAAATGCAAGTTACATTTGCAAAGTATCTAATTACATTAGTAAAGCAACCAAAAGTAAGGAAGCAATGCAAAAAGATGTCAATAAATCACTGAAGTGGCAGTGGCCATGTTTATCTGTCACAAAGTTCTAGGAGGAGTTGGAAGGAAGGTAATGTGGTGCATCTTCTAACAAGACATGGTTGATTAACCAGCCAAAATGTATTAACCAATAAAAATCCAAACTGCTATCTCGAGTAACAAAAGATGGGGTGGGACAAGATGAGTGGACATAGAAACACAATATATCTTACCTATGGCTTGCTTCAGTGTTTCAAAGGTGATCTCTTCAGTGCTATTTGCCTAGAACACATAATGATGAAGAGCTTGATGAAAATACAGCTCAGCATGGTTATTTTGAGGGTCGATATCAGAACTATTCTTACTCCTCTAAGAAGTTATAAGGATGGAGTAAAAACATTTTAAATGTTAAGACTAAAGTTATAAAACACTCTCACATATTTTCTAATTGTTGGCCAAAATGAGCATTGTGAAATAAAAAGATCCACCATTGGGAGATTTTTCTTTTCTGGACTTTTTGTGAGAAATTTCCATCTCTGTTTTCCACAAAAACAGTTTTTACCATGAATTCAAGATCTTAGATACAAAAAAAATAATTAAAATATGCAAAACTTTCCTAATTGCATCCAAAAGGAAGAAACCCTTGAAATTATCTACTCTTTTTAGCAAAAGCAAAATAGTCATGATTTATCATCTTACATCAGACACTATTCCAATTTGAGCCCCAAATCCAAATGCCATAAAGGATGAGACAGTTGGCTTGGCATATGTTTATATTTTACCTTGAAAAACTCATGATTCTTTGAGTCTCTTTTAAGAGAGAAAAGGCAGTATATAAATAAATATAATAATTAAGTAATAGTAACAATGGCACAACTTTTAATTAGCTGGTCTTAGATGTTGAGCGACTTTTTCTCCAATGCTATTTAAAATTGAAATAAGAGAACGCACAAAAAAGAGACAATTCTTCAATTCCTGAGTATACTAAAGCTATCAAATATGAGAAGAATTATGGAATTTCTGGTGGAAATCACAGATGATGATGATACTTCATTTATATTCTGCTTTATTTTCTCAGAGGGACTCAGATCAGATTACAGTTCTACATATTTAAGGCAATCATTCAGTGCCTTTTTACATAGAAACAACAACATACAATACACAGTGGTAAAGAACTTCTGCTTCCATCTCCAGAATCTGGAGGTTATGCTCAACTCCGACCATGGGGAGGTGCTCTTGTTCCTTTTTTCCATGCCGAAGTGTCTGTTGTCCATTGTCTTCTCTGGTCGTGTTGCCAACATGACTACATGTCTGCATGGGGCAACCTTCCTATTGATCTACTCGCATTACATGCTTTTGAACTGCTTGGTAGGCAGAAGGTAGGGCTGACAGCCGGGAGCGCCCCCTGTGCAGGTATAGCTGTACCAGGAGCTCCAATTTTGTTTGCTTTGCATTGAATGTTTGTTGTAGTCCTAAGTTTCAGGGACTCTGCAGATAGGTGGCTTCTTTTGGCTGCAATCATAGGGCAAGCCACCTGTCAATTATAGTTAGATTCCCTGGTCCCGCCCCCTTTTTGGGTTTTGGAGGAAAGGGAGCCATTTTGGGTTCAGTCCACACAGAGAAGCCTTTCATGCAGGACATAATACCAAGAACTCCTGTAGAAAGCTTCATCTTCTATAGCTTGGCCAAGGAGAAAGGTGCCGTAGCTTGGCCAAGGATTATACAGCCTTACAGCTCCTTTGCTGAGGGACTTCAGCCAGCCATCACTGAAACCTGAACTCCTTTTCCCCTGGAAGTCTACAAAGCTCTGCTTGGTAAGGGTCACTCGCGGAAGCCAGAAGCAGTTGGTACCGGGTGCAGGGGCTCCACACCAACAGAGGCAAAGTCAGACTGCCCAGATTAGAAGTTAAGGATTTCCCCAGTAGTTAGTATACAGTTATGAAGATAGTGCCTGTTCCCCGTGGACAAGATTGAGAGAGAGCCAATAGACTGTTAAGAAAGCCTTAAAGTACCTGTTTGTTTTCAATAATAAAGAACTTTGTTGAACCTTTAAGCAATCTAAAGACTCTGTTTTAAGGAAATCCAAGGGCCTTTAATCTGAGGCAGCCCCGGCATCCCGTTGGGCACATAGAATTTATGTCCTGTCTACAGTCTTATGCACAGGCCCAGCGTGCGACAGCACACCGCCCAACTTGTGGCTTCAAACTGCTAACCAGATTTTCTGCAGCTATTGGCTTAACCCGCTGTGCTACAGCGGCCCCCAGTTCTTAATGTCTTTTACAATGATATAACGCCAGTTCAAATGTGATGCTAATGAATACCAAAGAGACATCAGACTTTGATATGTTGCAGGTTGTTGGACTATATTAAACGTATGACCCAGAAACATCAGCAATATTAGTGATGTTAAATGCACACCAGGGTTTTGAACTGATATTTTAAAATTAAAGGTGGGGATATTGGAAAGCATTGGGAACACAATGTAAAAATGACATTCTTTTAATTAAACGAGAATTTACATACCCTTTCCTCTTGATTGCAGCCTGGCAGAATGTCTACTTGAATTGACAAGGTGTCCACAATACTCTTCCTCCTGGACAGTCTATCTTCATCTGGACAAAAAGAGTAACAAGAATTCCATTACTCATCTTTTCATATACTTAGTTCCATAGTCCCAGACTGATGCAAGTCGAATAAAATATTCATAAACTATTGTTATTTTGTCTACTTTTGTATCGGCAATGTATGGCATAATGGTCTTTATTGTGGTCTTGTTTTTACAAATTATTTCCCACAACCAACTACTACAATGCAAATGCTAAACTACCAATGCATGGTGATTCTCTTGCACAGTCTGACTTAATTCTTCCAAGGCATTGACATCTCTGGCCCATCCTCTGTTTGGATATCAGTCAGCATGTCAATGACTTAAGTCAAGAAACAGCTTCCTAAGATCTACAGAAATACTTGCAGGAACACCTAAGCAAGTGAGAGTCCAAAAGTGGCAGGTAAAAACCCGGAACCTCAATCAGTGGCTGATACCAAATGAGAAACTTCCTCCTGAGCACATAGACGACTGGACATTTTGGAAGGCACTGAACGGACGGTGCTCTGGTACCATGAGATGCAGAGCCAATCTTAAGAAATGGGGCTACAGAGTGGAGTTCATGACATGTGAATGTGGAGACGAGCAAACCACAGACCACTTACTACAATGCAGTCTGAGCCCCGCCACATACACAATGGATGACCTTCTTACAGTGACACCAGAGGCACTTGAAGTGGCCAGCTTCTGATCAAAGGAAATTTAGCATAATGTCCAGTTTTTCAACTTTGTTAGTGGTTTTTTATACATTATAACTATTCTCTGTTTGCTTCTGACACGATAAATAAATAACCAAAGATCAAAAGTGAGAGAGTCTAGAAATATCATCCTGCTGTATTCCAATTACTGGAGGAAGAGACCTCTATTGCTTGATGTAGGTGCTGGCTATTAAGCTGGGCTTGGGGAGTCAGGTCAGGAGACAAGATATAGTTATACATTCACAACTACATCTGTGATATAGAATCTTGGTGAGTATTTTTGTTCTTATTGGCAATTATTTCATTCCTCATTTCCCATAAAGACAAGAAGGGTTTCTATGAAGCAACGAGGAAGTTCATACACGTTCTTGCAACTTCTCTGGTCCAAAGCCATCAAAAGATTCCTTGGGAGTCTATTTACACTACAACAGCATAGTAGTTTGCTACAATTTTAATTGTCAAGGGTTCATTGTACTGAATCTTGGAATTTAGAGCTTGATGAAGTATTTCAAATTCTCCCTCAGAGAGCTCTAGTCCAGCCATCCAACCAAGAATTATAAGAACTTCGTCAAAGTGCAAGTCTCAAGATTCAGTAAGATGTGGCTATGGCAGTTAAAGGTGTTGTCAAACTACAACTATGCATTGTAGTTACACTGTCCAATCCAAAAACGGTATTTTAAATGGTGCCTGGAGGAATGCTGGTGAGATACTTTTCAATCTCTTAGTTCAGTGGTTCTCAACCTGTGGGTCCCCAGGTGTTTTGGCCTACAACTCTCAGAAATCCCAGTCAGTTTACCAGCTGTTAGAATTTCTGGGAATTGAAGGACAAAACATCTGGGGACCCACAAGTTGAGAACCACTGTCTTTTGTTGTTCATTCGTTCAGTCATTTCTGACTCTTCATGACCTCATGGACCAGCCCACGCCAGAGCTCCCTTGTCAGCCGTCACCTCCTCCAGCTCCTTCAGAGTCAAGCCAGTCACTTCAAGGATGCCATCCATCCATCTTGCCCTTGTTTGGACCCTCTTCCTTTTTCCTACCATTTTCCCCAGGATAATTGCCTTCTCTAAGCTTTCCTGTCTCCTCATAATGTGGACAAAGTTCTTCAACTTTGTCTCTAATATCCTTCCCTCCAATGAGCAGTCGGGCTTTATTTCCTGAAGTATGGACTGGTTGGATCTTCTCGCAGTCCAAGGCATTCTCAGAACTTTCCTCCAGCACCACTGTCTTAGTCCCAGTTAATAATCTGGAAACCAATTTCATAATGTAAAAGAGTTTAGCACTGGTAACAGAAGTTCAAAGATGTGCACCAAACTGTTATAGCAACACCTCTATAAATGCCAGAACCCATGCAGAAGAACCCATTTCTATATGTTTGGAGATGAGTGGAGTCAATTTCAACCCATCATTCAAAACAACACATCGGTAGATACTTTTCCAATGGGATTTCATGGGTTCACCACAAAACAGAAAGTGTGTTGTGTGATGTGTCCCATGGGATCCTTTTGGGAAAGTGTCTAGAGACGGGTTCAAAATTGTATGTGATGAGGTCCAAACTCACAACATAAAAAATTAGATGAAAGCCACAGTAGCTCTTTCTATCTATCTATGCAAAGGATGCTTACTGGGATGTCTACAATTCTAAACCACAACAGGAAAATGCTGCAAAAAAGGACAAGCAGCTATAGTTCCAATTTACCTTTTGACTTACGCCTGCATTTATGAGGCTTTTTGCCAGATGGAAACAGAGCTAAATATCAAGAGATGTACAAAGGTGGAAACAAAACATTTAGGTTGACATGCTAGCCAGGAAATTCAAAAATAAGGATAGCAGAAAAGTCATAAACATGATACCAGGATTAAGAGAACTAGAGGACTGGAGGAAGGTGTTGACATCAGATTATTTGACACACAAATGGCTGCATTTGGAATGCATAATATTGTGTGGCACAGTCAAGGACATGAGAGAGAAAAGGATTTTATTTTGGGAGGACAATAAACTCCAAACAAATCTCCAAAGTGTCTACTGGCTTTATAATATACAGTTAGCTCACCACATTTTCAGGTTAAACCTTTATGGATTTAATTATTCGCATATTGATTAATGTAGTCTCCCAAGGAATTGCTACTTCCTCCAGCTCAAGTCTATAGTCAGTTTGACTATAGAGTTGCACTAAAAGAGTAGAGAAATGTCCTCTCAGGTACAAAAACAAAATAAGGGTTTTTTATTGGTCTGCTGTGAGTTTTCTGGGCTGTATGGCTATGTTTCAGAAGCATTATCTCCTGACGTTTCACCAACATATATGGCAGACATCCCCAGATCTCACAACCTCTGAGGATGCCTGCCATAGATGTAGGCAGGAAAGAATGCTTCTGCAACATGGCCATGCAGTCCAGAAAACTCACAACAAACCAGTGATTCTGGCCATGAAAGCCTTCAACAACACAGGGTTTTCATTGGTCATTTTTCAACTTCTATGGGGCCTATATAAGCCCCTCACAGCAACAGATGTGGAGGGCTGATTGTACCAGAACTAAAGCATCTGAGTGTAACGTCTAGGGTATAACCATTTCAAGCAGAGTTTCCATAAACCTGGATTTTTGGCTAACTGCCCTCATATCAACTGAATATCACAGAAAGGGAGAAGAGCAGCCAGGTGCCATACCATCACGTCTAAACCTAGCAATTGAAGAAAAGCACTCCCTCAATCCCAGCTGCCATCGCCATGGCCTCTGAGGCACAGAGCAGCAACTAGGATTTGCTAGAGTTAATCCTCTCTTCCATTTCCATGCTCCTATCCTTGTGTTTCATGTCTTTTTGATTTGCAAGTATGACAGTAGGGAAGTGTCAAATTAAAAATCTGTAAGCTGCTCTGGGAGCCTTTTTGACTGTAGAGATGGGAATAAAGGCTCTAAGCAAATAAACATTGATGCAGTCAAGAAAGATAGCAGAAGAATTACAATAAATGTGCAAGCTGTCTTCAATTATGAGCAATCAGCATTCTCACATACCATGTGAGAGTATAGTATGATCCCAGTATCCATGATGGATACATTCCAAGATCTTCATGGATACCTAAAACCATGGATAATAGCAAACCCTACCTTTTAATTATACTTGGGCTGAAGACATACCATAGGATTGCACTGGAGGATCTAGAAAGGCCCACAAACACTTCCTGGGCTGGGGGAAAAGATTTTGAGTCTTAGTAACTGTGGATATTGAATCCAAGGGTAATGTACCAGGTTGTGTACTTGTTTGTTGAACAACCAGTAACTCTACTGGATCTCAGGAAATACCTACTCCTGGTACAGCTTGCTACCTGAGATCTTTTGCCTGTCAACTCCTGAAATAGCAAAGCCACACAACAGTTTTTGCATTAAAATACGGGCAACTTTTATTTAACTATTACCTATTTAACTTGAACTTAGTCTAAATCATTGGGCCTGAACTTGGTGTGGCAAAGCTGTGGTAGCGTCCCTGCCCAGTCTACCCCTCGGCTAGTTAGGGCGAAACACCAGGGTCCCCTGAATACCTATCTGGGCGACCTCTAAGGGAAATGTATCGGAGAAGTCTCTCTCAAAGTTAATGAGGCCAGACTTGTTACAGTAAGTCGTAGCAGGATCAAGTGTGTGTGTTAAAGAAAAACCTTATGATGTTAATTATTATGTACAGCTGGTAATGTAGGTCAGCCAGCATGTTTTGGCCACACCCGGTGGGGTATAACTGTATGGATTTTAGAATACAGTTTGGAGAAGCAATATGCTGTAATACTGGTATGCTCTAACAGCGATGCTCTCTGCTATGGTGGAACAGCTATTTATTTACTCAAGGTTTATGTTTTGCTCTCTCATTTGAATGATGATGAAGAAGCCTTATTCTGTGTTACTTACAAGGACTATGTAAGTTTGTTGCTCTGTTTGATTTTGTATGCAACACCGCAAGTTTATGTTTTGCCTCTGCTGATAAAAGTTTTTCTGTTCCCTTTTCCTTTTGCCTGTGTGTCTTTTGCATTGGACCTGGCTAAAATCCACTTCTGTGCAACAAGACTCTCCCCATTCCTAGGACATCTGATTTCACCTCACCTTGTCAAATAGACCCTAGGTGAGTGTTTTAGTTAATGGCCTTCACCCCTGAGGGTGTATACCCCTTAGATGTATACCAAACCTTTTTATTTCCCTTACTTGTTGAAGCTTATTTAATGGTGCACCATCCCAATTTGCCCCACAACAGTATAGGGTAGGCAAAAAACCCTTACAGAACATAGGAGGGGAAAAAAATCCTACCTGATTCCATACAGTGACCAAAATTTATACTGTTTAAAGGGCGGGTGTGGTGGGTCGCAGATCAGGTCTAGAATTATTTAGGGGCAGGCTCAGCCAATTAGACTGGCTCTCTCTCCCCCTCCCCCCCAATAGTTCCAGCCAGAACTACTTTAATTTCTCTTTTGGGGGAGAAGGCAAACTTCTCTCCCCCCACAGCTGTGCAGGGGTGGGAAAGCTTATTAAAGTAGTTGCCAGACATGCAGGGTTCTGCACCTCACTTAAGTATCCTAGCTTTGCACCATTGGTTGGATATAATAATAATAATAATAATAATAATAATAATAATAATAATAATAATACTTTATTTATACCCTGCTACCGTCTCCCAAGGGACTCAGTGTGGCTTACATGAGGCCGAGCCCACAATACATCAATACAAGCAATAACAACCACAATACAAAACAAAATACAAATACTAATACAAAGCAATCGAAAATAAATCTCATACACAAATAGCATGAACATTGAACAATAGCACAAAACACATTTAAAATCTATGGCTGGGCCAAATGTAATTAAAGTTAAAAAATAATGCTGGACATGAACAAGAAAGAAAGAAAAGACTGAAACAGCAGTGATCTATATATTCTACAGTATCTTAGAACCTTCAAGGTGGAAACCCTACCTGACAAATAAAACTACACGATAATGTTGTTTGTTTGCTCTTGTTACTGCTCATTCACTGACATCACATCTTTTCTCTCCAGACTGGGGCACAAAATGAACTACAAAAATATTATAGTATATTGTGTACACTCATGTAACTCAATCTGTGTAGCTTGAGGGCAGATTTTGGGATCAAATTATGGATTTTGTATGACCTCTGAATAAGGAGAAAGGGAAGCATCATTTTTGATTTGAGGGCCCAGTTAGCCCGGGCTGCTGCCAAGCATTCAAAATGGGCAGAAGCAACACCATGGCAGAGAGAGTAGAAGTGATTGGTGCTTCTTTTAGGTTTTCTCAGGATAGTCTAAGCTTTCACCTTATACCACTCTATTCAGAGAATTTATTAATGAATTTGCTTTATTTATATCCGCCTTTCTCTACCCCAAGGTGGACTCAGGGCAGCTCATATATGGCACCTCCATAGTGCCTTAAAAACACACAATGGTAATTTAAAATAACTTGAATTAAAATTAATACATAATAACATGATTAAAATACATTTCAATGTAATCATGCCACCCAGGGTCAAAGTCTAAGGCCATTCTGTAGTCAAACTGCACATTTTCCACATTTAAATTACTGATCTGCATTATTTTTCAAAAGCCTGCTCCCAAAGCCAGATTTTTGCTCTACTTCTGAATGCTAGGAGGGAAGGGGCTGATCTGATGTCACTAAGGAGGGAGTTCCACAGCTGAGGGGCCACCACTGAGAAGGCGCTGTCTCTTGTCCCTACCAGCCATTCTTGTGAAGAAGGTGGGACCGAGAGCAGAGCCTCCCCAGAAGATCTTAATCTCTGAGATGGATTGTAGGGGGAGATACGTTCGGACAAGGGAATACGCTCGGAGAAGGGAATGGTTTTCTTTTTAATAAGGGCTAAGATACAGTACTCACATTGACCTGGGAATAAGCCAGCCCTGGGTTTTGGGGTTGATTTTTTGAATAAAATTTCTGGACTTAGACGCGAGTATTTCGGGTAGATACAAACACATATAAAGAAATGTAAGGAAAAACATTAAAAAGGTAAAAATAGGATGAAATTGTGTACAAAAATGTTTAAAACAAATCCAATAAAATACAGGTGTGTGTGTGTGAAACACCAAATATATTTTTTTAAAAACTTGTGAGCCATCAATAGCCTACCTGTCACAAGAGGTACATAAGGGACCGATAGCCGTTCCACACAGTATCCACTGCCACCCAGTGATTCTGCCATCTGGTTGGTCAGGAAAAACAAGTTTGTTTCATCCTTTCCCAGGGAATTGGGTAGGCTTCAAAACAGAATTCAAGATTATTAATTTCTATTCATCATAGCACTAAGCCAAGAAAACAATAGCACAAGAGGGAGTACAGATTAATGTAAACATCTCAAAGATAGTAACTGCTAGTATTTTTTGTTCCCCTTGTCAATTGTTTGGAGTATAAATGCATCTTGCCCTCTGTTTACCTTTAAAATCAGTTTTATACTTATTTATTTCTGCTTTTGACACAAAATAAATTAAAACTTTTAAAATGGGTTGGGGAATATGTGACCCACAAGGTGTCACTAGACATCAGCTTTTATCACTTTTCATCATTGGATATGTGATATAAGGTTCAAGGCAGTTGCAGTCTAGCAACATCATAGAATCATAGAATCAAAGAGTTGGAAGAGACCTCATGGGCCATCCAGTCCAACCCCCTGCCAAGAAGCAGGAATATTGCATTCAAATCACCCCTGACAGATGGCCATCCAGCCTCTGTTTAAAAGCTTCCAAAGAAGGAGCCTCCACCACACTCCAGGACAGAGAGTTCCACTGCTGAACGGCTTCACAGTCAGGAAGTTCTTCCTCATGTTCAGATGGAATCTCCTCTCTTGTAGTTTGAAGCCATTGTTCCGCGTCCTAGTCTCCAGGAAGCAGAAAACAAGCTTGCTCCCTCCTCCCTGGGGCTTCCTCTCACATATTTATACATGGCTATCATATCTCCTCTCAGCCTTCTCTTCTTCAGGCTAAACATGCCCAGCTCCTTAAGCCGCTCCTCATAGGGCTTGTTCTCTAGACCCTTGATCATTTTAGTCGCCCTCCTCTGGACACATTCCAGCTTGTCAATATCTCTCTTGAATTGTGGTGCCCAGAATTGGACACAATATTCCAGGTGTGGTCTAACCAAGGCAGAATAGAGGGGAGCATGACTTCCCTAGATCTAGACACTATGCTCCTATTGATGCAGGCCAAAATCCCATTGGCTTTTTTTGCCGCCACATCACATTGTTGGCTCATGTTTAACTTGTTGTCCACGAGGACTCCAAGATCTTTTTCACACGTACTGCTCTCGAGCCAGGCATCGTCCCCCATTCTGTATCTTTGCATTTCATTTTTCTGCCTAAGTGGAGTATCTTGCATTTGTCCCTGTTGAACTTCATTTTGTTAGTTTTGGCCCATCTCTCTAATCTGTCAAGATTGTTTTGAATCCTGCTCCTGTCCTCTGGAGTATTGGCTATCCCTCCCAATTTGGTGTCGTCTGCAAACTTGATGATCCTGCCTTCTAGCCCTTCATCTAAGTCATTAATAAAGATGTTGAACAGGACCGGGCCCAGGACGGAAACCTGCGGCACTCCACTCGCCACTTCTTTCCAAGATGAAGAGGAAGCATTAGTGAGCACCCTCTGGGTCCGTCCATTTAACCAATTACAGATCCACCTCCCGTAGTTTTGCCTAGCCCACATTGGACATCAGAAGGGTTCCACATTCCGTTCCCTTGCTTTATTGTTGGCTGCTACTTAGGATCTTGAAAGACAACTTGGTCTACTGACTGGAGTGATGGACCAGGACCTAGGAAACCAGGGCTCAAATCTCCCCTGGGCCATGGAAACCCACTGGGTGATGTTGGCCAAGTCACACTATCTTCAGGCGCTTCCAGACAGGCCCTATATCCCAGGATCTGATCCCAGGCTTTTTTGTTTATCCCACATTATCTGTCAGTGAAGACTCATATAACCCAGTTTAAAGCAGAAAACCTGGGCTCAGATCCTTGGATATAGAGCCTGTCTGGCAGGGGCCTTAGTTTCAAAGGGAGGAAATGGCAAACCTCCTTTGAACAAATCTTGTAATACTGAGTAAGGCTGATTAGGCTTGTAGTCCAGTAACATCTGAAAGGGTCTAAATTCCCTTCCCTCCCTTATATTCTTTTGAGCTACTTACTAATTGATTACTGACTTACTAAGTCCACCCAAAGTAAGAATTGTGCAACTCTCCAGATAGTGAACTGTCATTCTCAGCAACCTTTTGTGCTGATCAGAGCTGATGAGAACTGCAGTTCAACATCCCAAGAGCACGGAATTACCAACACAGGGAGCAAAAGATGTTATTTTGCATACTTGCATTTCTTCTCTCTGAAAATGGTTTCTGGTAAAAAATAGGGTGCTTCTACATTTCTGGTTTCAATGACCTGCAAAACAAAACAACAATATTGCTCTCAATACAGTGAAATTGTATACTGGGTATCATTCTTGATCTGGGTTGGAATGAGTATTTCATTGTGAGTCATAAGGGTGGAACACATGTGAATAACCCTTTCAGGGGAACTGCTGCTTTTCCCTTGATTCATAGAAATGTGTCTGCTGATATATTTATTGTGGTAGATGAGCTTCTTTACTTGCTGTGTGGATGCCACACAGCTAGAATTGCCAAAAGCTCCATGTCAGCAAAAGGGCCACACATACTATAGGGATGAGCAACTGTGTCTAGATGACTACATTACACTCCTAAGAGACGTTGGACGACTGCAATTCCATTTGCCTCATACTGTTTGCCCCTACTTCCCAAAAAGCATTTACCTCAAATGCATTTCGTCATTGTATTGTCAATTTGCTTTCTCCCAAGAACCAATACCAGACATATGTGATACTCCAAAGCAATACATTACCTTGCCGATATGCTGGCAAAAAGCAGGAACCGCTATCATCTGGCTCAGAAAATTGAGGTAGGCAGCTACTACTGCCATGATGCTACAACGATGGAACATGGGCAAGTTGTCCTCATTAAGAATTGCAATGTCCTTCAATTTGAAAAAAAATATCAAGTATAAGATATGGTGCTCTACACATTTACGGAAACATAGAGAGCTGTATTCAATTTAATATAAGTGGAATGGAAATCCCCATTAACACGACTGTGCTGAATGACAATGTTGATGTGCATTCCACCTTCTTATCCAAGTGACTCAAGCTAATTTACAGAACGTTGAAACCAAAAGAAATTAAAAACATATAAAAACATCAGTTGTATATGCAACTTGCTTTTAAAAAGCAATAAAGCAATTTAAATATTTAAAACCATGCAAAATTCATTAGGAGATAGAATATGAAAAGAAACAAAAACAACATTAAGAAGTTGTTGCAGTCCATTTTGAAAAGCCTATTAGAAAAGTGTAAATTTTACTTGGTCGTAACACTTCACTAAGGAGGATATTTCAAAATCTGAGGGCAGCGACCACCAAATGTTCATGAAAAGTTTGTAGGACTGAAATAATGGTTTCTCCTGAAGATCTCCCCCTGAAGTCACAGGTCCGCAGTATGGGTGTCCTCTTGGATTCATCACTTATGCTTGAGGCTTAGGCGTCGGCAGTGGCTGGGAGGGCTTTTGCACAATTAAGACTCGTGTGCCAACTGCGACCGTACCTCGTAAAGGCTGAACTGGCCGGGGTGGTCCATGCCTTGGTCACCTCTAGATTGGACTACTGTAATGCGCTCTATGTGGGGCTGCCATTGAAAACGGCTCGAAAATTCCAATTGGTCCAACGACCGGCGGCCAGGTTGTTAAATGGTGCTCTTTACAGAGAGAGGTCAACCCTCCTGTTTATGGAGCTCCATTGGCTGCCGTTTGGGACCTGCCTACCTGCGTGACCGCATCTCCATATATGAACTCACACAATCCCTCCATTCATCTGGAGAGGCCCTGCTCACAATTCCACCTGCGTCACAAGCGCGTTTGGTGGGGACAAGGGACAGGGCTTTCTCTGTGGTAGCCCCCTGACTCAGGAACTCTCTCCCCAAGGACATCAGACAAGCCCCAACATTGGCAGTCTTTAGGAAGAGCTTGAAGACCTGGCTGTTCCAGTGTGCCTTTCCAGAATAAGAAACTCCCAGCATCATGTCCCAAACGCACTTTATTAGAGATTTAAGATTGTCTGCACATCGCACCTACCCTAAAATCCTTACATTTCACCTGTCATGTCCAGCACTTTTAATTTTAGTCATTACATTAGGCCCGGTCCTAGTTTTAAATGTGTCATGACGTATTGTTTTAATGTTTTTATTGTTACTGCTTTAATGTTGATTTGCTTCATTGATTTGCTTCATGAGTTTGAGTGTTGTATTTGTTATGCTGTTGTTTTATTGAGGGCCTTGGCCTTTGTAAGCCGCACCGAGTCCTTTGGGAGATGTTAGCGGGATACAAATAAAGTTAATAATAATAATAATCATCATCATCATCATCATCATCATCATCATCTTAGAGCTTGGGCAGGGATTTCTAGGACAATATGGTCCTTCAGATATCCTATCTGAATTACATTATTTTGCACAAGTCATTGTGCAAGAAACTTAACTGTGTGATTCCAGAGCACATGATGTGCTTTGTGCTTTTTTAACTGGTCCAATAAAAATATCACTGTTTTGTGAATTTTTGGGTTTTTTGTGCTAGTAGTAATTCAAAAGAGCTCCAGAACAGATTGTGTCACCTTATAACTGCATTGAAAGATTGCTTGCACAATAAACATGTACTGGATACACCCCTGACTCAAATCTACAATCATTAATGAAATGGAGCTTATCCATAACTAGATAAATTACAAGGTGCTACAGGATAAACTACAGGTGCTTCCATTTTTACTCATGAATAATGTTAGCTATTTACATAGTGATACAAACACAACTGTAGAGTTTGTTTCCAAAATGTAGTAAAGGTAAAGGTTTTCCCTTGACATTAAGTCTTGTCGTGTCCAACTCTGGGGAGTGCTGCTCATCTCAATTTCTAAGCTGAAGAGCCAGCATTGTTCATAGATACCAAGGTCATGTGGCCGGCATGACTACATGGAGCACTGTTGCCTTCCCGCTGAAGTGGTACCTATTGATCTATTCACATTTGCATGTTTTCGAACTGCTAGGTTGGTAGAAGCTGAGGCTAACAGTGGGAGCTCACCCTGCTACCTGGATTCAAACTGCTGACCCTTTGATCAGCAAATTCAGCAGCTCAGCAGTTTAACCTGCTGTGCCACTGGGGGCTCCAAAACTGTATCATAGCAGTATTAAATAAAAGAAAAATACAGTTGAAACAGATAGATCACCAATTTCTTTCATGTTTTCGAACTGCTAGGTTGGCAGAAGCGGGAGCTAACAACAGGAGCCCACCCTATACCGCAAAATCGAACTGCCAACATTCCAGTAAGCAAGTTCTACAGCTTAGAGGTTTAACCCACTGTCTTGGCCCCTTCCAAAAGGTACCAAATAAAAAAGAAAGGAAAATTGAGTTATAGGTAGTAGAATATTATGTTTAGATCAAAACTATAAAAATGTATCCAATCACTTCAGTACAGAGTTCGTATTTAAATTTAATTTTACATCAAAAGAATGCATGCCCACAGCAATTATTCAAAATCGGTTTGGGATACTGACTAGCACTTGACAACATGTCTAATTCATAACTATTTGATACTAATTATTCAGTGCAAAATTCATCTGCAACTGATGTTTCAGGACAAAATCAGTTGAGCGTACAAGCATCTCTTGAAAAAAAAAGATTTACATCCATTCGGAAATTTCTAATTCACTTGCAACACACACATACACACATTTTATTACTTCCAATGGTTTAAGAGCAATATCAAGAACCCCACACCTCCACCTCCATGAGCAATTGAAAGGAAGGAAACATGAGAGATAAACCTGTTGGGGGATCTTAAACTTCTAGTAACATAAAATAAAACCCAGGGTGGTTCCAGACAAGCCTTTATCCCAGAACCATCCGCATTTAAAAAACGCAGATGTTACTTGAGGCCTTTCTATACAAACCCCAGAAAGTGTGGGCTTTCTGAGTTGGGTGTCCAGATGCTCTCATGGGACCACCACCCTTCCCCAAAGCCCCCAAACCCCTATGAAAAGTAAGGGAAACTTACCCAGTCTCCAGTAGACTGTTACCGGAGTTCTCACGATACGTAGAAATGATGCGCCAGGAGAGCATGTCATTTCTACCCCCTTGCTCTCCTGGTGCATCATTTCCAAGCCCCGGGAGAGCTCCGGCTACAGTCTACTGTAGGCCAGGTAAGTTTTTCTTACCTTTGAAAGGGGTTTGGGGGCTATGGGGGAGGAGGGGTATTCCCACAGTTTTCCAGAATAATTTAGTCTGGAAAACTGTGGGAATGGTGTCTGGACTGCAGTCAAGAAATTCTAATTAATTTGCTGCAAACCAAAGTTTGCAAAGTTCTTGGCAGGGGGTTGGATTGGATGGCCCATGAGGTCTCTTCCAACTCTTTGATTCTATGCTTCTATGAAAGTTTCCCTAGTTTGTGGATAATTAATTCAGGATTATCCAGGACGTCCTCTGGACAGCCCCTTCTTTATTTCGGGAGTTACTACAAAAAAAGGGGCTCTCTGGATGCGCCCCCCACTTGCCTGCAAGTCAATCCAGCCCTGTGTTAAGCAACAGAGTTTGCAAAATCAACAGTTTTGCAATATGGATGCAATCTCTAGAGCCTGTGCATCACCATGAAACTCAGTTAGAGGTGATGAACTACAAAGCAGAACTTCACCCAGAGATAATTCCTCTTCAGAAACTGTTATCTCTTATGCTACATTCTGTCGGTAATCATATTCACAGCATTCCTTCTTCCAGGAATGAAAACAGAGGGAATATGTTCAATCTATTCCTTCCGTGTTTTCACCTTCACCTTAATTTTTTTTTTAAAAGCAAAGGAAGTACAAGTTATGTGGGAAGCCGTGTGACTCATCTGCTCAGAGGCAAATGCTCCATTAAGCCTCTCCGAGGTAATGAATTATAGTACTAGAATTCTCTTATGTAATAGCACTCTACTACTATAACTCTCTGGAATACTTTCATGCAAGAGCACTCTAACACTAAAACCTTATTGAGTATCCCAGGAAAATTATATCTTTGCTTTTTTAGAGTAATTGCAAGTGATGAGATAAGCCACATGTGTCCCAGAGTTATTTACATTGTTTTATATTTTTAAGAAGGAAAAGAAATAAGATATTCAAAAATGACTAAGAAACCTCACTTAGCGAATCAGCCTACAGCAAGGGTAGGAGTTGAACACATAACTGAATAAGTTACTGACACATAACTGAATGCATAATTCTTATGCAGCCAATAAAAATAATAGAATCATAGAATTGGAAGAGACCTCATGGGCCATCCAGTCCAACCCCCTGCCAGAAAGCAGGAAAATCACATTCAAAGCACCCCAACAGATGACCATTGAGTCTCCGGTTAAAAGCCTCCAAAGAAGGAGCCTCTACCACACTCTGGGGCAGAGAGTTCCACTGCTGAACAGCTCTCACAGTCAGGAAGTTCTTCCCAATGTTCAGGTGGAATCTCTTTTCCTGTGCTTTGAAGTCATTGTTCTGTGTCCTGGTCTCCAGGGCAGCTGAAAACAAACTTGCTCCCTTCTCCCTATGACCTCCCCTCACATATTTATACATGGCCATCATGTCTCCTCTCAGATTTCTTTTCTGGAGGCTAAACATGCCCAGCTGTTTAAGCCACTCCTCAAAGGACTTGTTCTCCAGACCCTTGATCATTTCAGTTGCCCTCCTCTGGACACATTCCAGCTTGTCAACATCTCCCTTCAAATGCAGTGCCCAGAATTGGACACAATATGATCCCAGGTGTGGTTTGACCAAGACAGAATAGAGGGGTAGCATGACTTCCCATGATCCAATTAAGATACTCCTATTTATGCAGGCCAAAATTTATTTATTTATTTATTTGCATTATTTCTACCTCGCTCATATCAGCCCGAAGGCGACTTAGAGCGGCGTACACAATTGGCACAATTCGATGCCATAAAAATACATACATTGATAAACAAATAACCATTATAGTGCAATTAGACATAAGACAGTGCATAATAACAATATTAAAAACAAATAACTATATCCTCTCATTCAAATCCTTATCCGTTCCATCGTCTTGGGCCGTTCCTGGGTCATTTTCCAATTCAAGTTTGTCTGTTTATTTGGAGGTTCCAAACGCTTGCTCGAAGAGCCAAATTTTTACTCTTTTCCGAAAGGTCAGGAGGGAGGGGGCTGATCTAATATCCCTAGGCAGGGAGTTCCACAGCCGAGGGGCCACCTCGCCAGACGTGCTTGCGAAGCAGGTGGGATCAAGAGCAGGGCCTCCTCGGACGATCTCAAATTCCTGGAGGGTTCATAGGAAGAGATGCGTTCGGATAGGTAAGCTGGGCCGGAACCGTTTAGGGCTTTATAGGCTAAAGCCAGCTCTTTGAATTGAGCTCGGTAGCAAACTGGCAGCCAGTGGAGCTGGTTCAGCAGAGGAGTTGTATGCTCCCTCAGCGCTGCTCCTGTTAGTAACCTGGCTGCTGCACATTGGACCATTTGGAGCTTCCAGGCCGTCTTCAAAGGCAACCCCACATAGAGTGCGTTACAGTAATGTATACGGGATGTAACCAGAGTGTGGACTACTGTGGCCAAGTCAGACTTCCCAAGGTACGGGCACAGCTGCGCACAAGTTTTAATTGTGCAAATGCTCCCCTGGTCACCACCAAGCCTGGATCCAGGCTCAGCGATGAATCCAGGATTACACCCAAGCTGCGAACCTGTCTTCAGGGGGAGTGTAACCCCGTTCAAAATCTCATTGGCTTTTTAGCTGCCACATAACATTGTTGGCTCATGTTTAACTTGTTGTCCACGAGGACTCCAAGATCTTTTACACACGTACTGCTCATTCTGTATCTTTGCATTTCATTATTTCTGCCAAAGTGCAGTATTTTGCATTTGCCCCTGTTGAACTTCATTTTGTCAGTTTTGGCCAGTCATCTCTCTAATCTGTTAAGATCGTTTTGAATTCTGCTCCTGTATTTCTGATTAGACATAATCTCTAGACATATCAAGGCTCCACAAACACATCCAGATACACTTGATAGGTCTCACCTGTAGTGCAATGGCCACTCTGATGAGGTCAATGACCACTTCTTCATTGGCTAATTCAATGGTGATGAGAGCCAGAGTGGTATATAACAGCTCGAAATTCTTTTGGATGTTGTCTTCCTCCTTACATCCTAAGTAGACATGCCTGTACAATTGTTGCCCATGCTAAAAAGAGGAGAAAGAGGGGGAAAGGCTACTGTTTATTTAAAGTTAGGTCGATGGAGGAGGATATAAGGTAGGAATCCACTTATTCAAAGAGAATCCAATCCTTTACTGTGGAAACATAAATCCACAGATAATAGCAAATTCTGTTAAAAGGAACCACCTCCAGCAACCCATATCATAGAAGGACACTGAAGAGTGTACAAAATGTCAACATCTCTAGCATTTTAGGTTCTTCAACATGGCCACAATGTGGCAGAAGAATACTACAGAATTGCACTAGAAAATGTCTAGAGAGAACACTTTTCTAGCAATTCTAGGTCCTTCTACTGCTGGAAATATTTCACAGAATTGTGCTGGAGGACTTAGAAAATGTCTAGAGAGAACATCCATTTTTGAATGTGGTCAAATTAAACTGCTGACACCAGTCCTGCAGATGCAGGAGTCGTATCATAGTTAAGACTTTACACTTAGCTTATTTAGATCAAGAACACATATCACTCTCTAGTACTAGAGTTGTGTAATTTGACCAAAAGACATGCCGTTTCAGGGTCCATTTTCAGCTAACCCCTCATTTGATTAACCAGGAAGTTATTCAAATCGGGAGGGGTATTGCTGTTTTCATTCAGCAAAAATTTGGTCCATTGGCTACAATGTGAAATTTTAAAGGCTCAATTCTCAGCCATTTTAAGGCCTATCTGCATGAAAACTGCCTCAGTTTTAGATCCCATTTACAACTGCAGGCCTGCCAAATTTCAAAACAATTCACTAATCTTCCAATTTTTTATTATTATTTTAAGCTTTAACCATAACATTTTTTTAAAATAAGACAAACCGCAAGAGAGGATTCTGAGAATTGTAGTTGCCGGTTGTGTCCATTCTCAGCCAATCAGAACATGAACACAACCAGGCTTTTTTATTGGCTGAGAAACAGAAAAAAACTTTGACTCCCATTATGCTTCAAGAAAAACTCAGAGACTTTTCAATGCCTGCCCCGTGCAAGTGATGCATTGGAAAGTGAGTTCTCCAGCAGGTCCCTCTCTCGAGTAAGAGTCTAGGAAACTTTCCAAAAGTTTCCAGCAGCTGCTGCTGCCAGGGAAGGAGAAAAGGCCATTGCAATAATCCCATCTTTTTCAGGAGCCCAGCAGCAAACTGCTGCCTCAAGTATATTGCAGACTTAAATCTATTCAGTAGCTGATAAAATCCAGTTCTCTTAATCCATTTCACCAAGCCTTTCAGTTCCCTCCTACCCGTTCTGTTTTAGGAGATTATATGAAACAGACCACCGAATATTACAAATAATTTTTGTTCAAACCAATTCGGGCCTGTGCAGGTGCAATTCCAACAATAGAAAGGGTATAGGGATTTTTAACTTTAAAGATCCCACCCGCTGTCACCAATTGTACAGACCGTTCTTAAATTCTGCCACCAATTATACAGGTGTGGATGATTATGGATGTAATTAATCTCAGGCCTCAATTGTGTATAAGAATTTATTATAGGGGAGGCCAATTATTACTTGTAAATTAAGGTAACTGCCACCAACGTGAGGTATTGGAGGTACCACCGATGAGATCTGGCTCCACAGACGCAGATTAATGGAGATGAGACGGTCTTCAACAAAAGTTAACAAGTTTATTATGTACAAAGCGTATGGTTGCAGGCTGTTAAATAACTTTGAATAACTTATAGAACTTTGAATAACACTTGGTTTGCAATATAGTCTACTCTTCTAGATGACACAACTTATGATTAACTTTTACTGAGGTGAAGCACTTTAATAAACAATGTTTCCTAATGTGAATAGCCTTCCAATTTGATATTTTCTTGATCAAATCCCTGATCTCTAGTCCTTCCCTGACTAGTGATCTTAACGAGCTTCCTTTAGTCTACTTTAACTAAAGAAACTGGCTAGGTTTCTCCCTTCAGCCTTCCTAGACTGAAAAACCTTCAGCTATTCACACACACTGACTCTCCACTCTCCACTCTCAACTGCCAACTCCGTGCTCCTTTCCACTGTCAATTCTTAACACTTCCTTTTCCAAAGACGCACATACAATTTTCTTGCTTGGCTCCGCCCACTTCTCACTCTCCTGCCTGGTCTCCTTGGCAACCTCACCGTGGATACAACCAGTTAACTCTAGTTTCAGCTACTGTTACCAACACAAATATATTCTAACAGTTAAACATATACATAGTATCAATGACTTCTGCACAGGGCCCTTTTTTAACCTCTTCCAGGCTGACTATAATCTAATTCTTACTTATCCTACTACCAGATTCAAACTGCGTCTTGAGCACTGAGTAGACCTTGCAGATTCTCCAGCTGGAGTTCTCTGGGTCTGTAAAGCTGTTTTCCCTCTGGAATTTCTTAGAGACTTTAGGGCTGTTTCCCTCAGACGCTGTAAGGCACTAAGTCTCACTAAGACTAACTAAAAATGGCTCCCTCTTCCCTTCCCATCTCCCTGGGAGAAGAGGTGGATCCAAACTTAACAATGATAGACAAGTGGCTTGCCCTATGACTGCAAACCAAAGGAAGCCACCTTTTTGCAGAATCCCTGCATGCAAACACTTAATAGAAAGAAAATAAAGTTGGAGCTCCTGTTACAGACGTACCAGCACACAGCAGTAATCTACCACAAATTAAATGCCACATTTTTCATTGCATCATTGTATTAAGGGCACTGTGCTTCTTCTGTCTGCTTTCACAATCATCACCTGACATGCAGACTATTGTCACAAATTAATGTAATATGATTACCTTTTTGATGAAATTCACATCTTGCCTTGAAATTTTGTCTCGTTTTATCTTCAGATCTGAAACATCAGGGATTATTCTAGGCAAAAAGAAATCAGTCAGTCAGTGTTGTAAAACAGCCTTCCATAATTATAATTTATAAAACATAACACTTCTCAGTAGGTGGGAATGAGAAGCGCACTGGAAAGCATATCCCATCTATTTAGACATTTCTGAAGTAATTTTCATTTTAATTACACCCAATGTCTAGTTTAAAAGATGGAATCATATGTAATTATGATTCAGTAGAAGTATAATATTTCATTTCGGACAAAACCTGTTTTGTACAAAACAGAAATATAATTACAATCTTAATTAAACCAACTTAGAAGAGATACATTCAGCATTATGCAGCTGGGGAATGAAATGATCCAGTAAGTTCAATTGTGGCAATCCTGTATTTGTTTTGTTTCCCCCCCCCACTGGAAAAATGAACCATGGCAAAGTTGCAGAAAATTGTCTCCGTTTAGTACCATGCATTGATTCCAGCCAGGAAACCATCTGCTAAATTACATTCGTCTGTCATGCATAATTAGTTGCCAGTTTTGTAGGAGGTAATCTAGAAGGGGAACTTTTCTCAACCAGAGAAAAGTACAGTCCCATGAAAGCATCTCATTCTACGGTGCTGGATGCAAAGAACTGTGCGTGCATGGGAAATAGCTGCAAGCACAATAACAAACCTTTAGGACAAGAGTTTCACAGTTTGAGAAAACTTGCTTGAGCAGATGGATTGTTCATGCCACCTATTCAAGCATTTACCACAGGGATCCCTTCATTCTATTGATGTAATCCCTATATTACATTGAGATGAATTTCATCCAGCCTCAACAGAAGTTCCATCTAACTCAAAAGATTAACCTTATTCCTCGGAGCTTTGCTCTGTTGTCATGCCGATCGATAAGATTATGCAGTATTTCAAGGACCAGTTGTCTTAGTTCGGAGTCATCCATGAGAGAAGGGGACAGCAAAGGGTCCAGGAAAGGAGCAGGGAGAGCAGCAGCAATGGACTTGGCACTGTATCCTGTAGTCACCTGATTGGCAGAGAAGGTAAATATTCATTACCAAAGCAATACTCCTACTGGAAATTGATCAGAGGCTCAGACTGGAGGACCTAGAACTTCCTAGAGAAAACACTTCTCCAGGCATTTGTAAATCTTTCAGCATGATTTTATTATCAATTTCTAAAATGTGCTGTCGAAGGCTTTATGGCTGGAGGCCCTGGATTGCTGTGAGTTTTCCAGGCTGTTTGGCCATGTTCTAGAAGCATTCTCTCCTGACATTTCACCCACATCTATGGCAGGAATCCTCGGAGGTTGAGGGACACCTCAACCTCTGAAGATGCCTGCCATAGATGTGTGTGAAATGTCAGAAGAGAATGCTGTGAGTTTTCCAGGCTGTTTGGCCATGTTCCAGAAGCATTCTCTCCTGACCACACATCTATGGCAGGCATCCTCAGAGGGGCCCCCTCAACCTATGAGGATGCCTGCCATAGATGTGGGTGAAATGTCACGACCGAATGCTTTTGGAACATGGCCATACAGCCTGGAAAACTCACAGCAAACCAATTTCTAAGAGGCAGAAAAACAACTGAAAAGTGCAATAATAATAATAATAATAATAATAATAATAATAATAATAATAATAATCTTTATTTATACCCCACCACCATCTCCCCCAATGGGGACTCAGGGTGGTTTACATGAGGCCAAGCCCAAACAGCAAATTACAATAAAATAAAAAACCAAAACACAAACAAAAACGCAATAAAATACATAAAACATATGAATACAATAAGCAATATTCATGAAACACATGAATGCAGTGAACAATCACAATGACAATGAGTGGGCCACATGTGCAAAATAAAATTTTAAAAACTCAGGGTGAGATAAAAAAGGAGCAGATTATTTGTGAGGAAGAGCTCATGAAGAAATGGGGTTGTAAAAACAAGCCTTCAGACAAGGGGGGAAAGTGCACTCCAAGGGAAAAAATGTTGAGGGGAGCAATAGTGTAAAGTTGTGTAGCTACTCTCCAAAGGTGCAACAGAAGAGCCAGGTTTTGAGATTCTTTTTAAAGGTTTCTAAGGTGGGGGCTTTCCTAATCTCTCCGGGCAATATGTTCCAGAGTCGGAGGGCCACAGAGGAGAAGGCTCTCTCCCTTGTACCCACAAGACAAGCCTGTGAAACTAGCAAGGGCGAAAGAAGGGTCTCCCCCAAAGATCAAAGAGCTTGGGTTGGTTCATGGAGAGAGATACGGTTGCGAAGGTAGGAGGGTCTCAAACCGTTTAGGGCTTTGTAGGTGATAACCTTCACCTTGAATTGGATTTTACTAATGGGATAATCATGGAATCAAAGTTGGAAGGGGTCTCATAGGCCATAAAATCAAACCCCCTGCTCAGTGAAGAAACTTTACCCTCTTTTTGAAGTGGTCCAGAGACTTAATCAACACTCTAGGTAGAGGGCTCCATTGCCAACTGCTCTTATTACCAAATTCCTACTAATGTTCAATCAAAATCTACCTTCCTATAACTTAAAATATTACATCTGTTCATACTCTCTGGGATAGCAGAGAATGAACCTGCACTTTCTTCTCTATGACAGCCCCAAGGAATGGCCATGCCCCATGCAACCCAGAGATATGTCTATACTGTTGTGCAGTATTCAAATCACTAACAGACAATGTCCCATTAAAAACCCACAAATTTCAAATGTTGAAATTAATGACTAACATAGATATGTACATTGGACCATCTGGATCCACAGGAGCTCTGTTCCAGGATCTGGAACACACAGCAAATCATGCAGATGATAATGCATGTGTCCACATCAGACCATGCACATGAACTTTGGCCCCATTTTATGCATGGCCTGCAACAATCCATATTTCAGTTGAAAATATGGATTGGGAGCTTGTGGATCAGGAAGGTCCATTGTACTAGAACAGCAAATGCCTACGCTGGTAGCTCATGACTCAACACTGTTTCATAATAAATTTGCTTGCTATTTGATTCATCCTTGTTTGGCACAAGTAATCAGTCAAATAACTATCAGACTTGAAATTTTCTCAAGGAAAATGTATCATTTTTCTCATGGGAAATGCCAACCTTTTTCATACTTAAAATTTAGAGAAATGACTATTCTGTTGACTGTCTATGAAAATGGTTTTTTAAAAAAGTAAAATCTTTTGCCTTTGTTACAAAAAAGTCTTACCATCAGTAGTGATCTCAGCAACATGATCTGAATTCGCCTGGTTCCCAAATCCCTAAGAGCAAACGAATAAAACAAAAGTCCGCATTAATGTTGATCAACACTTTTGCCCAACAATACTAAATGCAATTCCTTAGGGAGATTAAATTGGAATACAATGGGTGCACATTTGTATTTAAATGTTGAAAGGCACTATAGTAATTTTTTTTTCCTTAAAGAAAGAAGCTTCATACACTTTTAATTAAAAACAAACCAGAATGTTTCAAGTCTAGAATCCTGCTGTTTGGACTGGGAATATTAACAATGTATTTTACAGAATATCTCTGAGAATGAACAAATTTCAATATCAGCTAAAACTACTGGTTCTGCCTTTTGTGAAGGGATCTGACGTTGGTGCATCCTCTTCTCTCCATAAAAGAGAAGGGATATTAGGAGAGAAATTCAGGATAATGGACCGAAACAACGATGCTCCTATTAAAGCAGCTCCACTGGTTGCTGTTAAGTTTCCAGTCCTAATTCAAGGTACAGGTTATGACCAACAAAGCCCTAAATGGTTTGGCCCCTGCCTATCTTAGTGATCACACCTCCCCCTATGAAAGGGTGCTAGCTCATCCTCCTCTCACTTCCACCACCATCACGAGCATGGTTGGTGGGGTCGAGGGAGAGAGCCTTCTTGGTGGTGGCCCCTGAACTCTGGAACACCCTCCCTAGAGTGGACTCAGGGCAGCTTACAACTGACAACCATTAGATGCCAACAACAATAATAAAAACACAGTTAAACATTAATTAAAACATCACCATATGTTTAAAAGACCATTTAAAAGAGACAAACCTGACAAATTAGATAAGAGATCAAAACTATCCAAATATATCAAATCACTTCAGTACAGGGCTTGGAAAAATGGATTTTACAGCAAAAGAATGCATATTCTCTGCATGTTTTTTTCAGCTCCTGTAAAATTTGTTCAGGTGGATTAGGAACCTTTTGGAAACAAGCTCCACAGATGTCTCCACGGCCATTGTAGAACGCTTTACTGTCTGGAGCAATGAAAAATATGGCACATTTCATTCCTTCAGTACAAGATGCCTGGACTACCACTGCCCATTGACTATTTCTTCAATACTAATGATGAGAAAGGGCAGTATCTCACACCTAACCTGAGAGTACGTGGCTACCTTGGAGTGTACAAAACAGACTGGTGGAGGACAGAGCTGTGCGTTCCAGAAACTGTCCAGTGTAGGAGGAATGGAGGACATAATGTATTGTCAAAGGCTTTCATGGCTGGAATCACTAGGTTCTTGTAGGTTTTTTTGGGCTATAGGGCCATGGCCTAGAGGCATTTCTCCTGACATTTCGCCAACATCTATGGCAAGCATCCTCAGAGGTAGTGAGGTCTGTTGGTATTAGGACAATGGGTTTATATATCTGTGGAATGTCTGGGGTGGGGCAAAGAGCTCTCTGCTGAAGCTAGGTGTGAATGTTTCAGCTGACCACCAGATGCAGGCGAAACGTCAGGAGGAGAGAGAGAGGGGAGAGAGAGAGAGAAGAGAGAGATAGAGAGGAGAGAGGGAGAGGTAGAGAGAGAGGAGAGGGAGAAAGATAGAGATAGGGAGAGGGAGAGGGAGAGGGAGAGGGAGAGGGATAGAGAGAGAGAGAGATGACTAGCTCCAGCAGAGAGCCCTTTGCCCCACCCCAGTCATTCCACAGATATATAAACCCATTTTCCTATTTCCAACAGACCTCACTACCTCTGAGGATGCTTGCCATAGATGCAGGCGAAACGTCAGGAGAAATGCCTTTAGAACATGGCCCTATAGCCCGAAAAAACCCACAAGAACCTAATGGAGGACATGTCAAGGATAAACTACATCTATGCTTTCTGCACCACCCAATACTATTCTAGAAGCAACCTGAACACAAGAAGTCCAAAATATGGAGTAAATAGAACTCACCCAAGTTGGCTGGTGTCCAGAGTATGAGACGTTGCCCCTAGAACAGGGACTTTCCCCATAATGAACATCATAATTTCAGACCGATGGTAGTCTGGCAGGTTGCTTCCAAAGAATCCTAGATGGAATGGGAGAGATGTAGAAAAAAGAAACAAAGAATACATCTCTTTCCCACAATTCAAGAGAGATATTGACAAGCTGGAATGTGTCCAGAGGAGGGCGACTAAAATGATCAAGGGTCTGGAGAACAAGCCCTATGAGGAGTGGTTTAAGGAGCTGGGCATGTTTAGCCTGAAGAAGAGAAGGCTGAGAGGAGATATGATAGCCATGTATAAATATGTGAGAGGAAGCCACAGGGAGGAGGGAGCAAGCTTGTTTTCTGCTTCCTGGAGACTAGGACGCGGAACAATGGCTTCAAACTACAAGAAAGGAGATTCCATCTGAACATGGAAGAACTTCCTGACTGTGAGAGCCGTTCAGCAGTGGAACTCTCTGCCCCGGAGTGTGGTGGAGGCTCCTTCTTTGGAAGCTTTTAAACAGAGGCTGGATGGCCATCTGTCAGGGGTGATTTGAATGCAATATTCCTGCTTCTTGGCAGGGGGTTGGACTGGATGGTCCATGAGGTCTCTTCCAACTCTTTGATTCTATGATTCTATGATTAATAAATATATATTCAGCCAACCTTTAAAAATATGTCCAAAAAGATGCTAATGAACATTATTATTATCACAATTTAACAAGCTCTCTTCAACCTAATTCCATTTCCATCTTTAAAAAGACAATTTTCATATTCATTCATTTGTAAACTAATCAGTCATAAAGAGTGAAGCAATTTTCATTTAAAATGTCTTACTGTTTTTATTGTCATTTTATTGTTTAACTTGATTTTACTGTCTTTTCAAAATATGATCATTTTTAATTATAATATGATTTCCCAAGATATATCCACTAGCAGAATTATGTTATGTAACTCCTATACTATATATCACTGCAGACTAATGTTCAATGCACATAGATGAAAATCCATTGCGTAACTGCAGCGTGCAATGAATAAAAGCAATGAACAGTGACAGTGTGTATTCACACCTGACTATCTATGTGTTACTGAATGTGTGGTGGTTCTATGCATATAACTATTGCTTCTACTGCCACCAGCTAGATCCTATCATAGCACTTTGTTCCAAAAAACTTAAAAAGAAATCACGCCGCACTTATAGGGCAGCTTACACTTGCATGTGCCACTAACAAGATGCCAGCTCTTATTGAAAATCACAATAATAAATAAATAAATAAATAAATAAATAAATAAATCTTTATTTATACCCTGCTACCATCTCCCAAGGGACTCGGTGCGGCTTACATGAGGCCGAGCCCACAATACATCAATACAAGCAATAGCAATTACAAAATGAAACAAAATACAAGTACTAATTCAAAGCAATTAAAATAAATCTCATACACAAAATAGCATAAACATTGAACAGTGGCACAAACACATTTAAAACTATGGCTGGGCCAAATGTAATTAAATTAAGAATAATGCTGGGCATAGAATCATAGAATCAAAGAGTTGGAAGAGACCTCATGGGCCATCCAGTCCAACCCTCTGCCAAGAAGCAGGAATATTGCATTTAAATCACCCCTGACAGATGGCCATCCAGCTTCTGTTTAAAAGCTTCCAAAGAAGGAGCCTCCACCACAGTCTGGGGCAGAGAGTTCCACTGCTGAACGGCTCTCACAGTCAGGAAGTTCTTCCTAATGTTCAGATGGAATCTCCTCTCTTGTAGTTTGAAGCCATTGTTCCTTGTCCTAATCTCCATGGAAGCAGTAAACAAGCTTGCTCCCTCCTCCCTGTGGCTTCCTCTCACATATTTATACATGGTTATCATATCTCCTCTCATCCTTCTCTTCTTGAACAAGGTAGAGGAGGTGGGGCGTTGGGGAAACGTACAAACAGTCCTAAATCAGTATAAAGTGCTTTTGGAGGACATAATGCTAAGGGTTCATTATTCTGGGAAGGCACACTGGAACAACCACATCTTCAAGCTCCTCCTAAAGACTGCCACTGTTGGGGCATGCCTGATGTCCTTAGGGAGTGAGTTCCAGTTCTATATATGTTATATGTCTAAATGGCATTGAATGTTTGCCATGTATATGTGCATTGTAATCCGTCCTGAGTCCCCTGAAGAGTAAGAAGGGCAGAATCTAAATACTGTAAAACAAATAAATAAATAAATAAATAAATTTCACCTCATTTTCTGTTCTTGTGATAAGTAGATTTTTTAAAAAATGGCTTATTTGTTTCACTCCAGAACAAGAATAACTCTGACTTTAGAACACCACACACTGAGCAGGAAAACAATCCTTTTTTATTGACGATAATTAAAAACAGCAAGGTAAAAATATATGCTTTAAGAAGGTAAATAAGTCCAAATAAGGTAGGAATATAAGCAGGAACAAAGTATTTCAAGGCAGGGTTCAGCAACGTTCAAAAGTGAATTTCAGGCTTTTGTAATAAAATCCAAAGAACCAGGAAAGCATTAAACCACAGCATGAGTATACAATCCCAAGAGACCAAGAGTCAAACCATGAACAAGAAATCCTTAACATGAATCTTCCAAGTAATTCTTCCATAGAACAAGAACTAGGACTTAGCGGGATTCTGAAATGATGCTTCATCTGACTATTTTTTCCCTCGTGAGAACTTTATATCCCAACACCCAGAAATTCGTTTTGTTTTCCTTGACTGCTTCTCGCCCTTATCTCTCGAAGCCTAGTAGAACAGCAGAGGCCTTGGCTGAGCTGTCTGTTTTGGCTAAATTCCAGCCATCTATGTGCTCGTTATTTTTCTGCTCATTATTTTCTCCAGGTGTCAAGTTGTTTCAAACCCCAAATCTTGGGAACTCTCTGATTCAGGGAGTAAACTATCATCCCTATACCCTGTAAGAACATTCTCATGGGAAACTATCCTTTGAACTGGTGTCCCTATGTCATTCTCTGCCTTAATATCATTGACCAAACCATCTCCATCTTGACCCTCAGTGACATCATTCCCCACGACAGAAGCACATTGATCCTGAAACACAAACACAGGCTGAATTCCAACATTATTGTAGAAACAAGGATTGGTGAGAAAGCTTCAATGAAGACAAATCTTTCCCCATAATAACTCTTTCAAGAGTGAATTTCCCTTCCTAGGGGTAGATCTCTAATTTCTTGTTGTCTCATCCTCATTTGTAAGTATGAGTTGTATGCAAGTCAGATATTTGTAAACTAGTAACTCCCCATAGTTGTTATTTCTCTCATTGGCTCACAGACCTACTGTGGTTACCCACCTGTCAATCCAAAAGGCCTGCCAATTAATATTATGAACTAGGAACCTTCTCTTTCTCTAACCATCCCAACAGAATTGTAAGGGACCCGAAAGGCAGTCTATAGCCTGTTTGATGATACAGCTGAAGATCAATAACAGTGGTTATACAGACAAGGCTCACTCACCAATAGTTTGAATAATAGCATTCTGGACAATTCTCTCATCATTTTCCTTGGTGCTTGTAGTAAAGCTGCCACTGCTTATTGAGCTGCGTCGGTCACTTAATTCAAAATCAACACTGAAACGTAGGTGCTTCAGCAAAGTGTTGAAGACTTCTAAGACTGTTGGGCCTGTGGAGAAACCAAAATAATGTCTTTAACTTTTGTATTTTTTTAAAAAAAAAACCCAAATCAAAGCAAAGGAAAGGGTTGACTATTCCAACTCACCAATGGATCCCTTTGCAGCAATTGCAACAGCTTGTAACAGGGCTTGAATGATACCTGCTCGGACTCGGGGGAAATCTCTTTTGCGAGCATCCAGGTGTGCCAAAATTTCCTGGATTACATGATGAGAATACTGTGCCTGGGAAATTGAAATTCCTATTAGGTTCCCATTGCCAAGTGTTTTGAAAGAAGCACCTGATTCTTATTCATTATCATTATCTGCCTTTTCACTCCTTTTTCTTTTTCAGAACTCCAGTACTATTTTCCGTACAAAGTGTCTAAAAAAGGCTACAAGTTCAGTAAATATGCTTCGGTTGCACACAATTATGTCTCCCTTTCTTTCTCTTCCTGACACTTTGGTCAGAGATGCTGGGTTTGGCACAGGTGGTTGGGAGACAGCTGCATTAAAATCACTACTGGCCGAGAGGTTATGAATTCAAAGCCAGCCCGGGTCAGAGTGAGCTTCTGGCCACTTGTCTTGCTTGCTGTTGACCTTTGCAGCCCGAAAGACAGTTGCATCTGTCAAGTAGGAAATTTAGGTACCGCTTATGCGGGGAGGCTATTTCAACTAATTCACGACGCCATAAATATCTGTCCAGCAGTGTGTAAAAGAATGAGGAAGTACTTCATCAGTGTCACAAGTGAATGATGAAGCAACAGCTCCCCCGGTGGCCAGAATTCAAAAAGCATACCCTCATGAAGCTGGAAAGTTAAATAGCCTCTGTGTCTCTGTCTATATATGTTGTGTGTCTACGGCATTGAATGTTTGCAATGTCTTTGTGCATTGTGATTCACCCTGAATCCCCTGCGAGGTGAGAAGGGCGGAATATAAATACTGTAAATAAATAAATAATAAATATATAAATAATGCTGCAGGATTCATCTCCTTTTCTATCTGTAAACAAATATGGAGCAAGGATGGAGTCACTAAAAAACTTGACATAAAAATGGACCAGTACAATTTAACAAAATGGCTTCATGAGAAGTTGGCAGGCAGAAAATAATCTCCGCCAGGTGACTTGAATTTGCTAAACGTGAGTAAAGGCTCATAGGAAAACAGGCATGCTATTCAGTAATTCAGACTCCAGGCTATGAGAGCTTTAAAGATGGAAAACCAAAACCTTTCCTCATGTCAAGAAGATGACTGAGAGGCGCAGTAAGTGTTATGTGCTCGAGGCACCTCATTCTATTTAAAATGGGGGCTGCTATATTTTTGCATCAACGGCAGCTTTTGCTCACTTCCCAAGGGCAGCTCTACAGTGCACAATGGTGCATGTTAGTTGTGTAGTTAGTTATGGAAATTCATTATCTAGGAGGTCCAGCTGGCCCTAATGAGAAAGATTTAGTTTTTACTGTATGTGGTTGATTATTATTTATCGTGTCATCAGCAACCATTGTATTACAATTCTAACAGAGCAAAACAAACACACAGATTAAAAAGAAAAAAAAAAAACACAGATTTTGCAAACTTGGTAGTTGGTTAAATGTCCTTTGACCAGTATCTGGCCACTTGGAGTGCCTCTGGTGTTGCCGCAAGAAGGTCCTCCATTGTGCATGTGGCAGGGCTCCGGTTGCATTGCAGCAGGTGGTCTGTGGTTTGTTCTTCTCCGCACTCGCATGCCGAGGATTCCACCCTGTAGCCCCATTTCTTAAGATTGGCTCTGCATCTCGTGGTGCCAGAGCACAGTCTGTTCAGCGCCTTCCAAGTCGCCCAGTCTTCTGTGTGCCCAGGAGGGAGTCTCTCATCTGGTATCACCCATGAAAGGTGCTGGGTTTGGGCCTGCCACTTTTGGACTCTCGCTTGCTGGGGTGTTCCAGCGAGTGTCTCTGTAGATCTAAGAAAACTATGTCTTGATTTGAGTCGTTGACGTGCTGGCTGATACCCAAACAGGGGATGAGCTGGAGATGTCTCTGCCTTGGTCCTTTCACTATTGGCTGCTACTTCCCGGCGGATGTCAGGTGGTGCAATGTGGTTGATAAAGGGCTTTTAATGAGGCAGGAGTCGTTTTATTATTTTACTGTTTTGAAGCATCTTTTAATGCTGTTTTTAAATCTGTTTCCCAAACCAGCTTTATACCATTTTAATTATTGTAGCTCAACAACTAACCCACTGACACCACTTTAACACCAGGTCCCCAATTCCCAGTTAGTTTCACTAGATAAATAAAATCAGGAAAATAAAAAAAATATTCTACTGTGATGCCGAATAGGGGAGGAGAAGCCATGATCGGCTGCCATGTCGTCCCTTTGTGGATGGGAATCCATGAAGGATGGCCCCTTGCCATTTCGGGCACCCAAACAAAACAGATAAGCCGAATGGCCAAAGGGACCGGCTAAAAATGGATCTGTGCACATGTCTAGTAAGTTGTTTCTTCATCCATATACTATAATTTCTTCATCCATATACTATACTTGAAGGAGCTGGGGGTGGTGATGGCTGACAGGGAGCTCTGGCATGGGTTGGTCCATGATGTCACAAAGAGTCGGAAGCGACTGAACGAATAAACAACAGCAATACTATAATTGGATAGACTGGTATCTGAATGTTGATAGGGCCACATTTTCTGGCATATTAGAAGGCAATATGAATTTTTAGGGATTACATATACTTTTGTCTTCTATCTCACCATCTGGTGCCTGGACTAACTGCCTCATTCTTCCTAATAATAAGCCTGTCCCTGGTTTCTGTACCAGGAAAATAAATGTAGCAATTATACAGTATCTTTGGTTCAAAGTGTCTTTGCAGAAGCATCCGAGACATCCGTATCTATTTATAGTTATGTATCCATCAGGAAGTAATTCCATGCTACCTGCTAATGATTGGCCATTGGTGCATATTCAAAAGCATATGACTTTTTATTTTGTTTTTGTTCAAAATGATAAAATTAGAAAATAAAACCTACCTGTATAGAATACATGATGATTTTGAAAATGGAGACAGCAAACTCATTGGGATCCCAGAGTCTGTGATGGTCTAAATGTCTAAGAAAACCAAATAGTAAACAATAAATGATATCACACTTGGATCAACCTCTGAGTTCAAGTGACCATTTAAAATGAGCTTTTGAATCAAGAGAGCCTAAACCTTTGTAAGTTGTTTTGTGTGCCTTGAACTCATTTCCCACAAATTGTAATCCTAAGAGAACCTTATGATAAGACTTTCTGATACTGAGAATGTGTGACCCACATATGTTCATACAGTGGGTTTCATGGCTGAGCAGGAAATTGAACCCTGGTCTCCAGAGTCATAGCCCAATGCTCAACCACTACACTATGCTCCAAGGGCTATTAGAAATTGTGAATGCATTTGTTTTTGTTTGTTGGTTGGTTGTTTGGTTTTTTGGGGGGCAAACCTCAGATGGTCCCAGTCAGAATCATTGTCAGGTAACCTGATAGTTGCAACCTGAAAGAGGAACTTTAAAAAACGGTGGAACAGATACACCTTGTGACCCAATTCTATAAGCCATAGTGCTGGTGCAAGTTATTGATATGACTGGGAATTTCAAAGAGGAACTTTACAAAGTGGTGGAACACATACACCTTGTGACCCAATTCTATAGCCCATAGTGCTGGTGCAAGTTATTGATATGACTGGGAGTTGGCTCCAAGAATTGGACCAAGCTGGCAGTTGACCCACTAATATCAAGTGTTGCACATACTCAGTGCCTCCTGAGTTTACAAGACTCTCCCAGAAGATTCTGTGCTAATCCCAAATAAGAGACAATTTAGAGTCTGTTACATATTTATGTGCCTTCAAGCCATCTTATGTCAACTTATTATGATAAAATGAATTTTGTAGGGCTTTCTTAGGTAAGGAATATTTAGGGGTGGTTTGGCCATTTCCTTCCTCTGAAACAGTGGATCCCAACCTGTTTATGGCCAGGGACTATTTTGACCAGGGACCACTAGACCAGGGATCACTTTGACCAGGGACCACACTACAACATTAATACCAAAAGGGTTACAAATCAGTTTTTGGTCAACTTTAGATTTGGTTTGGTTATTTGGGGTGCTGATTCAGACAATTTCATTGGACAGACCACATCAGCTCTAGTTTCTGATATAGAACATATGCCATCCAGTAGTCACCATCTGCTCATCCACAGAAAACCATATTTAATAATCTAGAGCCACGGACCTTATTTTAGGTCCTGTGGCCCAGCAGTGGGCCACAGCCCACAGGTTGGGAAACACTGCATCTGAAACATAGCCACGGGACTTGGTATTTGTTGGTGGTCTCTGATCCAAGTGCCAACCAGGGTTGATCCTTACTTTCCAAGATCAGCCTGGACTTGGTGCCTTTAGGGTATTTAGGCCCAGTAGAATATATTACTGTTTTCTTAAATTAATAAGCACATACAGTATTTATTCCTTACGCAAAAACTGGTCGGACAGCATGGTTCATGTTGCCGTAGGTTGCTCGACCCAGCAACTCTCTGAAACAGTTCTCAGCCAGCACAAATGGGTTCTCCTCTTTCTCTCTTCCTGATGGTGACGAAGGGGGGCAGCCACGACTGAAACAAAGGTTTGTTAATTCATCCATGCATCATCACTACATATCATGGTGGGGAAGACATAGCTTCTAATACCCCCCCCCCTGCAAATAGTCAGACATTAGTTTTATTAATAAATTTTGAAACAAAACATCCTAAAAAACTACCTAAACTGACACAAAATTGTGGCAAAACTGGCCCCACCCTGCTGTCCCTACAATTATATGAAAACAAAATACAACCAAAATATATTGCCTGGAGTGGCATTGCCCTCATGCTGAAACTGTACCTATTGATCTACTCACATTTGCATGTTTTCAAACTGGTAGGTTGACGGAAGCTGAGCCTAACAGCGGCAGCTCACCCTGCTCCCCAGATTTGAACCACCAATCTTTCAGTCAGCAAGTTCAGCAGGTCAGCAATTTAACGCACTGTGACACCAGTGAGCCTAGGTATAGGAGACACTAATTAGAGCTCTTCCAGTAATACCCACATGTATAAGTGAGGGCAAATTTGGATTTTAGATTTTGATATGTGTCGTGGATAAGTTGAAGGTTATTCCATGGAGTGAGAAAAGCACCAATACTGTCTCAGAGGGCCAGTTGCTCCCATCACTGTCACCATTTCCCAGCACCCAGCATTCAAAAAGACCAGAAGTAAAGCTGTGGTAAAGAGAATTGAAGAGGTTGGTGCTTCTTTCACATTCTCCCAGAATGGACTAAGCCAGTGTTTCTCAAACTCTGCTCCTCTAGGTGTTTTGGATTACAGCTCCCAGAAATCCCAGCCAGCTTACCAGCTATTAGAAAATCCAAAACATCTGGAGGAGCACTGTTTGGGAACCACTGGAATAAGTGCTTGCTTTTACTTGGAGACAGGGATATACTTAAATTGACCCATGGATAAGGCAATCCAGGTTTTTGGGCTTCATTTTTGAGACATTTTTAGAATTATACATGAGTATATATTGTAGTACTTCTAGAGAATGAAGGTGCACGTTAATTATAAGCACCATATGTGCTTATAAACCAATTTGTTGTATATAACTTGCCTCTTGTGTAAGTCAAGGCCAAGTTTTGGCACAAAAAGAATAGATTTCAATCTGGCCCATGGCTAAGTCAAGGGTCATTCTGTGTCGTAGGGAAAGTGTCATGCTCCTTCAGGGTATATCCTTGGCGCCTGCCATTTTTCCACCCAGGCATTCAAATAGTCCAAAACAGAGAAAGTATCAGGGATCAGTGCTTCTTTTAGCTCTTCTAGGGTGGACTAAGCTCTAACCTTTCACAGCTCTACTCAGAAACTGTTCCTTTTTTTTATATGAGTTAATGTACAGTACTTAAATTGAATAATTCAACCTAGTTTTGGGGGTTCAATGTTTTGACTACAATTTCTAAAGCTACACATGATTATATACAGTACATTTAAGCACGCCGGCTTTATCCAGAGCTCTAAGGGGTTCTTTAAGACACTGCGCAGCATCCTTCTCTTTGAAGTGGGGAGTCTGCTGCTATCCCGTCACTATGGGGTTGCAGAAACTGTTTTCTCCATCATGAGGCCATCTGTCTGGACCATCTGTTTCCCACCCACTCCTCAAGCAACCTCCCTCGGCACTGCCTCCATATGCAAAGAGTCACAATACCCAAAAAGAAAATGAGATGGGAAACTTATTGCCTGCTCTGTATGGGGACAACAGATCAGCAAACTAGAAATGCTGTTTTCAAGCTTTGCATCATGTCTGCATCTAAAGGATAGACGGTGCACTATACTGATCAGCATTAGTCTTTTGAGTAGAATATCTTCATCTAAGGTAGCATTTCAAAGCTGCTGAATTCAGGGTTGCCACTATGTTACAGAAGTCTTAAAACTTAGGAATTGATCAATTTACCTCTTGTTTATGTATGTATGCAGTCACTTAAAGAGTTGATTTGGGACTGAGAAACCACAACATTTTCTATCTTCTTCTTATGTTGACCTTGAGTTGTTTACATTACTGGGAATAATTTCTTTGCTTAAATTGAGTAAATTGCTGATCGTGGGGAGGGTTACCATATCTAAAGGCCTGGCCCAGGTCTCTAGCTTTCATGGGCCATCAGGCAGAACAAATTATCAAGTTTTGTCAGATTCAGTTCTGAGCAAAAGGAAAGGGCTGTGTGCAAACCTTTAATACAGCTAGAACAGCATCAGCTTGCTATATTTTGCAAGCTAAAATTGACTGGTTGCTGCAACTGCAAAGACTCTCCAGAGAGTCTATGTGTTTACTTATTCAGTTCTGTGACGTCAGAGCCATCCTCTGCTCTGTTCTGCATCACCAACTGCCTACAAACAAATGGGTGTCTGTGCCTTTACCTGGCAATCTATGTAGACCCCATGAATTTCAGAGGATGCTCTTACCATACATCAAGGGAACCACTGACCGCATAGGGAAGCTGGTGAAGATACACAGCCTACAAACTATCTACAGATTGACTAAGGCCCGTTCCACACAGCCCTATATCTCAGAATATCAAGGCAGAAAATCCCACAATATCTGCTTTGAACTGGATTATCTGATTCACACTCAGATGATGTGGGATTTTCTGCCTTGATATTCTGGGATGTAGGGCTCTGTGGAAGGGCTCTAAGAAAATCCAACAAAAGCTACATTCAGCAAAGGACAAGAGGGATCCTCTCACCTCTGCAGGAGTCTACCGTAAACCATGCAGCTGTGGACAAGTCTCCATAAGGACCACCAAACACAGTATTGCCAAAACACAAATCAAGGAACATGAAAGGCACTGCAGACTAATTCAACCTGAGGAGTCAGCTATAGCAGTGCACCTGATAAACCAACCTGGATGCAGCATATGATTTGAGAACACAGAAATGTTGGACCACAACTACCATGTCAGGCAACACAGAGAAGCCATTGAAATCCACAAACATGAGGATAATTTCAACAGAAAGGAGGAAACCATGAAAATGAACAAAATGAACAACAACAAGTCTAGTCGTAATTGTTCATTTGGGAACAACCTAAGTTTCCAAACATGAAAATGTTTTCGTTCTGTATATGTAATGACAAGCCATGAACAAATACAAAAGTATAGGTAAAGGTTTCCCCCTGGCCTTAAGTCTAGTTGTATCCAACTCTGGAGGGTGGTTCTTCCATTTCTAAGCTGAAGAACTGATGTTGTCTGTAGACACCTCCAAGGTCATGTGGCCAGCATGACTGCATGGAGCACTGTTACCTTTCTGCAAAAGCAGTACCTATTTAGGTTAAAGGTTTTTCCCTGACATGAAGTCCAGTTGTGTCTGACTCTGGGGGTTGGTGCTCATCTCCATTTCTAAGCCAAAGAGTCAGTGTTGTCCGTAGACACCTCCAAGGTCATGTGGCCGGCATGACTGCATGGAGCGCCGTTACCTTCCCGCCGGAGCGGTACCTATTGATCTACTCACATTTACATGTTTTCGAACTGCTAGGTTGGCAGAAGCTAGGGCTGACAGCGGAAGCTCACGCTGCTCCCCGGAATCGAACCTGCGACCTTTCGATCAACAAGCTCAGCAGCTCAGTGCTTTAACCCACTGCACCACTGGAACAGTACCTATTTATCTACTCATATTTACATGATTTCAAACTGGTAGGTTGGCAGAAGCTCACCCTGCTTCCTGGATTCAAACCTCCAACCTTTCAGTCAGCAAGTTCAGCAGCTCAGCGGTTTAACCCACTGCACTTCCAGGGGACCTGAACAAATATAGTTGGTATTTAATCTGTAATACCTAATGACATCATTAGCGGTTGTCCCTAGGTCTCAGGTTTTGGCCATAAACCTTCAGGAACTGGGACCATTCTGAACCAGCAGCCCAGATTTTAGAATGTATGGGAATTGTAGTCCTTGATATATAAAAATTGCAATAGGCTTGGGAGCATCACTGAGAACAGGGAAAGCAATTAAAACAGGAGAAATATAGCCATCTTCCAAATTTGCATCAAAATCAAATCCTTACATTAATTAGATCATCAAATGTTTAATTAAATCATTAAATGATTTTTGATAGGGGGGGTGAATGATTTTGTGAGCTCACATATACATACCTGTCAACATCTTCAATCTTGTGCATATTAAATAGGAGGGAGGGGACTATCTTGTCCATGTGCTGAGGCTCCCATATAGTTGCTTGGAGTTCGTCATTAACAGTCTTCCGGACCACTCCCTGAATGCCCCTGATTCCAGCAATACGGATCCTGGGGGAAAAGGTGAAAAATGACATTGTGAAATTACAGTGTGTCAATGTTCTGTTAAAATGATGGAAATGTAGCTCAATGCAGTGCTTCCTCCACAGCACATGAGAGAGAGCCATTTCTCCACATTTGCTGAGGTTAGGAGCACAGGACTCCCAAGAAAATAAAAAGTGACCAAGTGTTATCTGTGAAAACACGTCTCTGGGAATTTCATAGTTCCCTTCTACACTGCCATATAAAATCCAGATTACCTGCTTTGAACTGGATTATATGGCAGTATTGGCTTGAGTATAAGCCAAGCGTGGGAAATGCAGCAGCTGCTGGTAAATTTCAAAATAAAAAAATAGATACCAATAAATCTATTCCAGATTATCTGGCACTGTAGACTCATATAATCCAGTTCAAAGCATATACTGTGGATTATCTGCTTTGATCATTTTGATTATATGACAGTGTAAAAGGGGCCTTAGTCTTCCATCATGACCCCAAGATCAACTTTGGCTGGAAGTTGTACATAGAATCGCATTAGTGGATATAGATTCATATAGAGGTGTTCTCTCTAGAAATCATCAGGTCCTCCAACATAACCAAAATAAGGTTGGATCTACACTGCTCTCTATCCCAGGATCTGATCCCAGATTATGTGCCTTGAACTGGATTATATGAGTCTACAGTGCCAGATAATCTGGGATAAGCATATAATCTGGGATAAGATCAGGGGAGTGTGGAAGGGGCCTAAGTTGTCCATAGAATCCACACTAGTGGACCTAGAGATTCCTAGCAAGAACATTTGTAATTTGGACAGTCTCAAATTACAGTTTTATGCAAATATTCAAAAACATTTAACCTACAGAAGCCTCAATTAATGTAATTTTATTGGTATCTATTTTTTATTTTGAAATTTACCAGCAGCTGCTGCATTTCCCACGCTAGCCTTTACACGAGTCAAGAAGTTTTCCCAGTTTTTTGTGGTAAAATTAAGTGCCTTGGCTTATATTTGGGCTGGCTTATATTCAAGGATATAAGATAACTGGAAAACATTACTGGTTCCATAAGGGATTTCGTTATTTTGAAAATGCAATCTCAAAATGGTCTCACCAGCTCGCTCGCTCTCTCCCTCTCTCTCTCTATAGTAACTTGATACAGGAACTTGCATTACCTGTAATGGGATTTTCCCAATGCTTACATTATCATTTTGATGATAGAGCAATGGTTTCCAAATGTTGGTTCTCCAGATGTTTTGGATTTCAGCTCCCAAAATTCCTGACCATTTATTGGCCATGCGGGCTGTATTTGGGAGTTAAAGTCCAAAACACCTAGAGGATCAAGGTTTGGGAGCCATTGCTCTGACAGAAATGTAAGGTCTCCAGTTTTTCAAATTGTATTATTGTTCATTATTTTCTTATTTATCGATGTATTGTGTTTCACAGTGTTTTTGGCTAGTCAACAGAATTGGATATTTATTTATCATATCAGAAGTGAACCAAGGGTACCGTTCTAATGTATTTTTTTAAAAAACACAGAGTTTAAAAATTTGGGATTCTACTAAATGCCCTTTGACCAGTAGCTGACCACTTGGAGTTGCTGTGCTGTTGCTGTGAGAAGATCCTCCATTGTGCATGTGGCAGGACTCAGGCTGCATTGTAATAGGTGGCCTGTGGTTTGCTCTTCTCCAAACTTGAAGAGGGACATGAGAGAATACTCCCCGCAGGATTGCAACACATCTGGGCATCCCCTGGGCAATGTCTTTGTATATGATTGATTCTCTAACATCAGAAGCAACTTGCAGAATGCAACCAGAATTGTATGAAATGCAAAGAATTACTCTTAATATCTTCTGCTTATACATGAACAAGGAATACTTCTTTTCACCAGAGGGAGCTAAAGACCAGGCAATATGCTATTTTGAGTCATAAAACCGAAAAAGGGCACAGAGCATCCAAATTTTATTGCCCTTTCCCCAGCTACTTACATGTTACTGTTGCTTATCTGCCCAATAGCATTTTCACAGTCTAACAATGCATTTTAACAACACCCTCCCCCCAAATCTACAAGTGATTCATTAAAATATCCCAACTAGTCTAACTGAGGCTTCCTGTAATAATGTGAAAAGTGATTGTCAGATCATACACAAACTCATTACAGAGAAACGTGAATATTTTGAGAAGTAAGATCTGGAAAGAGATTGGGTGTATGTATAATTCTTGAAGGTGAAACAGCCATCGTTAATTTTATTTTATTTGTGCATTTTTTCAGCAAAGGATGCCAGCACATCAAGGCAACATATTATTATAGCTGCCTGGATCATTAACAGCGGCTGCTTTCTGAAGCTACGTTCAGAATTTCAGCTCCAGAGATTAAAAACACCGACATATGACCTGTAGCAATTTATTTAGAGATTGCCACAAATGGTTATGCGGAGGCACCGTGAGATGATTTTCTGAAAGAAAAAAAAACATTGTTCTGTACAATGTATTGTCGAAGGCTTTCATGGCCGGAATCCATGGGTTGTTGTAGGTTTTTCCAGGCTATATGGCCATGTTCTGGAGGCAATTTTTCTCCTGACGTTTCGCCTGCATCTATGGCAAGCATCCTCAGAGGTCATAGATGCAAGTGAAACGTCAGGAGAAAAATTGCCTCCAGAACATGGCCATATAGTCTGGAAAAACCTACAACAACCCATTGTTCTGTACAGCTGAGGGAGGGAGTGAAGCTCCTCAAATTTAGATGATGTGTCTTAGTCCTAGAAATTCCTGTGTCTTGGTTCAAAAAATCCCAAGCAGATGCTATTGGAAGCAATTCCCTAGTTTTTTTTCTTTGAGATTCTGTACATTAAACGTTCATTCTTTTGGGAATGGAACAACATGGGATGCATCTCCAATGTGGGATGCATGGGATGCAGCTTGATACCAGTTTAACTGCCATGGCTCAATGTTATGCAATCACGAAAATTGTTGTCTGGTGAGGAGGCTTGTGCATTTGGGGTAAACCTTGACCCATTTCATGTCCTGGCTTTCGGTGGGGGCCCCAATCTGTTTTTGGGAATCTCCCAAAATCAGGAGGGCAGATATCTGTTTTTGCTCTGGGGAGCTGAAAGATCCGTTTTCTATCGGCCCATTGGGTGGGCTTCCCAGGGTCCCTTTCCCATCATTTTAGGCATTTGAGCTATTTTACTCTAGAAGAGAGGCGCCTAGCTGCAGGCAGGTGTGCATTTTATGGGCCTGTACCCCACACACGCACTCTCTTTTTTCAAAGCAAGGAAGCAAGTTCTGCCTTTCTTACTCTAGAGGAGACACTTGGCTTCAGGCAGGTGCATGCGCTGAGCCTGCACACCACACATGCACTTTCTCTTTCCAAGGCAAGGAGAAAAGTTCTGACTTTCTTACTCTAGAGAAAGCGCTCAGCTTCAGGCAGACACTTGCACAGGACCTGCAAGCCACACACACACACACACACACTTCCCAAGGCAAGGAGACATCGTGTGCCACGTGCTCAGGAAAGCAGAGGAGGAGTCGATGATCGGCTCTCACTTGCTTTCATATTGAGTTAATTTTCATACCGGGAGGGAGCTTCCCATTATGTGCTCCTGAAGGCAAAAAAACTAATAAGAGAACAGTTGTAACAAATGGAAATGTATCCGTGCACAACTCTACTGGTGAGGCAAACTCAAGTTTACATACATAGCTATATAGATAGAGAGAGACAGGTAGACAGATATTGCATTGCACTGCCTCTTTGGAGAGAAGACCTTACTGATCATGAATCAACCCTCCCATCTTTCTTCTTTTTCCCCAGTTAAAACCAAGTGCAGAATTAATTCAGTTTGACATCACTTTAGCAGCCATGGCTCAATGCTATAGAATCATGGGAACTGAAGATGAACAAGGTCTTTAGCCTCCTCTGCCAAAGAGTACTGGTGCCCTGCCAAAATACAAATCCAGGGTTCCATAGCTATGTCAGTTAAGTAGTATCCAATTAAATTAATTCTACACCCGCAGAAAGAAGACACAAACCAGAACAATCTGCAACAGTTGATTTTTACTTGAGACTAATGAGTTCTGTAACCATTTTTAACATGCTCCAGTCCCAAAAATGTGATACATAAGCAGCACATCCAAATCAATATCAGATTACTGTAGTTATTGGAAACAAACATGCAAACACTCTAGAACATAATTTGAAGGAAACCTACATATCTGATGACTTACTCAGTTTGTATTTCAGGATCCTCATGGTAAGAGTGGCACATGGCACTGAATCGAGACACAAAGAAGTCATAACGCCGGTGGTACGAAGGTGTGTCTTCTTCAATATTCGCAAATTTGACAAACTAGTGAAATTGAGAGGGAGAAAACATGAGGTCGACATTATCTTCCACCATAACAAATGTATATCTGATGGCAAAACATGAGTAATGTCAACAACATTTGAGGTAATATTAAATTTTCTAGCTTCTTTGCTTGTAATGTTCCTCTGAGAGTCAGTTACATTCACTGGAGTTAGGAGCACAACATCCCCACAAAAGTGAAAACCTACAAATAAAAATTGCTATTTTAAAAAAATGAAACAATACATTTCCTGGAATTTCTAGATCCTCCAGAATGACTCAATGATCAATTTGTGCAGGAATTGCACAGGAGAGCCTAGAGATAACTCTCTCAAGAAAGCTCTAAGACCCCTTCTACACAGCTGTATAAAATCCACATTGAACTGGATTATATAGCAGTATAGACTCAGATAACCCAGTTCAAAGCAAATATTGTGGATTATCTGCTTGATATTTTGGGTTATATGGCTGTGTGGAAAAGCCCTCAGTAATGATGTGGAAAAGCCCTCAGTAAAGTTGACCATGATGATTCTATGGTCAACTTTCAGATGAAGGATCTAGAGAAGGATCTAGAGCATTGGTTCTCAATCTGTGCATCCCCAGATGTTTAGGCCTTCAACTTCCAGAAATCCTAGCAGCTGGTAAACTTACTGGGATTTCTGGGAGTTGTAGGCCAAAACATCTGGTTGAGAACCATTGCTCTAGAGCTTCTTTGTGAGAACATGTTAATCAAATCCATGCATAATCAAAACTATAAAAGTCAGACCTCCAAATGTGGAGGGTCAACTGAACAACAAAGACCACATTTCAACACCAATACCATTACCCTGAATAACTCAGTCACAGAGCACAGTGGGCATACCGACAATTCAATTGGAAGGCATCTACGGACAACAAAGAACTTCCTCCGCATGGAAGATGGAGAGACAGACAGCACCCCCTGAGGCCAAAGTTGAGCACAGCTTCCAGATTTCAGAGATGGAAAAAAGGCCTATACCTCTTTTTATGTATTTTTTGTCCTGTCAATTGTATAACGGCATTGAATGTTGGCCTATATGTATTCTGTATAAAGTTTGTATGCCGCTCTGAGTCCCCTTTGAGGTGAGAAGAGTGGGATAGAAATGATGTAAATTATATTGCTGAGACATTTGTCTCAGTAGCACACAAGAAGGCAAAAGGACCATGAACAAATACTTAAATCATCTAGTCGCTGTGATTGCAGCACAAGCAATGCCAGCCCTCATTCTGTAAGTTAATTGACTGCAAACTAATATTGCACTTTGAGCTCAGTTTGCAGCAAGTGAAGCAAGCCGAGGGCAAAGGGAAAATACAATAGGAAGAGAGAGAAACTGGGCTTTGTTAAAATTGTCTAAAAAGGTGGGATGACAGGAGTAGCAATTAGGAGTATTCCTGCCAAGTGTGAATAGTTGGAAGGTATGATAATGTATTGTCGAAGGCTTTCATGGCTGGAATCACTAGGTTCTTGTGGGTTTTTTCGGGCTATAGGGCCATGTTCTAGAGGCATTTCTCCTGATGTTTCGCCTGCATCTATGGCAAGCATCCTCAGAGGTAGTGAGGTCTGTTGGAATTAGGACAATGGGCATTCCACAGATATATAAACCCATTGTCCTAATTCCAACAGACCTCACTACCTCTGAGGATGCTTGCCATAGATGCAGGCGAAATGCCAGGAGAAATGCCTCTAGAACATGGCCCTATAGCCTGAAAAAACCCACAAGAACCTAGGTATGATAATCATTTCATTTCCACATAATGTGTCTATGCATGGTACTAAAGAAGCAGCCATTCATGCTACTGCAGAAGTAAGAGAGGATTTGAAAACACACACAGTCATATGCCTCAGTGCAAAACTGAGAGTCTTGTGGCATCTTAATGACTAAATTCTCTCAAATACAATACCATTAATGTCATGCTAAAAGACATAAAAGAAAAAGCAGTATCGTTTTTTAATGACAGCAGAATGTCATTCGCCAACACAACATAAGAGAAAGAATAAAACAGAAGCACATGTTAGGAGAAAATATATAATCAGGCTTAAATGCCATCAAAAGGCTGAGTAAAACAGAAAGGTTTTCCAACTAGGCTGGGAAAAAGTGACAGAAAATGTTTGGTGAACATAATGTGGATGACAGCTTGGTGAATATAATATTGATGGCTTGGTGAACATACTCTCACATGGCCTTATTTCTGATTGTCATTAATCTCACTCTAAACACTGATAATACTGTATTTTGTATACTGTACATCGAAATAAGAGCTATATTGACTGTACTCATCCCAGACCACTGGCATCACTAAGGGTTGGTGTCACCCAATGCAATAACTCACTATGTCAACCCCACTCCCATGGATCTCCTCCCATACCAGATCAGACGGTCATGAATGACTTTTCAATGACTTTAAAGCATAGGTTCTTTGTATTGCAATTTCCAGTGTGAGAGGGTATATCAGATTGCAGAAAAACATTTAGACAAAGAATGATATTGGACATACAGACATACAGATTCTATGCAACTACATAGGATTTATAATTACATGGCTAACAAACAAACAAAGGAGAATTACATTTTCAATCATCATTCACACACATGTACATGCATTCATCCTCATGCATCCAAATATTACCATACCCTTTTCTCCCTCCTTGGAGAAGCACCTGTTGGCCAGACCCTGCTTTCCTGCATCCTGCCAATGCACAGTTCCAAAACTTCCATAACTTTAAAACACCAAAACTTCTTTCCTAAGCACACTGCCAAGGACCAGATCTCTGTTTTCCATACAGCAGAACCTAACTCCCTGCACTAAATCTAAGATTCCAAAAACACACTTCTTCCTCTTCCCTTGAGAAAGAAGCCCCAAAGTGACTTGAGAAAGAAGCCCCAAGTGATTTGCTCCCGTGCAAATCTGCCACTATTCATAGGTACACTACCTCTCTTCTTCCCATGGAGCATAGTTGATGGAACAGACTCCTCAGGTCTGCCACACTTTGAACATTATTAGACTGAGTCTTTTTATAGAAATATTCTGCTGATGTAGTCCCAATGTTGTAAATTAATGATAAACGTCTTCCATCCTGGCTCCATCTCAGTTTCCGGGCCAGATGATGATTATTCTTCTTGATTGGTGTTGACAAACACAAGGCTTGTGTTGACTTCCTTCTTAACATGAGGAATTTTGCAAACATTTCTGTTATCGCTGTCCCAGTTCTTATCAGAGTTTACTTTTCATTTCTCATTAGCAACTTTTAATTATAGTCCAGCAAGCAGGTAGTACGTCATTGCAGGCCTGGGTCTTTTGCTGTTGTTTCCAAAATTATTAGCTCCATCCATACATTCATCTTCCATTCTTCCATTCATTCCCACACATATTAAATTCTCATTTATCAAATCTGCACATTGAATTTCTTATTACAAGACCACAACCCTGTAGCTAAAACACTAGACAATTTCACAAAATCAATGACTACTTAAAAATCATCAACAAAAACAATACATGCTCCTAGCACAAGCAAAGGCAAACTTTAACCCTACAGGTGTTTTAGACTCCAACTCCCACAATTCCTAACAGCCTACTGGCTGTTAGGAATTGTGGGAGTTAGAGTCCAAAACACCTGGAAGGCCAAAGTTTGCTCATATCTGTTCTAGCACATGTGGATGAAAACAAGTATCATTGTCTTGGGGATAACAAGGACAGTTCCTAATAGAGTGTTTGTACATTAGTAGAAGGTTTGAAAAGTAAATTAGCACAGAGTTTTAGTCTTGTAGGTATATTGACACACTGCAAGCATTTTAAATATAAAAATAATATATTTCTGTTGTAACACTGTGCTAACATTTTATAAGCAAGTCGTTTTGATGTCACTTCCTCTGATGCCTGAACCCTCCAACCCTAATTTAGACCCTCAATATCAGAGTATCACACTCATAAACCACGACACAGCAGACACTAGGAGTTATTATACAATCAACGAGCACATTCTGACTTTCCACAAGTGTCTAGACAAGACTCTGCCTTGAGGAGAAGAATTATCTACACTCGATGTCTCTCTCTTCGCCATTCCATTGGAATTATAATATGCAGAAACTTATTTCCAGCTAATGTGCCTTCTACCATAATCAAATGCATATTATATTCACACAGACAGGCCGCTCATAAAAATCTATTCCTTTGCAGTTCATACAATGAAGCAGACTAAAGTCTATGAAAGCTTATGCTACTTTCTTGCAGTTTCACTGCTACAAGGTCCCTTTTGCATACTGATTCAAACTAACATGGCTACGTCTTTGAATAATGTAGACCATGATAGAGAATGCCACTTGATGAAGAAGACCCAAGTGTACAATAGAATGTGCTTCTAACATTTTTCTCTCATTTAGTCTCAGAAATGTATTTATTACAGATAAAAAGAATGCCTTTCTATTTCTCAAAGGTAGATTAATTACACTGCAATTCCTTTTAAAAAGTCACTAATCTGTGGTACAAACTATACTTTCCTCCTGTTGTCATCTCAACACCCTCAACTGGCATAAGATAGATATAACACCCAGAACTTGGACCATTTCATATTCCCCCCCATAACTTATCCAAATGCTTGGGACAAGTAATCATTTGTGTATGTGTATGTGTGTGTGTGTGTGTGTGTGTGTATCAGATACCTTGTGTAAATAAATGGAGGTATACTCACTGAGTTAGTTCCAAGAACCTGTAGCTTTGGATCCCCCGACTCCAGCAGCTTAGCCACCATGTGAAGGAAACTTTCCACAAATGGCTTAATGCTCTGAGAATGGCAAGCCATCAGAAGTTGGTCCAGGGCCTCCATGGCAATGAAGACATATCTAAGAGATCAGACAAGGATAGACCCACAGATTATAATATGCTGTAGTATTTGGTGAGCTTATATGGAGAAAGGCCATTTGGTCTGGAGAAAGACCAAAGATGTTGCTGAATAGTAATTTGGAACGCCTGCACTTTGAAACTTGTCCCAGCCATTAATCTTATTTAGCTGCATCATAAAGGGCAAGCTTTCTCAGCCAATCAAATTTTCTCTCCTGGTAATTAAAACATTGGTCCAAGAAAGCCTCCAACTGTCCTGATTTGGCAGGAAATGTCCAAATTAATCTCAGGTTGCTGTGAGTTTTCTGGGCTGCATAGCCATGTTCCAGAAACATTCTCTCCTGACATTTCAGCCGTATCTATGACAGGCAGCCTCAGAGGTTGTGACATCCTCAGAGACCTTACAATCTCTGAGGGTGTCTGCCATAGATATGGGTGAAACATCAGGAGATAATGCTTCTGGAACATGGCCATGCAGCCCAGAAAACTCACAGCAACCCAGTGATTATGGCCATGAAAGTCTTCAACATCAAATTAATCTTGTGCTATTGTACTTTTACAATTGCTTTTCAACATAAAGTTTATCTCTCATCCCAGCTTCTGCATCCTCTCCTAGCTTATGGAATGGTGATATGGCTGACATTACTATGGTTTTAATTAATGCTTTATTTATTGTTTTAACTATTGTCTTATTGTAATTGTTATATGTAACAGCATCTAATTGTTGCCAAGCCTAAGCCGTCCTGAGTCCCCCTTCGGGGGTTGAGAAGGACGGGGTCGAAATGCTAGAAATTATTATTATTATTATTATTATTATTATTATTATTATTATGCATTCATCCATAATAATAACATTTTCCAACTTAGTCACACTCTCATGTTGCTTAGCCACAGCTTTGAGATGTTGAAATGTATCATCCAATAATGTACCTCCTAGGAATCTAGCCCAGTTTCTGCAATCAGGGGTGCATCTACACTGTGGGAATAATGCAGTTTGACACCAATCTAACTGCTATGGCTACAGAATCCTGGAAGTTGTAGTTTAGTGAGGGACCAGGACTCCTTGGCAGAGAAGACTAACGACTTTGTCAAACACAATACCCAGGATCCTATAGCATTGAGCCTTGGTGATTAAAGGGGCGTCAAACTGCGCTAAATATTTAGCATAGACACATACTACGATAGTGTTGTCACTGAACACAGAGTTTGGGAATAGGACCTTTAGAGCTCAGTGACACTTACTTTTGCTTAGAAATGTATAACAGGATCAAGCTTTAAGCCTCTGCTATTCCATAACTATAGGCACAGATGGTATACAAGGTATAATACCCACACATATGTCGTTTATGTGAGGACGTAGGAGGTAGATCCAATCCAACTAAGAGTATCACATTGAAACCCTATAGGCTGCAGCAGAATATAGAATCATAGAATCAAAGAATCATAGAATCAAAGAATTGGAAGAGACCTCATGGGCCATCCAGTCCAACCCCCTGCCAAGAAGCAGGAACATTGCATTCAAATCACCCCTGACAGATGGCCATCCAGCCTCTGTTTAAAAGCTTCCAAAGAAGGAGCCTCCACCACACTCCGGGGAAGAGAGTTCCACTGCTGAACGGCTCTCACAGTCAGGAAGTTCTTCCTCATGTTCAGATGGAATCTCCTCTCTTGTAGTTTGAAGCCATTGCTCCATTGCGTCCTAGTCTACAGGGAAGCAGAAAACAAGCTTGCTCCCTCCTCCCTGTGGCTTCCTCTCACATATTTATACATATATAGTGCCTGGGATAATGAACAGCACAATGGAGGGCAAAGGTTTTGCAGAACTACACTGTAGCTGCCCAATGAACAATACCTCCAGAACCATGGTTGAGCCACTGCAGTTGTTCCAGGACATTCTGTGAAAGCTGATGGGGAGAATCAAAGATTCAGAGAGAGTGAACAAGTCTGAAAGAAAAACCATTACTTAGAAACAATCTTACCCATAACGATGTCTGACAACATCTCGGCTCAATCGATCTGCTAAATAAGCACCAATCCGATCCAACTTCTCAGGAGCAGAAACAGCATAGAAAGTCAGTTTCTCCATATCAGCTTTGACGAGGCCATCCTGAACATAAAAATAGCTATCCATCAGTGTTTCCCTACTAATTGATGTAGAATAGTTACTGCTATGGTTTATACTTCCATTACTTTGTTGTTTTTGTTATGTGCCTTCAAATGGTTTATGACTTATTTCTCCATGTCTTCAGTAATATCATCAGTCAAGGATAATATGTTTCCTTTGAATGAATGCCTGGAGGAAGTAATCGGATGGATGAGGAAAAACATACTGAAACTGGATCCAGACAAGACAGTGGCACTTACTGTCATGAGTCCTAACCTGGATTTGGAAGTGTGTCAACTAGTGCTAGATGAGGTTACACTCCCCTTGAAAAATGGTATTTGCAGCTTGGAGTGATCCTAGTTCCATCTCTCATACCTATCCAGCCCAGATATACGAGGGTTGAATGAAAAGTAATGCCTCCACCTTCATTACTTGGGTTTGGATGGGAATGTTTTAATAAATCAAACGTAGAATGTGTTCTTTGACTACCACTATACACTTTTTCACATAATCACCAGACAATTGGATACATTTCTGCCAACGATGAACAAGTTTTCTGAAGCTGTCACAGAAGAAGTCGACTTTCCACAACCAGCGTCTCTCAGTTCTCTCAACGTCTTCATCAGAAGCATAATGATGTCCCTGCAGATCTTCTTTCATTATCGGGAACAGATGGAAGTCAGACGGTGCTAAATCTGGACTGCATGGAGGATGCCGTAGGGTGGTGAGATCCAGTCTCTGAAGTTCTGCTGTGTACCCATCGTGCACAGATCTTCTGATAGTCAAGCAAAGCAATAATGTGACCCACACGGTCTTGTGAAATGCCAATTATGCTTGAAATTTCTCTCCGAGTGATACGACAATCGTCCTGAATCAATCTGTCAGCCTTTTGCTTGTGAAACTCGGTGGTTGCTGTCACACGACGTCTAACTCTTTGTTTGTCCTGGTTCAGATGTTCCCACCTCAACATCTTTAAACTTACTCGCCCAATGACGCACAGTACTTACATCAACATAATCACCATAAACAGCTAGCATTCTCTTATTAATCTCCTTTGGGGTGACACTTTCTGCTGTCAGGAATTCAATGACTGCATGTTGCTTAAGCTGCATTGACTGACCATCTGTGCAGGGTTCCATACTTCGCACTTTAACAACACAACTGTTCAATGCTAAGACTTCCCACCAAAATGGAACTGTAGAGGAGAGTCTACTGAACAAGCCAGTACCTGCCACATACCGGTAGGGCCATCTGTTGAGGAGTTATGAAAGTGAAGGCATTACTTTTCATTCAACCCTTGTATATGAAGACCAGAAGTGCTTACTAACCATTTCAGCTGATAGACCAGCTGTGTTCCTTCCTAGAGCTGGAGGATCTAAAGATGATAGCATATATACTGGTAGCTTCAAGCTTGGACTTCTGCAGTGATGTACATTGGGCTACTTCTGCACCAAATACAGAAATTCCAAACAGTTCAAAACACGGCAGCAGATTAGTACATCTCAGAGAGGCATACCATGCTAGTATTAAAATCACCCCACTGGCTGTTAATTGATTTCTGGGCAAAGTACAAAGTGTTGGTTATGCCTTTAAAGCCCTACCTAATTTAGTCCAGGTGACTTACAGCATTATTCCCTTCTATATAACCCACCTCATACACACAGGTTCTCTGGATGGCATCTGCTTCAGTCAGCCCAAATTAGACTGACTGTAACCCAGAGAGGATTTTCTTCAGCCGCCCACAGATTGCTCTTTCCACAAATTGTGGAAAGAGCTTCAGCTCATGACACTATCTATGATTAAATAATCAATATATACTAGTCTCTTCCAGCAGGTCTATTCAAATTATTTTTAAATTAGGCTTTTAAAGCATTTACTAGAGAGTTTGACTAATATTGTTTTTGCATGTTTTTTGGAATCCTCAGTGGCATTGCGAATTAAACCGCTGAGCTGCTGAACCTGCTGACCGAAAGGTTGGCAGTTTGAATCCAGGGAGGAGGGTGAGCTCCTGCTGTTAGCCCCAGCTTCAGCAAACCAAGCACTTCGAAAACATGCAAATGTGAGTACATCAATAGGTACCGCTTCAGCGGGAAGGTAATGGCACTCCATGCAGCCATGCCAGTGACCTGACCTTGGAGGTGTCTACGGATAAAAGTAGCTCTTTGGCTTCAAAATGGAGATGAGCACCAACCCCCAGAGTTGGACATGACTAGACTTAATGTCAAGGAGAAACCTTTACTTTAACTTTTTATGTTCTTTGAATTGATGTACTCTGCTTTGTTTTTTATTTACTTTCTTCTGAGGCCAAGCTAGTGGATGTCCTTGGCCAAGTGTGGTTTTGAACCTGGTCTTCAGAGTCATAGTCAACACTTAAGCCACGACACCATGCTGGCTGTTCGTTCTATCACTAATGCTAGTAAATCTATGGATTGCTGAATCTTCTTGTAATCCAAGATTCTTTTTTGCCTTTTTAGTAGAGGAGGATAATGTTTATTAATTTCAAGTCCTCTGGCAACTCACCTGTTCTCCACGATTTCTCAAAAATGCTGGCAAGCAATTCTATGGGGATGTTAACAAGTTCTTTTGAATTCTCCAGTATACTGATATACTCTGGGCCCCCTCCAACAAAACAAAATTTGAAATACCCACAGGATTACATTAAACTGTGCAAAGTAAAAATATGCTAATTATTGCTTCTAAAAGTGCATTCCAAAAAAAAGCAACCTCCAAATGAGTCATTAGGAAGGCATGAACAAAAATTAATAAGAATTATCCTACTGGGAGACACATAAATGTATCAAAGGGTTGATCATGTCTTGGCCAATGAAGCAAATACTGTAAAGTCATAAAGATAATCATTATCAGTGCTGCAGGATTGTGGATAGTTGGTGCTCCATTTGGAGGAGGAGACGATATCAGCAGTATTTAGGTTTTCCTGAAGTCAATGAGTTGGCATGAAACTGAGCTGCATTTCAGCATTTTAGCCAAAAATGAAAATGATCAAGATGAACACTTAATTGTGCCTGGAAATGGATTGGGAACCAAGTAAGGTGGTTCAACCATGAAGGTTACATTTCCAAGTGAATGACACTACTTACTTTTGGATCTTCAGGGAAGATGTTATCCACCAGACGTTTGTAGCGAGGGCGCAAAGCAGCACAACAACAGCAGACGCCTGTTTAAAAAATAATATCCAAAGGCATACAGTGAGAAGAAATGGAGCAGCCAGAATCAGGTTAGAACAGAAATGATCCAGCATGAACTAAAATTTAATGGAAAGACAATGGATGATATTTGAAACGTGTCCAGAGGACAGTGACCTAAGTGCGAACAGAGATGGACTATGTATTCCTCCATGTCAGGGGATTCGCCTTTGTGGTCTCATCCAACTCTTATGATTTTATTTAGATTGAAATTAAGGCATTGAACAGAGCCTTATTTGTTCCAGTTAAACATTAGGAAGAAATTTCTTATGATAAGAGGTTTTGACAGTGGAGCAGTCCAACTCATATGTTATTTAAGCCGAGCTTAGATAGCTAGCTCTCAAGGTAATATTATTGGAAATTCCATAACTTATTGGAAATAACTACACCATAACCTTATTGAAAAGGTAAAAAAATGATGTGAATCTCCATGAATATGTGGAGACTACCTTTTGAAGACCACTAGTCAAGAAAAGCATGACCTTGTTAGAAGTCAACTTTCTGAACAAGTGATATTCATAAGCATTCATGTAATGGCACACAGGTAACTCAGTGTCAAACTTAAGAACCATGTCTTTAAACTGCCAAGGATAAAGACATGCCACTACAAAAATATATTGGGTTAGCAGAGGATGGTTGTTTCTTTGAAGTATAATTGCAGTTGCTTAAAAGATATGTGCTCCCCTAAATCCTCTTAGTTAAAATATGCACTCAGGGATTAAAAGAAACAAAGTCTTCTTTAAAAAAATAATGTTTGTTTACTCACAAACATCTTGTATTAGTTCACCATACAGGCACATTTTTTGTTAAAGTTCAGTTATAGATAGGGTATAGTACTCTGTGTTGAGTACACAGGTTATCATTCCTTATCAATAGTCTTTAAGTATAGCTGTACTCATTGAAGTCCATAAGTCATACTTCTCTATTTATTTATTTATTTATTTATTTACTATATTTATATTCAACCTTTCTCGACTCAGGGTGGCTTCCAGCATAGTCAATAATTCAATGCCTCAAAAACAATATACATCCAATATACAATTAAATAAATATTTCAATTAAAACTTTAAATGAGATTTAGAACATTAAAACATATAAAACATTGCAACTACAACTATAAAACCACATTATCCGCAATCATAGTCAGGCCATTCTGGTAATCATTACACACAACTCCAAGTCCTTCTTTTGTACTGTGTTATTTGCCTAAGATTTGATCCCAGAGCCACATTTTCACCTTCTTTCTGAAGGTCAGGAGGGAAGGGGCTGATCTAATATTGCTTGGGGGGGGGAGTTCCACAGTCAAGGAGCCATCACTGAAAAGGCCCTGTCTCTCGTTCCAACCAATTGCACCTGTGAAGAGCAGGGTCTCTGCGGATGATCATAATCTCCAAGATGGTTCATAGGGGAAGATTCATTCAGACAGGTAAGCTGGGCTTACTAAAGTCCAAAATGGCTACATGCTTTCATTGAAGACCAAACATATACATCCACCTCCACCGAGGTGGGAAGCAAAATACTGAATACAAAATGGAGTCCTGAGTCTGAACATGATGAGTACAATCACATGTCTATAACTAATCCCACACCAACTCTAAGTCAAACTGGCAAATCAACATACACATAGAATACAGGTTATCAAAAATATTCATTAACAAATAAATACTGAAAAGCTTGGGAGGTTGCTATTTCCAACAAATATAAACACTGGATAGCTTCAATGGCCAGGGGTATCTTCCATGGGATTTAGAACTGCTATCTTCTTTTTTTCTACTCCCTTATTGCATAGCTTAATATTTTTCAGTCCTGCCTAACACACAACATCTGAACATATACAAATTAAACTGGCCAAATTTTGCCTGGTACAATGAGAAAGAACCTGGGGAATTTTTGAACTCATGTATTTTAATTCTGTGGAACTCACAGTGTTTCTATGCAAAACCCACTTGGCTTTGGCCAACAAGCATATTCAGCATGGCACGAAATCCACCTGCAAACGGAACAAACTTTCTAACCCAAACCATCTTTGGGTGGTCAGACCTATCTCAACTGACCGACTTGGTTCCTTATGGAAGCTTCACTTGTTAGGTTATTTCCTTCTAAACCAGAGTCCTGCTCTCTTAATTCTGCTTGGAAATAGAGCTACGCCATTTTTGGGCTAGTTATTTCCCTTTTCATCTTTCTGGATTGTGTTTCACATGTACTTCATAGAACTTAGATCCAGCAACCTGCAACAATTATGCAAAAGAATCAAGATTTGAATCATCTACTTCTCCTTTCTCATCATCTGCTTATCATTCATCATCTGTACTGCATAATTCAATCTAATGTTGCTAATTGAAGGGCAAAATTATAAAGGATGCTGAAACACCACCTCTTACTATTGGGAATCTCGCCCTTGATTATGAGAAGGGCAAAGCAAAGCTGTATGCATACCTTCTGACATTTCAAAGATGAAAATCAAAGTTTGGTCAAAGTGGTAGAAGTTAAAAACAACACACAAGGTAGAAATGGTCACAGAAGTTTGCTTTGGCCTGAGCCTACAGGGAAGGGCATGTTCTGCCCCTGCTCTCCTCTCTTCTCCGCGGGTTCAGTACGAACAAACTACTTTAGCTCATTCTACCCAGTTTGCGGCAATTGAAGGAATCAGGAAAAACAAATGAGAGGAAGAGAGACAATCTGGGACACTTTAAAAGTGGCATGACAGAGGAATAACTGGGACTGGCCCTGCCAAATTGGCACAGTTTGAGTGTATGTACATTTATGTAAAAAAAATCTCTAGCACAGATGAGGTGCTGCTCTGAGGGTCTTTGGTTTCCAGTGGTTACTTTTCGGGAGTGCTTGCATACTGTAAGACAGTGTTTCTCAACCTGGGGGTCGGGACCCATGTGGGGGTCATGAGGGGATGTCAGAGGGGTCCCAAAGACAATCAGAAAACCGAGTATTTTCTGTTGGTCCTGGGGGTTCTGTGTGGGAAGTTTGGCCCAATTCTCTCATTGGTGGGGTTCAGAATGCTCTGGTTGTAGGTAAACTATACATCCCAGCAACCACAACTCTCAAACATCAAGATTTATTTTGCCAAAACTCCACCAGTGTTCACGTTTGGGCCTATTGAGTATTCATGCCAAGTTTGGTCCAGATCCATCATTGTTTGAGTCCACAGTACTCTCTGGTTGACTCTCTCAAGGTCAATGCCCACCAAACCCTTGCAGTATTTTGTATTGGTCATGGGAGTTCTGCTTGCCAATTTTAGTTCAATTCCATTGTTGGTGGAATGCAAAGTGCTCCCTGATTGTTGGTTAACTATAAATCCCAGCAACTACAACTCCCAAATTATCAAAATCAACCCTCAACCGCACCAGTATTCAAATTTGGGCGTATCGAGTATTTGTGCAAAATTTGGTCCAGTGAATGAAAATACATTCTGCATATCAGATATTTACATTATGATTCATTACAGGAGCAAAATGAAAGTTATGAAGCAGCAACAAAAATAATGTTATGGTTGGGGGTCACCACAACAGGAGGTGGTCGTGACATGAGGAAGGTTGAGAAATTAAGGGGTCATGGCATTAGGAAGGTTGAGAAAAACTGCTGTAAGATGTACACTAGATAGATCCTAAGCTGAAGTAGACTATACTCTTAGGAAATTCTCCTTTGCCGAGAGATTTTAGAAGCTCTGTAGGGAACATAAAAGAACAGACCTGACCTGTGCAAGGTCCCAGATCAGTCCCTCCAGGTAAATCGATCTCAAATATGAGATGATGAAAAACACCTCCTTCCTAGGAGAACTGCTGTCAGCCCTAGCAAGGCAATATTGAGGTTGACTGCAAATAACACGACACAAATGAATCTTCTCAGAAGTCTATATTTTTTGTTGTTCTGTGCCTTCAAGTTGTTTTGGACTTATGAGAACTCTCCAGTGAATGTATCACAGGGGTTTTCTTGGCATTATTTATTCAGTGGGAGTTTGCCATTGCCTTCTTTCAAGATTGACAAGAACATTTTCAGGTATAACTTTGTAATGACAATCATTCCCTGGGTGCATCTACATTGTAGAATTAATGCAGTTGGGCACCACTTTAACTGCTGTCACTCAATGCTATGAAATAATGGAAGTTATAATTTTAGCATTCTCTGCCAAAGAGTGCTGGTGCGTCACCAAAGAACAAATCCTAGGATTCAATAAAATTGAGCAATGGCAGTTAAAGTGATGTCAAACTGCATTCATTCTACAGTGGAGATGCAACCACTGTCCTGTTTTGCCCCAAGAATAGTCTAAACACTATGTTTACAGGAACCCAAAAAAGCTTTACTTCAGAAAAGTTTAAAGTAGCGAAATCAAATACACAAAAACAAGTTCCCAAAAGGCAAGTTCACAAAATAAAGTGAAAGTCTCTTGGCTGAGCAAAATAAAGTCTTTTGTAGGGGCCGCGGTGGTGCAACGGGTTAAACCATTGAGCTGCTGAACTTGCTGACCCAAAGGTAGGCAGTTCAAATCCAGAGCATTTGAATAGCCGCAGAAGAGCTATTCGAATCCTTCTTGCTGTTAGCCTCAGCTCCTGCCAATCTAGGAGTTCAAAAACATGCAAATGTGAGTAGATCAATAGGTACCACTTCAGCAGGAAGGTAAACAGCGCTCCATGCAGTCATGCCGGCCACATGACCAGGAGATATCTATGAACAACGCAGGATCCTCAGCTTGGAAATGGAGATGACCACCTCCCCCAGAGCGAGAGATGAAAGAGGAAGCCTTTGCCTTTGTCTGTGTATTTGTTTTTCTTTGCATTTCATTGTTTCAAGACATTGAATGTTTTCCTGTGTCTGTATATATGCTGGAATCCGCCCCGAGTCCCCTCGGGGAGATAGGGTGGAACACAAATAAATAATAATAATAATAATGATAATAATAATAATAATAATTATAATTATAATTATTATTATTATTATTCTCAAGGCAAAAACACAAAGA